TTCCGTAGGACCTGGCAATCCCTATTGTCTTCTGAATATCATTAATATCCACATAGCACTCCTTCTCCAGTAGCCCAGCTTTTAACCTGCTATCTTTGAGAAATATGCCTCCTTCTTCCAATCTAAGATAGCTCCAATTCTCAGTGGGCCAGGCTTTCAACAGGTGTAAATCTGCATAGCTCTCTTGACTGTCATGGATGCCAATTTATACAACCTGAGGATCTGGTCTTATATCTCCTTTACCCAAACTTGACCTCACCGACACCTTTGTCTTCCTTCTAATTTGCTTCTCCTTTCCTGCCATCAACCACACTTACAAAAACTATCTTCTCTCTAGACTGCCTCTCCTTCCCAGCATTTCTACCATCCTGCCTTGCTCCTTATATTATCACTAATCTCTTTTCACATGATACCTTCTCCAACTCTCTAAAGTCACTTCTTCACAACACCCATTCCACCACCCCAACTCACTAACAACCTTCATCCCAAGCTTTCAAGCCACATGGAGCTCTGTTTTCTCAATCAGCCAAGTGATCAAGAAAATAGCTTTCTCTTTACCTTGCTAATCCTGAAACATGCCAATCCCATGTTGTGGCAGGGAACATATTGGGTAAAATAAATGTTAGAGGCTCTGTACCTTCAATTTAAAATTAGTTTGTTCTTTCTTGGGAAGCATAAATAGAGATCAGTTATAAATTTATTGTTATATTAAGACACCCAGAGAGGATATGTATAATATTGTGATTTACGTTTTGCTAAAAATACCTTACCTTGTTTTGCTTATGTGAAAATATGGTCAGTGAAACAAGAAACTTCTGCTTACTCTGAATGTCCTGATAGGAATAGAGAGCTACCTGTAGTGGGTGCACTACTGAAAATTAGGACTTCTTAGCGCTGGCATGATAGTGTGAACTTTGACTTTTGGCACATAACTTTTTGAGGAACGTGGATTAGCAACATGGTGGCCATTCTGTTGACAGGCACCATTTGCAATGTTAATTAAAGAATGTGGCTATACAAAGGGAATGTTGGTATTAAGTTACCTGGTCTGTTTGCAACCCATGTGGTGGTTGCATTTTTTCATTAGAGACTTTTAATTATTTGGGGTACAGGATTATGGTAAACTTCCTCCTATCAGGAGGTCTGAGTTTGGGGTACATCCTCACAATTCTCTCCGGTTTCCCTCCTCAACTCAGACTTCAAAATCTTTGATATCATCCATGACTCTGAGCTCTCTCTCCTCCCACACCGCCAAGTTTTCTGACTCTACCTATCACCACTTCAGCAACACTGCCCATGGATACCATTGCTTTGACTCCACCACTGCTGAAACCCCAACACACACATTCTTTTCATTTCACTTTGAGTGCTGAAACTCTCTCTCCTGAACCCCAGACTCCAACTCCAGAATGTGCACAGCACTGCCACCATCTTGTCACACATACAATTCATTGCAGCATCTTTCATGTAGATTCACAGGGTGGTGGCTGGCTGGGCTGGGCTGGGCTTCTCAGGGTGGATGCCAGGGCCACCTTACCCCTCCTGACAAACTATGGCCTGGCTTGGTGTTGGATTGTGCCACTGGTTCTAAGAAGCCCTCTGGTTTAGATGGAGGTGCCAACCTCCCCACCCTTAGGCTGAGTAGGGAGAAGCAAAGCTGTATATATTTTTTTGCCTGCCAGCGTTCTGGGGAGGGGGGTTTAGTGCAAGCAGCTAGTCTTTTCCTTGAGATTTTGTATTGGCATTTAATTGCTGACTCTTGTTAATGCTTACTAGCCACTGCATTGCTGTTTTGTTTGGGTCAAGTTAGGATTGTTTGGGTTTCCGTGTATTTCAGTATGTTATGTCACAACTTTGGAGATGGACCTAGGATAAAAATTGTAAATGTGCTTACACGATTTAGGAGCCTAAATCCCATTGACTGTCTATTAGACATAGGGTCCCAAGCCCTAAGTCCCCCTTTTAAACCTGAGTTATGTGCTTTTAAAAATTTTACCCCTAGCCTTGGCAGGGGTAAATGTATTGGTCTTTTTGGGCCAGTTTAATAGGGAGGGATAGTTATATATATAAAATCCATAATTCTGCGATTCAGCTAGTAGTTAGCACCAAGAGACTGAGTAGCAGAGACTGCCTGGAATCTGTGTCAATTGAAGCTCTAGTTCTATCTACAAGGGTAGAGACTGTAACTCGTATCTTAAGCCTCGTGTCCAGGCCTAGTTGGACTGGTTGGTTTCTTTGGATGGGTAGCCACTTTGACCTTGGGATCAGCCTGTCAGAACTAGGGCTGGATCATAACCAGGCTGAGGATCTACAACCCCCTTTCCCACAAAGATTTTGTTCATCAGCCTCTTTTGTTTGCAGTCTTGTTATTTATTTGCTTAATACAGTTGTGGCCTTTGTGCCATAAATTATCTCTAGCTTGTGCAGTGTATTTTTGGCATCCTCCGGGCGAAGAAGCATGACTAAATAGCCCCATTTCCAGATATCCCAATTGGTTCCACATTCATTTCAGGATCCGCTTCAAAGCTGGCATCAGAGTAAAACTCTTCATGGACTTACCTCAAACTTTTAGGCCCAGATGCACACAGATATACTTTCTGCAGTTTAGCATTATTTAATTATATAAAGCATTGTGGTTTATGTAAAATACAGTACAACTCTATATGCGTGCATACCCAATGTATATGTAATGAATAAGTGCTCTAATGTGAACTGTTACAAGTGGATGGCTGGGCCATATTTCATTCCAAATGAACTTTCCCTGGATTTCTCAGATTTGACCTATGAACTTAAAAGTTAAAAGGAATTAATGGCCTCAGTACAGGTATAAAGGTAAAATGACAATACTGTGGATTTGGGGGTTTGGTTTGTTAAATTGCTAGGATTTATTAAAATAGATATTTCACTTACATGAAACTAACTCATTCCTACGCTTTGACTAAATATACCCATTTACTGGTCAGGTAGCACAACTACTATGAAAATTAAAACATGCTTTTGCATGGCATTGGTGGAGATGGCTGTCTTCAGAAGCTGGAAACAAAAGTCTGAGCATGATCCTGCCTTCCCGGCACTCCTAAAGCTCCCTTTGTCTTCTAAATGCTTTGCAACAACAGATTTGATTTGAAAAAGATGAAATAAAAGTTCAAATCATCCTTTGATTTGGATCATTGTACTTCTGTTGTTGGTTTCTGTGGGAGTTCAGAGCACAAGGAATGTAGGACTGGGTTTATTAGCTGAGTAGAATAGGCCAAATCCTCAGATGGTGTAAACTGAAATCAATATAGAAGTCAATAGAGCTATGCAGACTTATACCAACTGAGGATCACAAAACATCTACCTGGCTTCTAAAGAACAGAAATACACATCATATGAATAAGTTTTTTGTGATGTGAATGTGCATATAAATCCATTCCATTCTGAAAGCTCTGCACATTCTGATCAAAATTAATAAGATATTTGTCCAATTTGAGTCAATAAAATTAACTATTGCACAAATAAAGAACATTTGAATTTTTTCCATTAAAAATGCACATTCATCATCAATGACTAGAAAAGTGAACATGCCACTAAAGATTAAAACCTATTTTGTTAGGAAAAAACTTCAGTGCCTGCCTTCACTAGTATTAACAAAATGCCTACAAGGTTTATCAAGGAAGGGTGACTACCAATAGAAATACAAAGAATCAAGTCAATGGGTGATCAGCTCTTTGATCTTTCCTTCTTAAAATCAAATCTGTGCATAGTGATTATCTTTTCATTGTATTGCTAAAGCTTTTGCGCTTACACAGAATGGCTTTAAGAGTCCGATACTACATCCCTTTCTCAGGCAAAACTCTCATTAAAGTCAATAGTTTTTACAGAAGGAAGGGTTGCAGAGTTGGACCCGAAGGCTATACATATGAACAAACCTATTTTTTTTGCACTGAAATATTTCTGACTCTTTTTTAAATATAAACTAAGCAGGCAGAAGATCATCATATATACAAACAATTTAATGATCACCGTGACTTCTTCCAAGTAAAATGCTTCTATTGTAGGAATTATACTTATGGATATCAGTACATTAGCTTTTTCTGCTCAGAGTTGCTGAAAGAATGATTTGCATAAGAAGATTAGTCCTTTCAATGCTCAGAAGTAGTACTGGACAAATGAGCCTAAAATTACTATAGATTAACTCCATTAACATCTTCTGAACATTTTTAAAATGGCAGACCTTTCTGTGAAAAAAATTTTTCAATCTGACCTTTTATGTGTCCCTTCAAATAAAGTATCAGCTATTAACACACATATTTTTCACACTTAGATTTCATTTGTTGTGTTGATGCCAGTAAAAACTGATGATCCTCAAAACTATTTTGAGCCAATCAGTGAAAGCAACAGTCTGTTCTCAATAAAAATTCATCGGCTCTAGTAATTCCCTCTGATGAGTGATATAATTCAGCAAATCTAGAAAGCTGAAGTGGATGTGCTGTAGGAAAACATGTTTAGGATTGGTTTCTCAAGTGATTTGTTGAATCTTTAAGCAAGTTGTTAGTTTTCACATAGGTTCTAGTTTAATATGATTATATGCATTAAAAATGATATGTTGCAATAGTCACAATAGTTTATTTAGTGTACAATAACACTGCAGATATTACTGGTATGAGCTTATTTCCCACCTGAAACTTCAGTGCCAAATCCTGCAATGCTTACTTATGCCTTGCAAAGATGAAGTTTCACTGAAGACAGTGGAGACCTGACCCTTCATTCCAGACTACCATTTTTAGACTTCCATTGAAATCACTGGAATTACACTTCTGTCAAACTGGTGTAAAGAAGTGATGAATCAAACCTGGAATATTTGCCTTGTTAAGGACTGAGCAAGAATTGTAGGACTGGGGTCACAGATAGAAGCAAATCAATGTTGTGTTTACCAGAGTGTGAAAAAATTGACAGGTTTCAGAGTAGCAGCCGTGTTAGTCTGTATTCGCAAAAAGAAAAGGAGGACTTGTGACACCTTAGAGACTAACAAATTTATTTGAGCATAAGCTTTCCTGAGCTACAGCTCACTTCATCAGATGCAAAATTGAAGCATTTGTAATTTACATATCCCTTCTCTCAAAAATGGCCAAAGTAGTTCTCTTCCACTGGTTATTTTTAACTCACAGTGCCATCTACAGATTAAATATAACACATGCAACTCAAAGCTTTTGTGATAGTTTTGCTTCTTAGTTTATTATTCAGTTTTCTCCCCTTTCATGTCAATATCATCTTTTTACAAATTTTTTTCACAGAAGAATTATAAATAACTTTTAATTGTGATAATGACAACGTTTCGGTGACAATCACTGCAAGATTTCCTCACACCCTTAAACTTATGCAGTGAGCAGGTTTGGCCAGCAACAAAATAAAAACATTAACTGCCTGAAATAAAAACATTAACACTCTTCTGTAAGTGTATTAATGGCATACTCACTCCTGGGTCTCGAAGTACCCATTTACACAGATTTTTATTTTGAGCCTGTTTTTTTCCTTCAATTCCTCAGTACAAGAATGAGAAAGACGAGCACGCTGTGGGCTTGAAGAAATGTCCTCTAATCAGCGAGATGACTCAGCACTATTACTCACATCACATATCCTTTTAGCTCTGGGTTCATGTGCATAGTGAAAACAGGTGAGGATGAATGGGCCATAGAACTCAGCAAGGTTTCAACAGGCCTGGATTTTCACTATGGTATGGCAGCTTTCCTAGTAGACAAATAGTACTAGACAGTAAACGCTTTGTGGCAGAAGCTGTCTTTGTGTGTCTTATACAGCACCAAGTGTATAACTAGCCCTTAAGATGACAATAGAAAAGGCAAGGAGGAAATGACCATTCACCATATTCCCCTTTCTCCATAATCCAGCTTTGGTCATGCAGTTGTAAAGCTTGTGCAAATATCACTGGCTAAAAGCCAGGCCTGCAGCTCTTGGCTCCGCTAAGTAAATATGACATAATATATAATTTAGCACTGTTTGGCTCCAATGTACTCAGGACTATATATTTAGTTTTAAAAACATAGTAATAAAACCCCAAGTTATTCTTTAATTCTTTCTGAACTACACTGTACATGATGAACAAGATTTGTTTTCCCTATTTTATAGACAACATATGTAAAATATCTCCATGGATTATGTTACTCCTGTAACGTTTTACTATGAACATTCTAAAGCTCACATTTCATTATTTCCCTCAGACAAACAGTTGCATAACATGAAGGATCAAGGTCAAATGACAAAAGAAGAGATGCTTTTGATTCATTTAGGTGACTGTCTTCTTCAGTTTTGATTGCCTTTTCATTGTCCTCTAAGAAATGATATGACAGATTGTGGATATATTTCAAAATGTTTCTGTAGCATCCAGGTGTGTTCAGCTGTAATGCAGACACCCTGAAGCTGCATGTCTGCAGCCCATCCTTAGCAAGCCTTTCATGGTACCACTGCCCAACTTTATTATTGGGATACTTGATACTGTGTCCAACCATTGGAAGAACCACCTCAAGGAAAAAAAGAAAATATATGTGAGCCACAAATGTGTTTGAAACAAAACCACCACTTACCCCTTTAAAATTTAATTCCTTTATGTTTTAGGGCCTGATTCTGCAAAGAAGCCACCTTGCTTCCACACCATAAAAGCCCAAGCAAAACCATGGAAGACAGTTATTTGAGGCTTAGACTGAAAGGCACAGAAGCCAGTCAAAATGCCAGTACTCTCTCTAATAACAGACTACAAACATACCAAATTGATTGTTTTCTGGATTGTTCTGAGATATAGAAATAGAGAATATGTTAGTATTCTTTGTGAGTCTCCAAACCCTTGTATCTTCAGCCTTTTCATACCCTGACCTTCAAATACTCTTGAACGCTTCTCCTAACACTGGGGGATTGAAATAAAATGTTGCAAGAAAACTAGAATTAGTAGTTTGCTAACACTCAATTGACAGTAATACTGCACAAAAAAGCACATCCAACCTAGATAACATTGCCTGTAATGTCAGTACACATGAGTGAAGACTTTCATCTCTGTGTTTGCTGTGAGTCCAGATTAATTTCTATGCCCATTTTCCATAAAGGTGCACACTCTGAAGAGAAATAAAACTGCACCTGTTAATTAATCAGATCTATTTTTAAAACAAAAAATATCTTCATTAACTCATAAACCCCTGAAACATGATTTTTCAAACAAACTTACTTGGTGTATTGCATATTTGTTAGCTGACTCTTCTGGAGCAGTTACTACGTGAACCTGGTATAAAATGTTTAAAAAAAATACTTATAGCTTGACAAATAGTAGAAAAACTAGATTATGAACCAATCACATATTTGTATTAATCCCAGCCTCTATTAAAATTAAGAATTCTAAGGCTGTCTGACTACTCCAAGGCGAAACTGTTTCACTCAACAAAAAATTTGAAGTGTTTAACACAAAGTAACCATTTTATTAGTACAAGGCCTTGCATTAAATAGAAACTAAATAAAACTAATGTTAATTACTGCTGTACGAACCTACCATTATAGTTCTAATATGCTTACCCACCTCAAGTTCATGGTGCCAATGTAATTTCATGCTAGAAGATTGGTTCTCATGCTAAATGTGAATGTTACTGCATAAAACTCCATTGTTTAATATTAAATTTTATAGCTCAGCTTTCCACTGAATTTGGTCTATTCAGTTTATTAAACTCACTCTTTTTTTTCCCCCTAACATTTTGGCAAAATCACAATAAGCATAGGATGCTATTGTTTTAGAGCTCTGAAAATTATTTACAGTGACCTCTAAGCTGCTCTAACTCACAGAAATATCTACAAGAAATTCACTCTTCAACTAAACAATTTGGGTGACATCCTGGCTATGTATGTGCCATTGTGCACACCATTACAATAGTGCAAAAATTCCACAATGGTGCTGATACATAGGGGAAAGATAGCTGCCTTTTAGGTCCTCCATGACCAGATCCACAGAAGGATGTAACAGAAAATAGCTTAGAGGCATCATGTATGTGTAACCATTCAGGCCAAGTCCAGGTTCCTACAAACACCTTCATACATTCCTACTCTTGCCATGAATACACTGAACAGTCAGGACGGAAAAGAGCTTTTATGGTGTATAGAGCATGTATGCCTATTTGTGGGGAGTTGAGGGCAGGCTAAGCCACTCCACATTAGCCAAACTAAGTAGCATAAATGGGTTAGAATGTTTAGCTAAACATAAAAAGCAGAACTCCTATATCTTAACCTATTTAAGTGTGTTAAGCTAACTTTTACAAGAAATACTTTGTAAACTCACTCTATCATTCAGAGAAGAATTTTCACCAACATTATCTTCAGAGAGGACCAGATCACCCTCCATTACTTTTGAACCATACGTCAGAAACCTAAAAGATGCAGCTTCATTCCAAATTTTACTGCAATATGCATGAACGTAGAATATACGCATGGAATGAGGAATGCTGAGCCATCCTCGGGTACAACCCTCGTGGTGTAAACCATAGCGATTCAAGGCGCGAAGCAACATCTTCTCTCTTACTTTAAATTCGGGCAACATTGCCAGGGTTCCTTTTGCATCATCTGAAATAAACAGAAATAAACATTGGAACGACCATCTGCTTTCCAAGTTTAGTCTACTAGAAAGTGAAAAACTTAAAAAGAAGGATAAATTAAATCAAATGAGGAAAAGGATGTCAGACTCATTTATTTACACTGTTTTTTATTGTTTTGTTTATTATTCCTTGCCTTTAACTTCTCATGTCAGATAAATTCCATCTTATTTACCTTGTAACCTATGCTAATTAATTCAATTTTCTGTAATTTACACTAAATATAAATTAAACTGGCTTTACTATGTTCATTACTTCAGTCCAAAGAGTTTCTAGTTCCTTAGAAATAAAAGCATACCACATCATTGCTAGCAGGGTGTTCTTACTAGCAGGAAGAGAAATTGTAAGAGAATTGTAAGAGAATTGTATTCCTATCAAAGAACATGAGGTACTCAGACTTAGGCCTACATCGTCAGAAGATGGACCTCCCTTTTGGAAGCACCCCCAAACCTACACCATTATTAGCACTTGCATTGCTAAGTACCCTGATTCACCAAAGCAACATAAGCACCAAGTCATTTGAGGGAACACATTTTGTAGCAAAAAAATAATGTGCTTGTTTTATTTTGTAGGTGCAAACTGCACTTGACAACAGGGAGTCTGAGCCTCAACCTGGGTAGAAATGTACACCTTTGCGTTCATATTTCCTGCTTTCCTTTGTAATTTTATCCAGATTTTTGATTTGGTGAGAAGTCATTTGTGTAGCCTTTTATTTCTTGCTTTGGGAAAAGATAAGCAGCTGTTTTCAGAGTTATCAATGCCTTTTCATGCATCATACAACAAACTACAGTACAGAAGGACTCAAGGCTCTCTTCTGTGAAATGAAGCACATCTGTACCCCCTGAAGCCACATACCCTAGCTGTTCAGGCAATATACAGTGATAACTGGATTTACAGACATGAGAGATTTGGGGTCAAGAGTGACTTCAAGATTTCTGACTCTGGGAGAAAAGTTAGGGTCTGAAGAATGGTGTCAGAGTAGCAGCCGTGTTAGTCTGTATTCGCAAAAAGAAAAGGAGTACTTGTGGCACCTTAGAGACTAACAAATTTATTTGAGCATAAGCTTTCGTGAGCTCCAGCTCACTTCATCGGATGCATGCAGTGGTCTGAAGAATGACAGCAGAAAGAGATGTGACAAAACGGGGCATTTTACTTAAAAGACAGATATTAGTTTTTGAAAATATGTTTCAGTGAAGAATGGAACTCAAGAAAGGAAGTAGGTGAGTCAGAGAGAGAGAGTGGGGGGAGATGAAGAGTTGAAAGTCAATTACACAGACGTTATGGCCAAAGTTGTAAACAAAGGCTGTGATTTTCAAAGAACCTAAGACAGTTTGGCACCCAACTTTCATTCAGTGTCAATTGTAGCCAGGCTCCCAACTTTCGTACACTCCTTTGTAATTCCCAATCAAAGAGAATATGATAATTCAAAAGAAGAGAGGTGGAGGGCAAAAGAAGAACACAGCCTTTAGGAACTTCTCATATCTTTTCCACTATATAGATGTAAAGCCTCTACCAGAAATAAAGATTCTCCACTGCCCTGTACTTGGGAGATGGTAGCATTTTACACTCACTTGCAAGGTGTAAATAATTACACAGGGTGCAAGGCAGAGGAGAATCAGAACCCAAAACATTTTGGGTCTCAAAATTCCAATGCCCTCAAGAAGCATGGAGCGATTTATTGCATTGTGAATTTATATAGAAGAATAAATCAGCTACTGGCAAAAGCAGAAATAGTATGAAAAAATATGACTATTAAGAATAATTTTAAGTGACAAAAGAATTATTAACTCAGGCAGTATGCAGCAAAACCATCACCCCCAAAAACACACGTTCCAAATAATGACAAAAACATTTTAAATGTGGAGTTTACCACTTTGAAGAAAATATCTCTTTGCCTGGTTTACAGGATCATCTGTATCTTCTGGTGTGAAAAACAACTTCACAGCTTTTACCTTTAAAAAAACAACACACATGAGGTTATTGTGTTTTAATGTAACTACTTGCTCGATGAAAAAGACAACCATATGTCAGTTCTGTGATAGGATACCATATAGCATCTCAAAACTCTGACCATTTCTTATGCATGATGGCTCGAACTCTCTCCTCTGACAGAAAGTCCTAAAATGTCACAAGTTGTGAAATCAAGTGCCTACTGTATTCTCCCCTTGGAAGGAAGGAAGGGGTTGCAGTCAAATAGAAGGGATGGGAACAGCCTTCAAAACCTACAAAGGGGAAGGTAATGATGCAGGGAGTATTATTTTTTTTTATAGGTTTCCAGCTGGAAATCTTCCAGGTTGCAAGGTGAGCATGCGGCCTAAAGCAGTAGCACTCTGGTTCTACCTTGTGGCCCCCAAACAAAGCCCACAGAGGCCTAACCATACAATGTTCACATGGAGGGGCTCACACACCCTCACACAGAGGGGACAATGATATGCCTAAGCTGTGTCTACACAAGATTAGATGATATGTTGAGAGAAACACCTGAGCATGGTCTGTATTACAGCTTCCATTATTTCTACTACCAGTGGAGCTAGGTATTTTGCAAGTGTATATAAGACCCTAGTTGCTTTTCCCCTCACCTGTCAGTTTCAGGCCATTAGTACCTGTTTTCCTGCTCATTTGTCCCCATCTACACCAGGCAGTGCAGCAGAGCAAGTGCCTCAGCATCTTTAGTAAAAAATTACCAATCTGCAGCAAACTAGTCACATTAATTTCTACCTTGCCTGAACTCAAAATTTTGCACAGAGTGTAAGTTATTTTGGTGGATAGCATCCTGTGGGATCTAACAGCTTGATTCTCTTTGCATGCAGGTGTAACTATATTGACTTTTATTAAATTTCTCAGATTTAGATCAGTGTAACTGAAGAGGAAAATCAGATCCTATATATCTAGTTCAACAATAATTTCTGATACCATGGATCTCATTCTCTACAGCCTCGTATCTTGTACGATCATTTACCTGTGCAAACTGCCACACAAGTTACATGACAGAGAAGAATCAGGACCTATGTCTCATGAAATATTATTTGAGAAATTAATTCAAATTGGCTTGCAAAGAACAACTTATGTGGAAAGAAGACTGGCTGAGGGATGGTAACCAAGGGATAATGAGAAGCAACAACATATTGAGATATACAGATACATCTACTGGGATCTTAAAGGGTTTGGGTTTTAGATCTGGTCTTACTTAATATTCTTGCAAAAAATTTTTAAAAAAAATCTCTCCCAGTGTACTCAGCCCAACAGTCTGAATATTCACAAGTTAAAGAGCACTTATCATCACGAACAAACTGGAAAAAGGAACTTTTGATTTACATTGTTCTGAGCCTAGTATTAAAAGCAGATGTCTTTATGTAAAATTATATTATTTATGACAATTGCAGTGTAACAGCCCCACAAAAACACTGAAAACTACTTTCCACGCTATTTAAAATAAATAATGTTTAAGCTTAATGTTAAAATTAAACATTTGTTTTGTTTAAATGTTAAAACATTCATGATTGTGACACAATATGGTTAAATCATGGTGGGAGTTGGTTTTGCAGTCTCCTACAACAACACTCACACTACTACTGCTACACATTGAGATCACCGTTCAATAGGATGGTAGCCTCCAATGTTTGACTCAGACATGCTAACTGTAGCCATGGAAAAGAAGTGGACTAGTCATTTGGATCATGAGGTGAATTATACCATTTCTTCATTCAGCAAAGCCAGTCCAATTTGATCTGTCTGAACATTCTGTCCATGCCCAAATCGCTGAGGTCCAAAGTAGTTTACAAAACCTTTTGTCTACAATTAAAAAAGAAATCAACTGGTTAAAACATGAAAATATTAAATATTCATTAAAACCATAAGGTGCATATTTTTAAAGGTATTGCTCTGCTTAGAGTTGGGAGGACTAAGTAACTTAGACAACCAAGTCCCATTTTCAAATGTGACGTAGGCACTTAGGTCTGGTCTACACTGTGTGTGTGTGTGTGTGTGGGGGGGGGGGGGCTGAAGTCGACGTATCTTAGATCAACTTAGAATCACTTACTTTGCATCCTCGCGGCGCGGGATCGACGGCCGCCGCTCCCCCGTCGACTCCACTTCTGCCTGTCGCCCTGGTGGAGTTCCGGAGTCGACAGCAGAGCGATCGGGGATCGCTTTATCGCGTCTACACTAGACGCAATAAATTGATCCCCAATAGATCGATCGCTACCCACCGATCTAGTGGGTAGTGTAGACGTGGCCTTAGGAGCCTAAGTCCCATTGACTTTCAATGAGAGGCTGCTAAGGCACAGATCCTCAAATGATTTCAATGGGAATTAAGCACTGAAATACTGTTGAGGATCTGGGCCTTAGGCTTTGCAATGGTGAGCAGAGCAATGCCTGAATATCTTTAAAAATCTGGGCCTAAATATGGCAAATGTTAATTTTGTTTCAACTCTTATTCAGATAATGATTACAATCAGAACGTATACTAAAATGACAAGAGTTTACACTTATCGGTATACAGCAATTTATAAACATTAATGAAATAAGCTTAATTACACCCCTTTAAGAAAAGGAGTACTTGTGGCACCTTAGAGACTAACCAATTTATTTGAGCATGAGCTTTCGTGAGCTACAGCTCACTTCATCTCATCTGATGAAGTGAGCTGTAGCTCACGAAAAAAGTGAGCTGTAGCTCACGAAAGCTCATGCTCAAATAAATTGGTTAGTCTCTAAGGTGCCACAAGTACTCCTTTTCTTTTTGCGAATACAGACTAACACAGCTGTTACTCTACACCCCTTTAAGTCTCCCCATTTTACAGCTAAGAAAACTGAGTCAGAGAGAGATTAAAGGGGACACTTTTTAGAAGTGTTAAACATCACAGCTTCAAATGGTATCAATGACAGCTTTAGGTGCTCAGCACATTTGAAAAACCAGGCGCTTAATGACCTGCCTTACCAAATACACACAGGATGTAGCCAGGAAGAGAACCCAGAACTCCTGAGTCCCACACCTCTGGGACTCTCATGCAAGCTGAATAAATAAGCATGAAATCAAACCAAACTAGAATCTTTCTCCATATATATGTATAATCACTTCACGATGAATCCTACTAAAGATCACGTCAAAGAGTTGGTATTTTCCCTGAGCAACGCCAGAAATATTTACTCAGGCAAAGTTCACAATGAAGTCAACGGGAGTTTTGCCTGAGTAAGCACTGTGTACAAAACAAAGCAATGGCCTCATCAAAACAAACATATAAATAAATAATTGATATCGGGCATTTTTTTAAACACAACTTATTTCACAGAAGAACTCCACCTGCAAAGCTATTACTATCGTAAAGCCCAAGAGCAACTGCATTACTGATGTGTGGGGATCAGAATTTCCTAGTGCTTTGCTGGCCACTACCTGTCTGAGTAAAATTGAGCCAGTGAGGTCACGATCACATGACCCAATGAGGGTTAATTTTCTGGAAACCAATAAATACACATAGAGCAAGGTGAATGTGAAATAATGTAAGGGCATTTACCTTTCAAAAATACATAACAGGAGAAGCTACATAGGTATAACCTTACTTAGGTTGCATATGCCAGTGTGTGTAATTAAGAGATAAAATCCTTAAGCTGGACTAAATGGAACAAGTCTTTTCATGTTCTGGCAATAGGCTAAGTCTAATAAAACAGGACCAAATACAGGCCATGTTCATTTTTCAGGAAGAGTTGCACCATAAAAAATATCCCTCAGTTGATCATCTTCTCCTGTGCACTGTGAAGTCAAAAGAAGGAAGGGCACAGAAAAGAAAATTAAAGCAACAACTGAACATTTCTTTTGTTTGTGAAAAATAACTTCCAATAATTTTCTACAGTATAATTACTCTTTTGAGACAGGGTACTTGTGGCACCTCAGAGACTAACAAATTTATTCGGGCATAAGCTTTTGTGGGCTAAAACCTACTTCATCAGATGTGGGTTTAGCCCACGAAAGCTTATGCTCAAATAAATTTGTTCATCTCTAAGGTGCCACAAGTCCTCCTCATTTTTTTGCTGATACAGACTAACATGGCTACCACTTTGAGACAGGGTGTTTCTCAGTTTGGTCTTTAATTCCTGACTTAATTATTTTGCAAAAAATTGGTACTATGACCATTATTCAGAAAGACTGAGAGATGGGAAAAGCGATTAATGTCAAATAAAACACTTCTAAATAAGCTAATATGTTTTCCCTTTTCCTGACCTTCTACTTTTCTGAGGAATTTAGAGATCCTGGCTTGTGGCTCAGGAAAGCATCTACAAAGGGCTCCATCAATTTCTTATCACTTTCTTCTTCTGCTGCTGTTTTTTTTTTGTTTTTTTAAAAAACACAGTTATTTATCCCATCCCCTTTCCATGAAAAGTCTCTGCATTTTTGCTAATGCAGCCAACGTCTATAATTGTTTGGCAGGTATTACTCTATATTTTCTACCTGTCGGAAGTCAAAAGCATCAGCTTTCTGAAGATACAAATTTTCTCCATCAGGGCCAGCCTTAGGCCTCAGCAGCACAGTTTCATACAGATACCCCATATCTGTCAAATTCCCCATCTGTTGTCCTGTACTATTCTGGAACCAGAAAGCTGTGGCACAGAATGAACTCACTACCTGTCCTCCCTTTTTGGCAAGTTGCTCTGTTCCTGGTTTGTTGAACCACAGAGACTAATGATCAAAGGGCACACAGCTTCTATATTTTAAAACGAGTGGAGATTGCAGGTAAGAGGTAGCATGAGAACCATCTTGTTCTGAAAAAACAGCATGATAATTTTTATGAGGCAAAAATATTTCCTTGTTGAAAATGAAATCATGGCATGGCATCTCTTTTTACCTTAACATTTTCAATTGCTTCAGATATTCTCTCTTTCAGATCTGCAGAAAAGTCATTGCTTTGAGGTTTTAGATCTCTCACAATTATATCAAAGTGGTTCCCCTTCAGCTGACCGAGTCTAAGGTGCTGGCACACTGAATGGATATTATACACTTTCATTCCTTTTTTTTCAATTGTGCTTCCAATTTCTTTCAACCTACACAAATGATAAATGGGGAGTTTATGAAGAACTCTTGATAAGACATTCCAACTGAAAAAAACAAACGTTTCCTTCACAAATGCTTTGTTTGCCTCAGCACTAATTACATGTAAAACTAAGATTCAAAAATACTTGTCATTCAAAGGTTTTCCCTTCGTCTTACTTGAAATAAGTCACAGTCATGCTTACTGACTAAGCATTTAAAATAATTTGTGATCTAGAAATTAACCCCTTATCAAATGATGCTTAGAAGTTAATACAATTAGTTTAACGGAAGGTTAACAACAGTCTATGAGTGAAAAATTATCATCAGGTGGATTTAATGTTATATAGGGGTTTTCAAATTTTTCATAACATGGACCACGTTTTAATAAAGAGATTGTCTGATGGACTACCTCATTCCAATTCATAATCACATGGACCATCTTCCCTCTTATTTGTGATTGAATGACATCTTTGTGGTGACTACAGCAGTGCTTTCATGGGAAAAGCCATAACCTCCCCCCCTACTATTACTATTAAATTAAGTGGTATTTATAGTTTCTTTAACGCAATTTAGTAGCTGGAAACGAGGAGAAGGAGCCAGCATCATGTGACCAAACAAAACTCTGCAGACCATCAGTAAATGCTCCCTCGTGGTCAACAAGTCACAGTCTGAGAACTGCTGCTCTTATTACAGAAAAAAGTAAAAGAAACAAAGAAAAAAGAAAAAGTTCACAAATGTGTTGCAGATAGACAATTTCTCCTTATATATTCTAAATTTATAATCTTATTGTACTTCGCATTTGGAAATATGGAGGTAAGTAAGAAACAATTTGCCAAAATCGGGACAAAAGTAAATTCTAAATAATGCACAAATAGCACTATTAAATGTTTTCCTTTGTTTGGTTTTGTCACACTCTCTAGGTAAATAATATGAGTGAGTATATTCAGTTCTGTTAGCTCTATAGTAAACATATCCAGGATCAAGCTCTTAATAATCTATCTCCTGTCTTCACCTTTTTGCAGTCAATTTTCTTGTGGTCTTAGTCCTGAGCCACAATGAAATTGGCTTTGCAATAATGGGAGGTTAAATACAGCTTATTAAGGGCCTACCAACTGCAGTATTTATCCACAGTAAAATTCTGCTCCAACTGGTCTTAAAAACTAACAATAAATAATAAATTAGCAAAATTTTGCATTGATATTTAAATCTATAAGCACATATGCATAAACAGTACATATAAGCACATATGCATAAACAGCTTGCTATCTCTGGAGGAAAAAAAAAATCTACATTTACCAATATTCTAAAGTAGATTATAAAAATGTTATTCAAAATTCAAGATCAATCCTGCCGCTCTTATATACACAAAACTTCTCTTGACTTGAATGAATGTAAGAACTGAAAGATTAAGAGGCTATATAAAGGCCAAATATTTGAACTGTCAGTTGTGTTTCCAATTACAAGCATGTGCATGCAAACCCAAGGAGAGAATCAATGCTCTGAGTTTGCTTTTATGAGGCTGACCAGAAGAGAGTAATTGTGTTTTAGAGACTTCTATAGTACAGCCTTTATTCTTGATGAAAAACAGATTTTAAGGGATCAGAAAAATGAGAATGAGAAATAAAAATTCAGTACAGTCAACCTAGAGACTGCTTCTAAGATATTCAAGTTACTCCATTTTGGTGAATGTCCAATGAAGGCTATAAACACAAATCAACCAAAGTGTCTTTAAATATTTCTGAAGTACCAAATTAATACTTTGAATACAAGGATGATCATTTTCAATTGAGCTGCAATTAAAAATTAGCTAATATTTGAATTAATGATGACTTAGATGATGATCCTGCATAAACTTATTACCGAGTGCAATGTTTACTACTGAAGTCCCACCGGCGCTACTTATCATAGTAAGCAGTACATTTGGTAGTAATTATTTGCAGGATCGAACTAAGACCACAAAGAAGGGATGTTCTTGTGGTACCAAAAGGAAAAAGGACCATACATTTCCCAATCCCTGGTGTTCCCAGTATTTATTCAGCAACTAGCTCCTGAAGTTTAACTTTCCTACAAAGTTTCAAGATAGATGTATCATTAAATTGATATTTTAATTTCAGATTTCTGTTATTAGGGAAGGTCAAGCTACACAAAAGACCAATCTTTTTCCCTCTCTTTTAAAGGTGAAATATTTCTTTCTTTCTTTAAAAAAAGAAAAACAAGTTTCCTCTTTGGCTTCCCCTTTCTTACTTGTGACAGAAGAAGATTTTTGTCCTGTTTATGACAACACAGAGGAATCTGAATGCAGTAGCTACAACACTGTAAATAGCAAAATCCCATTGCAGTGGCTTCTGCTCATCAAAGGGCAAAAAGGGCTAGAAGGGAAAATCTGTCATCCTCCTCCTTAATAGGCTATCTTACCTCATCATATTAAACTCAGGCCTATATGTGAAGGGAGACTGCTGGAGTCAGAATCATGGTTCCCCGCTTATGAGCAGTCTCCTACTCTATGGCTGTCAAAGTATAGCAGAACTTGCCTGATATATCTTTATGTACTAAATCTCACCAGTTAGAGTGCTGCTCACTCCTTATACTCTCTCCCTATACCCATTGACTCTCTACTGAGGAAAGGAGTACTTGTGGCACCTTGGAGACTAACAAATTTATTAGTCTCCAAGGCGCCACAAGTACTCCTTTTCTTTTTGCGGATACAGACTAACACGGCTGCTACCCTGAAACCTCTCTACTGAGGGTGATGGAGAGAAGCCACTACCTAACTTGCCTCCTTTAGCAGGGTCACAGATAACTTGTTTTATCGGGGGAGGGGGAGCTAGATTAATAATAATAAAATAGCTATTGAATAGTGCTTTAATAAGTAGTATTGTACTACAACAAAATTTGTTCACTTTTAATAATGTGAGATAAATGAGCTTCTGTTCTAAACTCAGTATCTCCTTTATTTATTAATGTAATCCCTAAATTTCTGGGGGGCTAAAGCTACCTCAAGCCTTCCATTGTCTATGCCCACACTCATGGGAAAGAACCTGCTGTTTCAGAGATCATATAATACTGGAGAGAACCCTTACAGAGAAAAACTATCACTATTGTTGGTCTTGTGGGGCATCTACCCACATGCCTTCCCTTCTCCTGATCCAACAAGTGCTGATGTGTCATTCATACTCTCTGAGGAGAAAGGGCTGTACGACACAGTCACCTTTTGGGTGACATGCAGCTTCTACTGTTCATTTCCTAAGGTTGCAAGGGGTGGCACATCAGTGACCATGGCTCTATTCTCCATGCTGGGTTACAGTAGCAGTTCCTTTTCTTCACTTCACTTAGAGAGGGACTAAGAATTTTGGGATAGAGGGGGTTGATGGCAAGTTGCACCCTCTCCAACCACATATTTACATCAGGCAAGCACTGTGCTGGCCTGAAAGACAATGCCAGGAAGTAGAGGAGAGAGTAACTTGACCTGGTTCTCCTATGCTGGGTGATGGCATGTCCTTAGGGAAGACAGCCCTTCGTCCCCCAGGACAACTTCTTCTGATGACACAAAAAGTAGATTTTGATATTCAGTGTGTCCCAGATGCTGCACCCTGATTAGTTCACTAGATCATTGGAAAGGACAGGGACAGCTCTCTGCAACAAGCAAGAATAAGAAAATATATACTTTTTTCCTCTTAAAGTCCAAAGCTAATCCAGTGTCAAACCTGATATTCCCTAGTAAGAAAAGCATTAAGTCACAAAATAACTGCTCTAAGCAGACTCAAACATAGGAGGAGATGGCCCAATATAATAAGATTGGTATTAAAAGGTGCTTTCACATTTATTAACCTATTCCAATGATGAAATTGCTGTATGTGAGGAACCAAGTTTTTAGTACCTCTCAGGAGTCACTTTTTTCACAACCATAGCTTGGTAGGTGATGGCCTTTTTGTCTTTGATGCCTGTGTAACTGAAGTCTGAAGGAAGCACACCAAGTTCAGAAGACAAATAGCTAATTGCTTCTAGTGTTTCCAGATTTTCTTTTCGAAGGGTAAAACCTGCAACGAACAGCTCAAAATTATTAGAAATCCACCATTCCAAATTATATTGGCAACTCTGTCATCATTAATGGGCTAGCTGCTATTCTTTAACATTAGAACAGGATAGGATTTGGTAAGAACACAATCAATTGTTCTCAAAACTAAACTATAGGTAGAGGAAAAAATGTTTTTGTATTGAAGAAGAAGATTTAGATGGTGATAACTGATGCTCAAAACTACAGCTACTAGAAACCATAGTCGGCCATAAAAGCAACAGAATTTTCAGTGCTCAGAAGATGCAAATCTCTTCATATAGAAACAATCAAACAAAGCAATTTTAAAAAAAAAGACATACTGAACATTTCTAAGACAGTCTGTGGATTTAATGTTGGGCCTACAAACCATTCTTCTAACAGGAACATCATTCTGCAGATCAAAAAATAATGGTTTTAAAAAATGAAATCAGAAATCAAAACTGGTCTTATTATAAAACTGTGAGAAATAACCTTTCCAATTAATGGGGGGGCTTTTACGGGGGGTTATGGTCTCCAGGTGGGGGGGGGGGGGGTTTAGTTGGGATTTTGGGAAAATTTTTTCTAAGGGGGGAAACACTGTGAGACCTAGGGGGGGGTAGAACCTCCTTCCTAGAGGTTAAGGTAGGGACAAAGCCTGGTGGGATGATTTAAATGGGAATTGGTCCTTTTTGAGAGGGGTGGATAAAAATGTTGGGGTCCCTTCCAACCCTGATATTCTATGATTCTATGCTTTAACATCTAACAGATTAGGAACACCTAACAGAACATCCAGAATTATTCAAGTTATTTTAAAATGAGAAACTATAAAGCATGCAATTTACACAGGGAAAGAGGTTGCACTGAGGGTATTTCAGCCATTTCCACTGTGCTATTTATTTAATTCACTGCGGTAACTGGATTCATCTCTCACACCAATTTTTCAGTAATTCAACTCCACTGACTTCAGTAGAATTATTCCTGATTTATGCCTGTGTAAATGAGAAGAGAATCGGGCACTCTGTACTCTTTTAAAAAACAATTATTACAAAACAATTAACCAAGGAAACTATACAACATTATTAAATATTTACCTGTATAAATATCTTGTTTTTCCTGGCAATCCGCAGCTGGCCTTTTCCTGGACAAACTCTTCTCCCGAAACCTTACTATGATTGCTACATTTTGCTGACCATTTAAGTCTGTCACAGAAAAAGACTTTGTTTCTACAAGTTTTCCAAACTTCTGACTGACAAAATGGTGGACTGCCTTTCTGTGCTCCTTATTCCCATCAGGCTTAAAAGAAAATTTAGAGTTTTCCAGTTTTGCATCTAAAAATTTTAAAAAATCAAATGCTTCCTCCTCAGACACTAGTTGACAGAGCTGTTTGTAATCAGTGTTTGCTTTGACAATAATTTCATTATTCTTTGTAACAGTCATTAAGAAAGGAAATTTCTGTCTAATGGCGCTGTGTAAATCAGCTCGATTCCTCTTGTCAAGGACAGGCCCCAGTGAGAACTCGGTGGGATGAGCGGCTGGATCATGTTCTGAGTCCCACCAATCTTTTATGTTACAAGCAAACTGATTCAATAGTTCATTCACAGACTCGTCTAACAAGGAGTCCAATGTACCTACTTCATGGTGCCCACCTTCGGGTGCAGTTCCAGCCACGTGCTCTGTGCTGCCTTTGGCTGGTGACAGGCCCTCTACTGGAGCATGACTGGGGCTGTTGAATGGACCTAGCACCTCTTCTCTGCGCAGCTCCAGAGGCTCTGGACAGGACCTGCAGGGGCTCTGTGGGTAGCAGCTTTCTGGGGCTGCAGGCGTGTCACCGAGTGCACGAGGAGTCTTGGCTGTGCTCTCGCTAAGCAGCCGCCCAAGGGTATCAATTTCTGTGACAATAAAGTCATTGGCAGAGGTTTTTACGCTACCCTGGAAGCCGGCGTGATTGCTCCGCATGCTCAGCACACCCGGCATGGTGCCAGTCCTGCCCCGAGGCCACACACCTGTGAGAGAGTGCACCAGTCATCGCACAGCGGCCAGAGGACCCCCACATTTCCCAGGGGTTATTGCGGCTTACCAGCTACTAGCGTGGCCTCCTGAAACAAAACATTAACACAAGGGGTACCACTTCCCATTCTGTGGAGGGCAGCAGTCAGCGACCCTGGCCCTATCCCCTGCCCTGTGTGCGAGGAGCAGCAGGACCAACAAACCCACTCCTCCCCCTGCCCTGTGCATGTGAGGGGCAGGAGCCAATGAACCTGCCCCCAACCTCTGCCCTGTGCGAGCAGGAGCCAGCGAATCTGCCCCCAACCCCTGACCTGTGTGGACAGGAGCCAGCGAACCCACCCCCTGCACTGTGTACCTGGTGGGCAGAAGTCAGCAAACCCAGCCCCACCCCTGCCCTGTGCATGTGGGGGGCAGCAGACATAGCACAGCGCAGGGCCTGGATAGGGGACCATGAGGTGAGGTGCTGCCCCCATCCAGGGAGCAAGAGGTTCCCAGCTCCTGTCCACAGGGGGCGCTGCCACTATCTGCCCGGTGACAGTGCCCTGGGATCAGCCCTGCAGGGATGTCAAGGTTCAGGATAGGCCCTGGGCTGTGTCTCAGCCCCCAGTGACGGGCGCTGACCATACCGCACTCGCCTGCCCAGTGGGGGTGGGGGGAGTTACATCACAACATACATGAGGCTCCTCGGTGCCATCTTGGCGTGAGAGGGGTGTGGGCAGTGTGACACGTAGCAGACAGAGGCGAGTAGGCCCAGACAGTGAGGCCGCCTGCCCCGGGCAAGTGATCCCAGCAGGAGGGGTCCTTCTGCGAGCCAGACCCTGCTCTCAGTAGCACTAATGTGTGTGGGGGTTGAGCTGGAGGAAGCCTGACTCAGGGCTTGGCTTCACTTGCGAGTTACAGTGCAATAAAGGAGCCCTGGGCGCACTAGCTCACTACCCGTCCACACTGGCAAGGCACGTAGAGTGCTCTGACTCCACGGCTACAGCGCTCTGGGACTCCACCTCAGCGAGTGGAATAACGTTTGCTGCGTCCCCGCTGGAGCGCTGCGGCACCAGTGTGGACGAGGTGTTGCATTACTGCGCTCTGATCAGCCTCCGGAAATGTCCCATAATCCCCTTAAATCAAGTGGCCACTCTTGTCATTGTTTTTGAATCGCTGCAGGAATGCGGATATGTCCTTTGAAAGCTCCGTTTCTGACAGCTGGCTGCTCCGAGACAAAGCAACCATTAGTGTGGAATGCTGTGTGTGAGAGAGAGGCCGGGGGGTGGGGGGTTCTGAAGTTACAAGACAGCATGCTGACATGCTCTCAGCCCCCCCAAAACACACTCTCTCTCCCCCCATATACTCCCTGTCACACTCCACCCTCCCCCCCGCATTTGAAAAGCACGTTGCAGTCACTTGCATGCTGGGATAGCTGCCCATAATGCACCGCCCCAGTGCCGCTGCAAGTGCCGCAAATGTGGCCATGCCAGTGCACTTGAAGCTGTCAGTGTAGACAGACTGCAGCGCTTTCCCTACTGTGCTCTCTGAAGGCTGGTTTAACTCAAAGTGCTCTACATCTACAACTGTAGCCATGCCCTCAGGCTCTGCCGTGAGGGCCAGCCCCTCCCGCTGGCCTGGAGCGAGCCATGTAGGATTCACATCTTGCACTGGGTAGCAGTGTGCTTGGTGCTGCAGAGCCGTATCTAGTCATTTTAGCGCTCAGGGCGAGCAAATATATTTGCACCCCATACCGTTTTTTCCCCTGTCATTTTTCTCCCCCAGAGGCTTTGCGCCCTGGGCGGCTGCCGTGCTCGCCCCACCCTGGTTTCGGCCTCTGTAACTCTGCCACTTGCCTCCTTTGTGATCTTGGGTAGATCATATGTTTTGGTGCCTCAGTTTTCTCTTATTGGAAAGATACTCTACAGAGGGACGGTGGGAGGCATAATTCACTGGTAAAGAGTGCAAACTAGAGTAGTTCATCTCTCCAGAATGTGTACAAGGTGAAAAAGGGACCCTTTCCCCATAAACCAGAGATCACAAATTAAGAGACCTCACAGAAAGCAATATTGCCATTGTAAACTCTAGCCTTAGAGATCATGAAGTCACTACAGCATTTGGGACCAGTGCTATAGTATCTATTTTATAAATATTTCAAATATGCCTTTCTGAAACTTAATCCTCTGACCCACTAAAACCCATGCCCACGTGTGGCTTCCAGAGAGAGAATCCTGCCTAACATATGTCCCAGTGAATGGGATCCACCAGTGTAGCTGGAACTCCAGCTGGGCCCCTCCTACTCTGTCAGTAATCTGCCTCTCCCATCCTAGCCCACAGGAGCTGTGCTAAACAGCTCTCTTCTGGGAAGCATTCCCATACTCATGTCCAACAGGCATAAAAGCCTCTTCCATCAGGCAAAATCAGATCAGTGTTTTGCTTCCAGCAAAAAAGTGCAAGTTTTATGGTGATAGCAATTTCTCTGTCTCCTGATTAATAACAACAAACCAAGGCCCACAGGCTGGGGAGAAGAAGAGAGCTTAATTTACTCTGAGTTTTGAAATGGGGTCTTAATGTCTAGATTCAAATTAGCCAGCATCGCCTTTTCATCTGGGGAATTGAAATGAAATGTGATTTTCTACAGCAGGCCATGGCTAGTCCTGGACTAGTAGTCCAGCTCCCACCACACACAGCCCTTTTAAAACATGTGTCAGATAAAGTAGGTATCTTCCTCTTTCACATGCTTCATTATTTTCCTCACTGTATTGTCTGAAGTACAGATTTTAACACCCCTCCCTCCCACACACTTATCTAAGCCCCCGTGTTCTTCCTGCAAATCAAGAGGATGATGAGATCTGGGGGGAAAGGAAAACAAAAAGAAATGGCTTTAGGCTGTTTCATTTTCCCAGTGAAATAATAAAACCTTATCCCAAAGCAAATTAACATGTCTAAGTGTCAAAAGAGCAAGACATGATTTTCCATCAGCAAAAGCATAGGGGCTGTGGGATAGAAAGTGCAAGTGGAAACAGTGACATCCAAACAACAGTAAGTAATTAATACCTGACATTTCCCAAGGCTGAATTCTGCAGTAAGGGTGCAAATCACAGCAAGAGCACGGATAGCAACTAGAACTGGGCTTGACACAAGTCTGGGAATCAGATCTGTTTCCCAGTCCTAATCACTGCAGCAAGGCACTCTGCCTGCTCAGTTTCTCCATCTAAAAATTGAGATAATGGTGCTACTCCCTTTTTGTAAAGCACTTTGGATCGGATCCACAAACGGACTTAGGTGTTGCAATGCTGAGTGTCACCGCACCTAGAAAATGACAGGAACACACCATGATCCTCAGTTAGCTCTCTGTACAATGTATGGGGAGAGATAAGTGGCTAAGAATGCCATCCACAAAAGACAGCACTGCTGCTCCCTACCTAAAGTAGGGAATGGGAGATGTGGACCACAGGCATATGTTATGTTAAGCCCTGCCCCGTTCTCAGAGATAGGCACCTACAGCCAAGCTGCTTTGAGGCACTTATGTCAGTTTAGCAATCCCCAAACAGGAACATTCACCACCTGGAATCGGACAGCTTAATAGGGATGTAAATACGTTTAAAAGTTAACTGCTTAAATGATTAAAAATATTTTGTTTAAATGGTTAACCGATTAAAGGCTGATCTGGCCCATCCAGGGGTTAATGGTTAAGGCGGGTTAACAGGTAAGACTAATGCTAACATTTTACATCCCTACAGTTTAGATACCTACTTTGTGGATCCGACCCTTTAAGAGCTAGAAAATGCAATCTAACAGTAAAGTGTTATTATAAGCTGTAATGCTTTGGATCGATGCTGCAGAACAATTTAACATAGCTCTTTATGTCCTCAGTGAGAGCTCCTGAGAGAAGCTGTGGAAGCCCTATTGCTTGACACACTTAAAATCTGCCTGGACCAAATAGTAATAAATGCACAAATGGGCACAATCCTGTGTTGGCAGGGAGAAGGACTAGAAGGTCTAACTGGTCTTTTTAATCTCCAGAGTCTGTGATTTACAAACATTGTGAAACAATGCATTCGCAATTGTCCAATGTGAGTGGAGAGGGGACTGGGGTTTGAGGGACATCAAGAGTGCAAACTCGTTTATTAAAATGCGTGGAATAGGTAGTGTGGCTGAACAGATGGGGCATTGGTCTAGGAGTCAGGAGCGATGAGCTCAGTCCTGGTTTTGCCACTGACCCACCATGTAATCTTAGTCTTAAACTCTCTGTGCCTCAGTTTCCTCATATGTAATTGCACTTATGTATGCTTGTAAAGTGCTTTGAGAGCTTTCAGTGAAACATGTGATGTAAGAGCTGAGTATTTATAGGTAGATAAATACAGGAGTGCTGCCCTGAGGAGCTTACAAAATCAATGTAAATCAGAAGCACAGTAAAGATAGGAATGGGGGGATGGCCTATGAAAGAGCAGCACAGCAAGAGCCTGACACAGAACAAACCACGGTCGTTGCATTTACTCCTTGCCTATTACATCTGTTGCACTAGATTTCTGTTATCCCGGGTGTGCTTAGCAGGCTAATTCACAGCAGCCCTGCACCTGACCAAAGCAAGAGCCGTTTTACTGGGCTGTCTCTGGGCGACATTTTCCTGCGTCTGAGACAAATAAACAGCCCTGCGCGGATCAAAACGTTACATTAAAATGTGCAGACATCAATACTCGCAGCTTTTAACCTCACTTGAGAGCATGCAGGTGTCAGTCGTCCCCACCCCCCCTCTCCCCAACTACCCCCGTGGCCCTGGCCCTGGCCCGGTGCCCCCCCTCCCAGGCACTTGGTGCAGCCACTTCCTACCTCCGGCGCGCGGTTGCAAGCAGAGCGCGCGGGCCTCCTGCCCTGCCCACCAGCCCGGGCGCTCAGAGCTCTGCCGCTGCGGTCCTAGCGCGGGGGCCGCCTGCTCCGCCCGGGACACTGGGCCCGCGACGCTGCGGGGGCGGGGCCCGAGCGCCCTGGGCTGCGGCCGGACGCCGCTGGGCCCGATCCTGCACGGCCCCACTTTTGCGCCCCCGGCGGCGCCCGCCCCGCCCTAGTTGCGGCGCGGTACGAGGTACCCAGACCACGTGCTTCCTGCCCCCGCGAGTTCAGAGCCTGAGGCCCGAGGATCCCTCCTTGTCTGCCCTCGCTGTAAGTCCCGTGGCCGCCGGGCCCCGCTCTCTCCTCTGGGTCGGGGGGATGCGCGCGAGAGCCGGGTCCCATGCAAGGCACTACGGCCCCGCAAACCTGACTGGGGGGGGTCGGGTTTCAATAAGGTCACCTGGTGAAGTAGGTTGGGTATGTACAACTTGTAAAACCTGTTTTGGGGCAGAAGGCATGATGTGGAGCTGAGATGAAGGGGAGCTACGGGGGAGGGACTTGGAGATGGACATAAATGGAGGACTCCCCATGTTTATATAGCACCTAACACAATGGAGCTCTGGCCTAGTTGACTTCTAGTACCACAATATAAATGTTAACGCTGGGGAAGTAGAAGAAAGAGCGGAAAGAGTAGTGGCAAGACTCAAGGGGATGAAAGCAGGCGATGGTGTGATTAAAAAACAGTGAATTAAAACGAGATAACTGAGTCTTATGCCTTATGTCAATTATCGTTTTAATTACAAGCCTGTATTAAAAGGATGCAATGCATTTGTTAGGAAGATGAGCAAATCCATAACTCCTTCAACATACGTGCGCTGCATTGGCTATAAACTCATGATGCAGCTGGCTGATTTCATTGATCCACAAGAAGGATGGAAGAAGCTAGCAGTAGATATAAAAGACCCTTCTGGTGAAAACAGATACAACCAAATGCATATAAGGTATTGTATAAAAGTCATGCGAAAATAGATTTGTTGTTTTTAATCAAATGCCAATTCCTCATTCCTGTGACTTGTAACAATTTCCATGTGAGGAGAGATTTAAAAGACTGGGACTGTTCAGCTTAGAAAAGAGATGACTAAGAGGGATATGTCAGAGGACTATAAAACCATGAATGTGTGGTGAAAGTGAATAGGGAAATGTTATTTACCCCTTCTGTCATAAATATAAAGGGAAGGGTAACCACCTTTCTGTATACAGTGCTATAAAATCCCTCCTGGCCAGAGGCAACATCCTGTTACCTGTAAAGGGTTAAGAAACTCAGCTAACCTGGCCGGCACCTGACCAAAAGGACCAATAAGGGAACAAGATACTTTCAAATATCTGGGGATGGGGGGAAGGCTTTTGTTTGTGCTCTTTGTTTATGTGTTAGTTCTCTCTTGGGACTGAGAGAGGCCAGACAGAAATCCATCTTCTCCAACCCATCCTAATCCAAGTCTCCAATATTGCAACCAGTATAGGTAAGCCAAGCAAGGCGGATTAGTTTCTTTTGTTTTATGTGAATTTTCCCTGTGTTAAGAGTGAGGTTTATTCCTGTTTTCTGTAACTTTAAGGTTTTGCCCAGAGGGGGATCCTCTGTGTTTTGAATCTGATTACCCTGTAAAGTATTTTCCATCCTGATTTTACAGAGGTGATTCTTTTACCTTTTCTTTAATTAAAATTCCTCTTTTAAGAACCTGACTGATTTTTCATTGTTCTTAAGATCCAAGGGTTTGGGTCTGTGTTCACCTGTACAAATTGGTGAGGATTATTATCAAGCCTTCCCCAGGAAAGGGGGTGTCGGACTTGGGGGGATATTTTGGGGAAAGATGTTTCCAAGTGGTCTCTTTCCCTGTTCTTTCTTTAAAATGCTTGGTGGTGGCAGCATACTGTTCAAGACCAAGGCAAAGTTTGTGCCTTGGGGAAGTTTTTAACCTAAACTGGTAAGAATAAGCTTAGGGGGTCTTTCATGCGGGTCCCCACATCTGTACCCTAGAGTTCAGAGTGGGGAAGGAACCCTGACACCTTCACATAACACAAGAAAACTAGGGGTCAGCTGATGAAGTTAATAGGCAACAGATTTAAAACAAACCAAAGGACGTACTTCACACAACACACATTTAGTCTGTGGAAATCATTGCCATGAGTTGTTGTGAAGGCCAAAAGTATAGCTGGGTTCAATAAAGAAATAGATAAATTCATGGATAAGATTAAGTTTTTGTCATGGTTATTTTTAGTAAAAGTCACAGACATATCGCGGGCAATAAACAAAAATTCATGGAAACCTGTGACCTTTACTAAAATAAGGAAACCTGTGTCTTTTACTAAAATAAGGGGAGGGACTGACAGCTCCTGCCCCTGCTGTCTGTGGCAGCTGCTGACAGCTGCTGGGGCCCCACATCGGCTCAGAGCTACAGGGATGAAGCTGAAGCAAAAAATGTCATGGAGGTCTTTGAAAGTCATGGAATCCGTGAGCTCCATGACAAAATCTTATCCTTATTCATGGAGGATAGGTCTATCAGTGGCTATTAGCCATTTTACTTTATTTTAAAAACTGATTGTTTAGTCTCTTACTTGAGTTATTCACGTAAAGTCTCTTTCTTTAAGGAGCCAAAAGGAAGTGAGGGGTGGAATTGCCCATCCCCTCTTTATTTTATCTACCAGTTGGGTCTAAAGTCCAACAACTTTGGTTCCTTAATTTCTGGTTCCATATCTTCTTCTTTTTACAAAGCATGATTTTAACATAGCCCTTGAACCATATCAGCAGGCCCTTTTATTTGGATTAATTTAGTTTTTTTGTCTCCTTTTCATACCTTTTCCCAACAACATTTATTATTATAGGTTATTGTACGATCTTATAAACTTTCACATAATTTTTTTTTACAGTTGAGCTCACAATTAGGATAAATTTTTAAGCCCAATTGTTACGTATTTTTAGTACCCTTTTAACACTAAAGCCTCAATAGCCTTTCTGTAATAATAATAAAGTGGTGAAGACATTTAGTTAGGTTCCAGTTTCATTCAGTTTCTGTCCCTTTCAAGTTAAATAGTCTAAGCAAACTCAAAGTCAAAATGGAACAAAAATTATAAGAATTATTTTTATTTTGATAACACACCATGTAGTTGTTCACATATGCAGCAATATTGTGTGTATTTGGAAGAATGCTGTAAATGATCTGCACAGATGTATTTTAAAATTGGGTTTGTGATCTTTCTGATGAAAGAGATTTTTGTTTCTGTATGTGTGTTCTTTGTTGCTGTTTACATTAGGTCTTGTTACCTTGCATTTTCTGGAAGACTTTATGAATAACTGAAGAACTAGTTGTACAATATGATGAATACCAAGGAAGTGAAACCTACCTCAGGGATTTAGTCAAGCTGTCTAAAATTTCTTAACAGCTTCTTAATTGGAACACCTAACAAACAGGTGGAAGAAACATTCTTTTTGCTAAATATTCAACACCCACCCCCCTTCATTTGAGGGCTGAGAAGGCACCCAGTCCACTTACCTGGGTCTTCCAGCAGGACCCTCTAGCAAAAACAGGAAAAATAGATTTATTTTTCTATCATTAAAATATTAGGAATAAACAGGAGAAAACTTTTTTTTTAAACTTTTCAGGTCTCCTGCCTATGCCATGAGGAAACACAGAAAGGGTGAAAACCTATCACCCTCCTCCTCCCCCCCCCGCCCACCCTACCTGTCTTTGCAGGTCACTTCTTATTTAAAAAAGTAATTTGGTTTTAATTTGTCTTTTAAGGAGATTTGAAGGGCTAATAAAGATGGGAAAGAGCCCCACCTGCGAATTACTGTATGACTGGGGAACATCGAACTGTACGGTTGGTGATCTTGTGGAGCTATTGACCAGGAATCAGTTCCTAGCACCAGCTAGCCTTTTGCTTCCAGGTAGTTCTGTTCTCCACAGTATCTATATATTGCATTCTCCATTTACACAGATTTTTTTGTAACTTCACAGTAGCTCTCTATTTAAAAGAAATGAAATGACTAGCTTGTTTAAATGATAACTGAAGGTAGTTACATCTCTCCTGACTTATTTTTTTTTAATAACAAAGATTAAGAGTAATTGTTTAGGACATTACAAGGGGCATACATTTTTAAATTTTAGACACATACAGAACATGTCACCTTTAGTGAAGCTTAGATCTGTCAGCCTTTACTAAATGCTGATGCTATGTAACCTATGATTTTCTGTTTCCCAGCACTCTTTGATAGATTTTTAATTTCATTTGCAGATGCTGTTAGGGGGGCAGATGATGTTACGGTACCTCTTTCTTCACAAGAAACTATGCCTATACATGAAAAACAAGTGCCTGTACAGGAAAAACCAGTAATATCTGCAACACCTCTATTAGCTCAGAGTGAGGGACAACCTTCAGCTCCTTCCTGCTTACCTCAAGAGAACAACAGTCTGCAACTTAGTGACACAGGTATGCACTTTGGTAGAATTAAATGCAGCTTCAGCTACTGCCTTCCATCATTACACACATCCTTGACCCAAGTTCTAGAAGTGAAAAGGACCTACAGTAGAACCTCAGAGTTAAGAACACTTCAGGAATGGAGATTGTTCGTAACTCTGAAATGCTTGTAAATCTTGAACAAAACATTATGGTTGTCCTTTCAAAAGTCTTACAACTGAACATTGACTTACTACAGCTTTGAAACTTAAACTTAACTATGCAGAAGAAAAATGCAGCTTTCCCTTTATTTTTTTGATAGTTTACATTTAGAACAGTACTGTACTGTATTTGCTTTTTTTTGCCTCTGCTGCTGCCTGATTGCATACTTTTGATCCCAAATGAGGGGGGTAGTTGACCAGTCAGTTCGTAACTCTGGTGTTCGTAACTCTGAGGTTCTACTGTATAGCAACCAAGGGGCCAGATTTTGATATGCCTTTGCAAGTCCCTGTAAAAAGCCGCCTACCCCTTGTCCAGTTTTTGTGCTGCCTGCACAAAGGGATTTTGGCCTGTGGTCATCAAACTTCCAGTATGCATGCTCCATCTTGATATTAACAAGGCCACTGAGGTGGAGTGTTGGATATAGAAGCTTCTAATTCCAATGTGCTCTACATCAATGTTAGTGATGAGGTTGGACTGTTGGAGTACTTGCTTCATGGGCTACGCTTTAGTCTCCTGAGTTCTAAAATTAAAGCTGAATTGACTGTATATCTGGTTTCTTCCACACAAGGAACTGGAAGATATTTGTACTCAAATTACCTGCAAGTAGTGAGCAAAGTTATCAAAGAATAGCTAACTCACTTGTAATTTGTTTGCTTTTCTTACTTTCTGGTGTCTGCTCAGAGAGAGCAATTCTGGCTTAAAACTCGCAATGAATCCAAAATTAAAGCTCCACAATGCCATTATTTGTACTCTGGTAAATCTGTTGTTTAAATAGAGCAAAAGCAGGGAGATAGCCACTTCACACACAAGTAGCTTAGAGTGAAATTGACCTTTCAGTTCCACCCTAAATGTGAAATGTTTTTGTTTCAGGTTTCCACAGCTTTTGGTTCCATGAGTTGAAAAATGTTACAAACAACTTTGATGAACGACCTATATCAGCTGGAGGTAATAAACTGGGAGAAGGAGGCTTTGGAGTTGTGTACAAGGGCTACATCAATGGCAGAATTGTGGCAGTGAAAAAGCTTGCTGCTGTAAGTTGTCATAACTATTTTGTATGGGCGTCGTATGCTTTATGGTATTACTACTGTGTATTTTAAGTGGACATATTCAGTATTATTATAAGTGACCGGGATACTCCAGAATTTGACATCATTGAAAATTCAGTTGGGTGAGAATCTTTCTCAGATTTTAACTTTTTTTTTTTTTTAATGTATTATTCTTTCATCAAAATGTAAGTCACCTGTTGGGATTTTTAGTAACATAGACTTTACTATATAAGAGGTTAATGGTTCATCTACTGAGTTGTTTGTCTCCAAAGGGGGCCAATACCAGATGTTTCAGAGGATGGTGTAATTTTCCTCACCTACTGTGGTATACCAGATGATGCAGTAGTATGCAACTGACAGAGATGAATTGTAGAGGTTAGTTTTTTCCTGGCCTGGTGATCAGTTTGTGCTCTGAAGTTTCAGAATGGATAGTCTCTGTAACTTTATTCTAGTTCAACTTAGGTGCTTCCAAGGTAAGACGTGAAAGCTCCATTTTAAAAAGAGTTTTCTAAAGGCCAAGAAACTATTGTAAGGAATAATCCAGTACTGGTAAGGATTGGAGCAATGATTTTATAAGTCTTTCCCATTCTGATTTCTGTGATTCTGTGCTTCAGATGTGTCTGGTCTTTGTTTTTTTTTTTTTTAAGCTCTCTGCCTCATTACTGGGTGGGTGACCCCACAAGTTAAATATACATTACATTAATATTTTGACTTTTATCTATTATACACTTGCTGGCTAAGTATAAATATTTACTTTTGTATTATTAAGCACAGTATTGCAATTAGAGGAAAAACAGGTGATCTAGCTTCTATGCTGACATCCTAGATCCAGTTATCTTCTAATCAAGAAAGTAAATAATAATGCTGTGATATCTCATTTTCAAGTTCCATTAAAAACCACACAGTAAAAAATAACATTTTCTAAATGGGAAAGGATAGAATTGCTAAGGAAAGAATCTTTTCAATTCTTGAAAAATATTGGTTATTACATACTGTTCTCTATTTTTAGCTTTTAAAGTAATTAACATTGTCATTCATGGGTATTCAGAGGGACAGTGTAACTAACATGTTTGTTTTTGGAGGAGAATGTAGCTTGTCTCAAATTAGAAGTGAAAAAGATAAGCTTTTATCTGCATTATTGTGCTGCTATATCTTGAAATGCTGAGTAAAATACCTTAATTTAAGGTTCAGCTGCCGGAATTTTGTGTAGGAGCCCAAATTTCTCTTTCCAAGGGCGCAGTCTTGTAGCTCGTGGTAAACTGAACAATGGGAGCCTACTTCTGCAGCCCTCTCCCCTACCAGTGGTCTAGTGAAATCAGTGGGACCACTCAGTTTACAAACACATACAGTAAAACTGATCTGTCATACGAGGGGATAAACGTCTTTCTACAACCCTGTAAGAATTCTGATATTACCCTAATATTTTACTGCTCCTTTTTATCCCAGGCCCTTGAGGCTCAGTGTCAAGACCACCACCTTGGCTGTAGAGGATCTGAAAATTTAAGAGGGAGAGAAGTCTACATAGTTACTTTTTTTTTTGTTGCTAAAGGGAATGTTGCAAGTTTGGTGTGGAAGACCCAAAAGAAATTCTGTCATTCTAATCAGCATTTCAAAGGACAAGAGAATACTGTGTAACAATGATAAAGAATGACTGTATAGAGTCAATGATTCCATCACAAGTAGTGGCAAAAGTTTACACACAAATTTTGGCACACTGTAAACATCCGCAAGGGGGAAATGGAGAGAACATCCTTCATTGACCCCCTGAGAAAGGTCCCTGTTGCACAGAAGCCAAGTTATTTAGTCAAGGGGGTAAAAACCAGGGAGGGAGAAGAACTATTTAACTTACAGGGAAAAGTTATCAAAAGAACAATTGGTATAAACTGGCTATGAATACATTTAGGTTAGAAATTAGAAGGTTTTCTAACTGTCGGAGGAGTAAGGTTCTAGAATAGCCTCCCAATATTACTAGTGGGGGCAAACAACCTAATTAGTTTTAAGAGAGAGCTTGATACATTTAAGAGTGAGACAGTATGATGGGCTTACCTGCCGAGGCAAGGGGCTGAGTTCAGTGGAACATGGGGTTCCTTCCAGTCCTGTGTCTTATGTTCCCTAAATCTCATGCTTCAGGGTTTCAGCTGGTCACCTGCAGGGACTCAGGAAGGGAACTTCTCTCCCCATTGTATTCTGGGTTTTCTTTTATTCTTCCTCTGAAACAGAAACAGCCACAGCTGGATATGGGACATGGTATGCAATGGGCCAGTTCTCCATGGCAGTACAGAGATTCTTTCTCAGAAGCTTGGCTGGTGTGTCTTGCTCACATGCTCAGGATCAAAATGATAGCTATTTTTGGGATTAGGAAGTAAATTTCCACCAGGTCAGATTGGCAAGGGCCATGGGTTTTTTGCTGTGGCATAGGTAGGGATTGCTTGCTAGGATCATCCGGTTATATTTTACCAAATCAATTCCCTGCCATCGAAGGGGCCTCTGGCATTAGTGCATTCATTCCCTCCTATTCTCTGCCTGTGGTACACAGTAGTTTAATTTCCTGAGGGCTGTAATGTTTTGATTAGACTCAGTACAGGGATAACTGAATGGGGTTTAATGGCCTGATGTGCAGGAGGTCATAGAATCATAGAATATCAGGGTTGGAAGGGACCTCAGGAGGTCATCTAGTCCAAACCCCTGCTCAAAGCAGGACTGATCCCCAATTAATGGTCAGACTGGATGATCTGATGATTGCTTCTGGCCTTAAACTCTTATTCTGTAAGGTCACAAAGGAAATCTCTGGTAGTGCCAAGAATAGGATCCAGTTCCATGACTTTAAAGCGTGTGCCTAAATGTGGACTAAGGAAGTGGTTTGATCCCCCCTCGCCTCCAAGTGTTGAGCACCAACTAATTTCCATTGACTGCAACAGCTGTTATATAGGACTGGACAAATGCAATGAGCAGTGTAGTGGCAAATAAGAAATTCCCTTGCAAGCATGTGGACATGGGTGGGGCTGCCCATCAGTTTCTGCAGGAGGATGTTGGTTGGGGGAGATGGGGAGGGGAGGGGAAGAGGTGTTTGCATCTATGAGAGTAGCCACCTGAATGTGAATCAGTACTGTCTTTCTGGGTCAGCAAAGACGTGTGATAAGGATGTTACATAGTACATATTGTACTGCCAACTGTTTCAAACCAATTTTTTATGGTTTACAAAAAGAGGTGTCCCCAAGTAAGATTTGCAATAAACTTGTTTTGTATGTAATATCACCTACAAAATTAATGGAGAACTAATATTTTCTTTGTAGATGGTTGATGTAAGCATTCAAGATCTGAAACAGCAGTTTGATCAAGAAATAAAAATAATGGCAAAGTAGGTACTAAGTCATGCAAATTTAGCATAACTGTAGGTATAGAGGACCTACATTTGCAGAATTCTCCTTGTTAGCATGCTGCCTTAGGGTTTCATTACTATAGTTTTGCATGGGATAGTTTGGAAACTGTTAAGTGAAAACATTGTAAAACTATTGTGGATCTTTTCTGCTCAAGATAAAGGTTTAGGCTTATGATTAACTCTGCACAGTTTAGTAGTGCATTGAGTTTGCAGGTTTGTGGGCTGTTAGCCAGTGTCATGTATTTCCAAAATGCTTTGCATTTAGGCTAAGTTGTAAAACTATGAACTGAATTCCTAGAATGCTTTGTAATCATGCTAAGCTTTATTGTAGAAATTTACTAATAGCTAAACTGTTCCAATGTTTGTTCTCCGTATGTGTGGAGTCTGTCAGAAATAAGATGTATGTTCTGTTAAGGAATGTTGTATATAAATTGTATTGGGTACCATTAGCACAAAACAGTTCATGTCTCTATATGCAACTTGTATTCTATAGTCTACTACAAACTTTTTGGCCAGAGGGCCACATTGGGCTTCCAAAATTGTATGGAGGGCTGGTTAGGGGAGGCTGTGTCTCCCCAAACAGCCAGGCGTGGTCCGGCCCCTGCATCCTATCCGACCCCCCTGCTTCTCGCCCTCTGATGCCCCCCCCTTCCTCCCCCATTCCCTGTCGGCCCCCCTGGGACTTCTGCCCCATCCACCACCCCCTGTCCCCTGACCACCTCCAGACCCTCCCATCCCTGACTGTCCCCTGCTGCCCCATCCAACCCTCCCTCTCATTCCTGACTACCCCCCTGGGACCCCTGCCCCATTCAACCCCCCTCTCCCCTGACAGCCCCCCCAGGACTCCTACCCCATCAACCCCCTCCTCCGTTCCCTGTTGGGCTCCCTGGGACTTCTGCCCCATCCGCCACCCCCTGCTCCCTGTCCCCTGACCACCTCCGGACCACCCCATCCCTGACTGTCCCCTGTGCCCCATCCAACCCCCCCTCTCATTCCTGACTACCCCTCTGGAACCCCTGCCCCATCCAACCCCCCTATTCCCCACCCTCTGACCGCCCCGACCCCTATCCACACCCCCCTGACCGCCCTAACCCCACACCCCCCCCCCCCCCGCTGCTCTCTGCCCTCTTACCACCCAGCACAGAGCACTGGGTCAGGCCATGGCTCTGCAACTGCGCTGCCTGGCTCCCCAGAGCGTTGCGCCAGTGGCGCGGTGCACTGAGGCTGCGGGAGTTGGGGGACAGCAGGGGAGGGGCCAGGCAGGAGGGTCCCGTGGGCTGGATGTGGCCTACGGGCCGTAGTTTGCCCACCTCTGGTCTACCAACATCTGGAATGTTGTTGCATATGGTTGGTACACATGTCTTTGCACCCTGAAAAATAGTTATGAAGCTAGATTAAAGAAAGGGGAGTAAGGTATATTAATCTTCTACTTGTCATAAACAAGTGGACTATAACTATAGGTCAAATTAAGTTCTCACTTTGAGATGGACTGAACTGCTACAACTCTGTTTCCCAGAGATTGATAATGTATGAACCTCTCTGGTTATGCTGATCTACCTTTGATTAATAAACTAATTGAGCTGAGTTATCTGATGTCTTACTAATCAATAATCCACACCAAACCACTAACAGGACTCAACTTTTTTTTCTAAATGTTAGAAGTATCATGCAGCAGAACTAATTATTAAGGTTTCTCTTTGCCACAGGTGTCAACATGAGAACCTAGTAGAACTGCTTGGTTTCTCAGGTGATGGTGATCAGCCCTGTCTGGTTTACGAATACATGCCCAATGGTTCATTGCTTGACAGACTGGCTTGTCTGGTAAGTGAGATTTATTACTTTTCTAACTTTGTCTTCTACTTCTGTCAATGACTAGAAGTTTATTCTAATGTCCTTGAGACACTGATGGATTTGAAGTGGTCAAGCTATGATATTCTACTTCCAGCTGGAAGGCAAATACAGTTAACATTTTATACAAACATATTAACTTATTAGGAGATCAGATATAATATTAATTAATTAGAACAAGCTAGACCATTGTCCTTAACAACCTGTCTGAAAAATAGCAGCTCCCCGAGAGACTGAAAAAAGTCTGAAAGTTTTGTGAAATGTTTAAAAACCTGTAAGTTTATCAGTGAGTGCCAGAGTTCTTTGTTTGGTTTTTAAATGTCATCATTCATAGAGCAATCTATTATCTTTTGTGATAAGTTGTGGTCTTCCCACCCTGTCCATTGTAACCATTTTTGTCAGGCATAAGTGTTTGTTTCTTGCTCTAGTCTCTGTCCTTGTAACATCAGTTGAAACTTCCAGAGTGTGGGAGTCAGTGTCAAAAACCATAAACCAGGCTTAGCAAGCTGAAGAGCAGTATTTAAGCAATAAATATTGTCTGTATTTAAGAAATAAATATTTTCTGTAAGTAAAATTCTTCCTTTTGATGTAGGGAAATGACTTATCGTGGAGGCTTGAGCCTCTTAGTAACTGTAATAAATGCCATCCGTGTTTGGCAGGTGTGCAGCTACCTACATGAGGGAGAAAATGTTCCCTGGCACAGAAATGTCAGTTTGATTTACAGATGTAACTTACAGTATGAACATGAGAAGAAACGCTTCTTACTTCATGTGGTTTCCTAGTACGGTGCTGAGCCAAATGAGCATAGCTTCCTTCTAACTATAATCTAGTATTGCCCCTTTAGAAGACTTCAACAACAAAAAATAGTGGGTTAGTAATAAAACTAGTTGTTCAAAGATTATAAAGTGACAGTATACACATTCATCTCAAGAACTTCCTGTTCAGGAAAAGAGACCTGAAAGATCACGTCTTTCTGATGTTGGTGACTGGTTTCTTTTGCATTAGTCTCAAGAGGGAAACAACTGTCTAAGAAAATACAATCATTTAAGAAAAACTATAATGTAACTTTTAAATGGACCTTACATGTACACATGAAATAAGCAAGCTAACCACTATGTCCGTGTTAAGATACTAAATGCCAGTCAAGTCTACACACAGACTTGCACCAGTTTCAGAAAAGGTGTTTGTTGGGGTTTTTAAAAAAACGGATTTTGTTAAACCAGTGCAAGTCTGCTTATAGATATTCTTTATTTTGGTTTAAGAGTAGCTTATTTCAGTTTAGCTTAATCCTGTAGAAAACTGATCAAGCTAAACTGAAATAAGACCTAGTGTAAAACACAATCTCACTGTTTTTACTAAAGGTGTAACTTTAAACAAATTTAGTTAAACTGGTGCAAGCCCCAAACTAAGCCATTATAAATCAGGGTTAACCCTATAAGAGTGTCCACTTACATTTGTATCAGTTTAGTAAAATCATATTAAAAACTGACTTAAAACGAATGCAACATCTGAGTGTAGACAAGTCTTAAGTGTCTTGGTGTACAAACTTGTGCCGGTGTAAATAAATCTGTTTAAAAACAACTAAAAAAACACTTTAAACTGATGCAAGTTGGCTTGTAGACAAGCCTCTTTCTTTGGAAGAGGTGTGTGTGAAAATCTTTTGCTATTTGTCTCTGTAACCTCAGGAATCAGCACTAGGGAAAGAGGAAGCTGGGCAGAGCACTCCTAGTCTGAAGGGGAGGCAGAAATAGGCCAGGCCCTTGCATGTAAGGGAGAGAGAGCAAGCTTATTCCCTATTATGTCCCCAAGGCTTCTCCGTCCAATGACTAGAGGGGGAAATGGGTGGTTGTCAGAATGTTTATTATGCTTGCTGACTTTCAAGAATTCCCATGGGTACTTGGCACTGCTTTTTTGGCTCATCCCCTTCACTACACAGAGCCTAGGCTGAGCTGAGCTGGAGAAAGGGGATTCATGCCAATCCTCTTCCCTAGGTGGCTGACTGGGTACGGATGGGGGGGGGAGTTAAATGTCCCCATTCTTCCAGCCTAATTAGTGCCATGAACTAAAGTGAAAATCTTGTGCTGGTAAATTGTATGTTTGCAATCATTTATTGAAGGAACATTAGCTTTTCACTTTGTCATTCATGTTCATAAAGATGTTTATTGACTGGAACAATTTGCTTTGGTTGTGTAGATGTGATGTTGCGACTGCTGTGGCTGAAATAAAATATAGGATGTAATTGTTGTCGATGTAGTTAGCTCTTTGTTTTGCAATTTGGTGTTTGCCGGTATGTAGGTAAAATCAAAGCAATAAAGAGCAAGTTTTGAAACAACCTAATGCAGTTCTTAAAATAAAAAGGGGTGGGAAGAGGAAATCTATATATTGCTACACAAGTGAAGAAAGAGAGAAACATTTATTAGTCTTTAAAATGACCTACTGAAAGCAGCTAAAACTGTCAGACCAATGTTGAAAGCAATGCAAGAGAAATGAAACATATCAGATTATTATCACTTCAGATTTTAATACATCTAAATGAGTTTGCCCTAATTACAAAGTCAGGTCTTTCATTATCCTAAAATGTTTCCTCTTCCCTAGGTCACTTGAGAGATCAGGAAAAGGTGTTAATGACCTAATGATAAACAGTGTCTCCTCAAGTTTATTTGGCATCCAAAACCTACTCTCTGGAGTTTGGATCTTGATCTGTCATATAGAATTGTTTGTTGGGGCTTGCTGTGTTCTATCAGTATTGAGGGATTCACAAGGGATGGTTAAAATCTAAAGTGTCTGCTATCCGTTTAGCACAGAAATTAATTGGCCTCAAGTGGAGTGTTGATAGATGTACCAGTGATATAAATAATATTTCTATGTCTTCTGTTTTAAAGATCATCAGTCTTTTGAGATTGCAGAGGCAAGCTTTTTAAATTTTTATTCCTGAGTTGCTGAAACCAACTTTTTATAGACTATAGTCTCTTTACTAAACTTCATGTAATCTTCCTGTTTTAGACCCAAAAGGAGAGAGAAGCAAAATGAACACCTAATCTCTTACTTTTTTCATGCTTCCTCCCCACCCCCATTTTAATGATACGCAAGTGTCTTAGTCACTAGGGGCCACATTTTAAAATGTATTTAGGTGCCTTAAGATGCAGATGGGCACCGAGGCATTTTTGAAAATCCCACTAAATGCCTAACTCCCATTGATTTCAAGTCTTTCCATTGACTTGGGATCAGGCCTCTGTACTTCTATTCAAGAGTTTAATGCAGCACTAGGAGGCCTTCATCTGTCGTCTTATATGTTGCAGCCACTTTTGATTGTATCTGATCGCTGTGTTCCCCTTTCAGGAATAGAAATGTTCCTGGGTCAGAAATCAGACCATGCCTGCACGACAGGGACTAGAGCGGCACAGCTGTGCACCATAGTGTAGCTGCAGCCTACAGTGATGGAAGGGATTTTTCTCTCACCGGAGGAACACCACCTCCCCGAGTAGTTAAGTTGACACAAGCGTTCTTTCATTGAGCTAGCTATGTCTATACAGGGGTGAGGTAGGCATAGCTGTGGGACTCAGTGGGTTTTTTTCACACCCCTGAGCGCTGTAGACATGTCGACCTAAATGGTAAACATAGACCAGACCTCAGACTTACCAGTTACCATTACAAGCACATTTTTTTTGGGTGTAGAGCGGAAACTGACATGGTGAATGAAGAATAAAGTCCTACATAGATCTACCTCCTCTTCTGGGACACATATTTGTAAATCAAATACATATATTGATGTCTTTTCACTCTTTCCCTCCCCCCACTTTTCTCTTTTAAGGATGACACTGCACCAATTCCTTGGAGTACAAGGTGTAACATTGCTCAAGGTACAGCAAATGGCATCAGCTTTTTACATGAAAACAATCATATTCACAGAGATGTTAAAAGGTAAAAGCTGCTAACGCTCAATAATGCCCACAGATTTTTCACGGAGTGCATTTTAGAGAGAGTAGAGAAGAGAATGGACTAGGAGATGAGTGATGTATGTCCTCTTTGCCAAGGTAGCCTAGTTCTTACAAATACCACTTTGATAGAATTCTTATCACAATGTTTTCTATTTTTCTGTATCAGGACTGTTTACCTACAATTTTAAGGCCTGTTTGTCAGTCATTTTAAAGACAACTTTATTTATGTAGTGATTTACCTATGAGAATATCAGAACATCTCTGTGTATACAGAACAGTTTTATGCAAAGTAATTGACCCCTAGATCTTTTCACATTTTCCAAAGTATCGTAGTGGCTTTGCAACTTACTCTTCATTATGCAGTCTTTCTGGATTTTGTTTTATGCCTAACGCTTGCACTGTGTGAGCATATTTTCTCCCTTTTGAGTATGGTGTCTCTTTCCAAAGTCTGTTTCATCTTTCCTCCACAAATGAAATCTTAGTGAGACTGAACAGACCTGCAAAACGTCACTTCAAAAATTACTCAAGGACATGAACTTTTCCTGCGAAAGAGTCCTGTCATACTATTTTTGGGTCTGTGCTGCAAAGACGTGACCAGATGAGAATTTCCATAGCTAGAGTTCTAAAACGTTGCTCCTGTCAAGGTGGCGTGAGCTGCCACCGTAGAACAGACGATGTGTGATCCCTGAGTGTATCCAAAAGTCAGTTCTTGTCTAACTGCAACTAATCTAACTGCAACCAGTGTAAGAGCATTTGCTGGTCACTACACATGCTTTAGTAGTGCTGCACCATGACAGCTTCGATGGGGGATTTTTCCACTGAAAAACCTCTTTTCTGGAGCATTTCCTCTGAGTACCTCCTTTGAGTTATTGCTATTTTTAATTAAAAAACCTCTGTAATGGAGACTGGCTTTAATCAAGTTTGCATGCCAATGGTGTACAAAGGAAGTGGACTCTTCCACTTACTTGTTATCCCAAAAGTAATTTCTGCTATATCCAGCTCTTAGAGCTAAATTTTTGTGTAGCATTTTTCAGAGTAGCAATGCAGTTCAGCTATTTCAAGAAATGCCTGGGAAGGAATCAAGCCACATCCCTGAGGGACAAGCATCTTAGACCTTGAGAAGGATTGTGACTGGCTGAACTGTAGGATAATGTCATGCAGAAGGTCCTGAAGAAGTCCTGTCTCCCGCAACACTCCTGCTGAGTCCAGTTCACCTCAACCCTGCAGTCCTCTCTGGGTGCTGGAAAAAGGGAGTATTCTTACTCCAGCTCCCACCCCAAAGGCTCCTTGCTGCTTTGACTCTGTGTGTCAGAACCGCCCCTCTGCTCAAGCTTCCCAGCAGCTGGAATTTCTGGGGAACAGAGTGTCTTCTACTTTACCCCTCCTCTGGTCTCCTGACCTCTGTGAGAGGGAGTTGTTCTCCCTTTGTACCACTTTGTCCTCCTTTCCTCCCCGGCTTGGACTCTGTTTTTTGTCTTTTTCCACAGTGAATAGCTCAATGAGAGAGTGTGACTGCTACCACTGATAGTTTTTTCAAGCAGAAAGAGCACCGTAAACAAGGCAATTCTTGTTATAATTTCTATGTTCATGGGTGTAATGAATAGCTGTGGAGAAATCAAACAAGGTTCTGGTCAGTCTTCACATTGCTGCAGTTTGGGGAAACTGAATATTAACAGAGGCATGAGGATGGGGTCTCTGCAGATTTGGGAAGCCATCACTGAATTGTTGTTTTCATTGTTGCTCTTAACTCTTGATTGTGTTGTATGCAGGAAAAAAGTGGGTTGGTCTTTTGTAGTTGGACACAATCACAACAGAACTCGCTTCCATTCTGCTCTGTGAAGCATATCAAATTACGGTCTCTCTTATAAGCTGCTTGCCTTCTCAATCTGAGAAGAACTATGACTTACTTAAAAAGTTGTGTTTTTTTTTTTTTTTTTTTTTTCACATATGGTGTTCCCACTGGCCTATTTGGGAGTTATGTGCATCACGCATTGGTGGATGGACCCTTGGTTAGTGTTTGGCCTGTTGCTGTGATCATGTATTAGGGATCCTTTTATAGCTGGTCTATTTTTTAAGATTAAGGCAGCTAGTAATCTTTCATAAGTGATGGTTGTGCTTAAACATTTTGCTTAGAAAGCTCTGAGAGGGTGGAGATAATAATGTTTCTAATAGGCTTTGTTTATTTGAGATGTCTCCTATGGATCTCTTACGGTTCCAGTAGCATGTTCATAAAATGGAGAGATACTGCCTAGGTTTTGAGGTTCTTTAATCCTGTCCCAGGTTCAAGAAGCCAAAAATATTTAAATTTAAAAACAGTAAAATATATATCTACATTCAGTAAAAAGTATGAGTATTTTTCCTTTCATATAGCTTAGCCTAGTTCAGTGCAGTTTTTCTTTGAGGCCACTAATGACTTATATGCATGGAGTGGTGTTGTAACTGTGTTGGTCCCAGGATGTTAGAGAGATCAAGTGGGGTGAGGTAATATGTGGACATGCCTAGGTGACTTCCCTTAACTTGGTATGTTCATGCCTCAAGGGGAAAATAAACATCGTTGTATTCCTTCTGCCTCCTTAGTAATTTTTGTTGGCTCATGGATATGCACCAAAAGCAGCTCTTTGGTGTTTTGTGTAGGATAGGCTAGAGAATCGAGAAGGTTTTGTGGAGGATTCTACATCAGGAACTTTACTAAAATTAACAAGCCTGTACAGTTTCGCTTAAAGGAGGAGTATTCAAACTGTGCCTAGAATTTTGGGATGTGAATGTAACGGGATTAGTAGCCTTTAAGTAGTTTCTGTATTTTAGTTTTTCTCCCTCTTAGTCTCCAGGAGAGCTTGTGCGTGGATTAGTCTGCTGGCCAGCCAGTTACTGATTTATTTAGTGAGCAGTTTGTTTTGATAGTTATGGTAGATTCCCATCAAAGATCACTTGCCTATATTTTGCTTACTAAAGTAAATCATCAACTTCAGTGAGTTCTCCAGATTCCAAATATCAGTTAAAATAGTGATTACAGTTCATGTACAGATGTTTAAATGCTTTTTAAAGTGAGATAGAAAACACAGAGTTACTCCACTACTACAGAGAACATTATTTTTGTTTTTCAGTGCAAATATCTTACTAAATGAATCATTTGTGCCAAAAATTTCTGACTTTGGACTTGCAAGGGCATCCGTGAAATTCACACAAACCATCATGACTGATAGAATTGTGGGAACAGCAGCCTATATGGCACCCGAAGCCCTGCGTGGAGAGATAACACCCAAATCTGATATTTTCAGTTTTGGTGTGGTGAGTAGCAAATAAAAAACTGTTATACTTTCTAATTAATGAGAACTGGCGTTTGAGTCTATTACTGGTGGCTGCTATTTTCCTGAAAAGTGAGTTTGATGATGTGGAACATCAATGTAAGATCACAAACTTAAGTTCCAATTATCTTAAATACCAGCTTTACAATCCTTAAGATTACATTTATATGTTAAATATGGTTTCCACTACCACAGTTTATAACAGGGAACTGGTTCTCCTACTTTTCTGCTTTTGAAACAAACAACCCCAAACCTGAACGCTGTGTGCTGCTGAAGGATAGTAATTGATGCCCGTCATGCCTAGCTTGCTCGTAAGTCAGTATGAGTGGAGGGTTAGTGCTTCTTGCTCTACCTGAGGGGTACTCAGGAAAGTGGTGAACCCAAATCTGAACAGATTATCCAGCATCACAAGAGCTGCCAACGCCTGCTTTCCAACTATCAGCTTGGGGGACAAAAAGACAAGGAAAATGTTTAAGTACCTGAAAAATACCTATCATCTGCTGGGGAGGGAAGGGGGCGTGAATAGGAAAAATAAACACCACCATATGGGGTCGAGAAGAACTCCAGGGAGTGCCCATACTGCACACGAGGTGAAAATGGAAGGGAAATAGACTTGGGGTGACAAACCAATTTCACCCATCAGCTAGGCAGGAGAGGGAGAAAATGGAGACCCTCATTAGGTGGGATAGGGTGAGAGAAGACAAGGAGTTCACCTGCTCTTCCAAAAATGGGGAAATGAGAGAGGCAGGAGTCAGCCAGTTATGTCCACAAATGTGTTCTTCTTTGCAAGCTGTGATCCTAGGGACTTGTACTTGAAACTGTTATTAATATAAACTGAAGATCTTGTTCCTTTGTTTCAAATTATTTGTGTGTTAACTGTTTCTGGATGCTTTCCTAGCCGTTACCTCTTTTGTGTTTCTTGTAGGTTTTACTGGAAATAATAACGGGGCTTTCGCCAATAGATGAAAACCGGGAGCCACAGTTACTGGTATTGACTTTTTTTTTCTCCTCATCCCAGAATTGTTTTATAATAAACCATAGTTTCCAGATTGAAGAAGTCCCAGCTTTGTCACCCAGGAGGTACTGACGGTGCATCCAGTTGCTATGCCAAAGTCTGTTTCAGGAGTTTTCTTGAGCTAGTGGGAGAGAGTCTAATCAGGAATAGGAAAAACACAAGGCCAGTTTTGAGGAAGCTGCCCTATCCTACCCCTCTGGGCCACAGGTGACACATTGCATCAACATCTGGGAAAAAGGCCTCAACAAGTTCATAGAAATAAATCCTTTCCTAACAAAAGAAAGGAACCAGTCACACTCCATCATGCATCCTTCATCATTTCCTGAGGTAAATTTAGTTATCTCATGGCAGCTATCACATCTTTGTTTTGCAAACAGGAGAACTGGGGAACTTAGTAAGGGACTGTTGAGTCTTAACTGGGTTAAAAGTTCACAGCTTGTGTTACATCTAAAAGCAGAAAATTGCTTTACAACTTCTATTTAAAATGGAATTTATAGTTAACTTATACTAAGTTTGTATTAAAAGAACATAGGGATGCAACCCCATATTCCTGGTGTCTCTACATTCCCCACTGCCAGATGCTTCAGAGGGAGTGAACAGAAAAGGGCAATTATTGAATGATACATCCCCTGTTGTCCAGTCCCAGTTTCTGGCAGGGGGAGGTGGAGTATGGGACTGTATCCCTGATGATCTTGGCGAATAGGTCCAGCAGTGGCTATCCCCAACAAACTTATGTAATCCTTTTCTGAACCCAGTTATTCTTTTGGCCATCACAACATCCCCTGGCAATGAGTTCCACAGGTTGACTGTGTATTGTGTGAAGAAGTACTTCCTTATGTTTGTTTTAAACCTGCTGCCTATTAATTTCATTGAGTGACTCCTGGTTCGTGTGTTATTTACCCCTTCGCATAATACTTCCCTGTTCACTTTCTCCACATCTTTCATGATTGTATAGACCATCATATCCCCCCTTAGTCATCTCTTTTTCCAGACTGAACATTCTCAGTCTTTTTAATCTCTCCTCAGATGGAAGCTGTTCCATACTCCTAATCATTTTTGTTGCCCAATTCAAATGTATCTTTTTTTGAAATGGAGCGACTAGAACAGTATGCACTATTCAAGGTGTGGGCATACCATGGTTTTATATAGTGGCATTATGATATTTTCTGTCTTATTATCTCTCTCTTTCTGAATGGTTATTAATGTTCTGTTAGCTTTTTTGACTGCTGCTGCACATTGAGCAGATGTTTTCAGAAAAATAACCACGATGACTCCAAGACTTCTTTCTTGAGTGGTATCAACTAATTTAGACCCCATCATTTTGTATGTATAGTCGGGATTATGTTTTCCAATGTGCATTACTTTGCACTTATCAGCTTTGAATTTCATCTGCCATTTAGTTGCCCAGTCACCCAGCTTTGTGAGATTTCTTTGAAATCTGTAGTCAGCTTTGGGCATTACCATTTTGAGTAATTTTGTATTGTCTGCAAACGTTGCCACCTCACTGTTCACCCCTTTTTCCAGATCATTTAGGAATATGTTGAACAGCACCGGTGCCAGTACAGATCCTTGGGGGACCCCACTATTTACCTCTTTCTCCACTGTGATACTATCCATTTATTCCTGTCCTTTGTTTCCTTTCTTTTAACCGGTTACTGATCCGTGAGAGGACCGTCCCTATTATCCCATGACTGCTTACTTTGCTTAAGAGCAGTTGGTAGGGGACCTTGTCAAAGGCTTTGTGAAAGTCCAAGTACGGTGTATCAACTGTATCACCTTTGTCCACATGCTTGTTGACCCCTCAAATAATTGTAATAAATTGGTGAGGAATGAATTCCTTTTACAAAAGCAGTGTTGTCTTGTCCCCAACATATTGTGGTCATCTATGTGTCTGAAAATTTTGTTCTTTACTATAGTTTCAACCAATTTTGCCTGGTACTGAAGTTAGGCTTACCAGCATGTAATTGCCAGGATCGCCTCTGTAGCCCTTTATAAAAATTGACATTACATTAGCTACCCTCTAGTCATCTGGTATGGAGGCTGATTTAAGCAATAGGTTACATATCACAGTTAGTAGTAGTACAATTTAATATTTGATTTCCTTTGGAACTCTTGGGTGAAGAGGCCTGGTGACTTATTACTGTTTAGTTTATCAATTTGTTCCAAAACCTCTTTTATTGACCCTTCAATCTGGGACAGTTCCTCAGATTTGTCACCTAAAAAGAATGGCTCGGGCATGAGCATCTCCCTCACATCTTCTGCAGTGAAGACCAATGCAAAGAATTCATTTAGCTTCTCTACAATGGTCTTGTCTTCCTTGAGTGCTCCTTTTGCACCTTGATTGTCCAATGGCCCCACTGATCGTTTGGCAGGCTTCCTGCTTCTGCTATACTTAAAAAAATTGTTGTTAGTTTTTGTGTCTTTTTGCTAGTTGCTCTTCAGATTCTTTTTTGGCTGCCTAGTTATATTTTTATACTTGCCTGAGATTATGCTCCTTTCTATTGTCCTCATTAGGAGTTGATTTCCAATTTTTAATGGATGTCTTTTTGCCTCTAACCGCCTTTCCTAGTCTGCTGTTTAGCCATGGTGGCATTTATTTATTTATTTTTGGTCCTCTACATGTGTGCACACATATGCACGTGTTTAAAGCTTGTGTCTTTTACCAACCGAGGTTGATCCAATAAAAGATATTACCTCACCCACCCTAACTCTCAGTAAAATGTAAAGTACTCACAAGTTTAAACCTCACTGCTCCTTTCAAAAAGTTGTTCTACTCAAAACAGTTTTAACACTACCAAATTCTCTTACAGTTAAGTATCAAAGAAGAAATTGAAGATGAGGAAAAGACCATTGAAGATTATGTCGATGAAAAAATGAGTGATTGGGACACCATTTCCATTGACAAAATGTATTCAGTTGCTAGTCAGTGTCTGAATGAAAAAAAGAACAGGAGGCCAGACATTAAGATGGTACATGGATTTTCACTTTAAGGTTTGTTTGGCCAATATATTTTGTGTGCTGGTGGTAATGTAACTAATTCACATCTGTTCTACTTTTGCAGGTCCAGCAGCATCTACAAGAGATAATAGCCTGATATCTGTTTCTTACCAGTTTGGTGCTATTCCTGCATTCCAGGCTTTTGTGGCCTCTATGTGCAATCTGTTGTTGGCTTTTCACCACTGTGCCTTCTTTCCTTGAAAGACCAGGCAAGGAACTTTCTCATAGACTTTATGCTTTAGTCATTTAAGGGAGTTGATGTCCCATTAAAACAACGGATATCTTAAATCACTTCTATAAGACTTTCTTCAGTAGCCAGAGAGAGCGAGAACACGGAGGTTCTTTTTATGGCAACACATTGTGCTTCTGCTATACCATCTCCACTTCGTTTTCTAAATATATTTCCTGACTAGAATCCAGGCTTCTGCAGCTCCCTGGGTAACACGTACCTGTTACAAGGAGACTATGATAAACAAATCGATGACTGGTAAATTGCTTCTAAGCAGAAAGACTAGCCCTTTTCGGTTTCTACTCTAAGCAAAAACATTTCAAACTGAAGAGATCAGTCTGTATTGCTCTCGGACAGAGTTTAGGTAACCTGCATTAAACTGTTGTTCCATGTGGTCATAGAGTCAGAGTTCAAGGCCAGAAGGAACCAGCAGATCATTTAATCTGACCGGCTCTATATCACAGGCCAGCACCTGCACACATCATTTAAAAAAACATCCCTTCCTGACCCCTGCAGATGGCCAGCTGAAACCCTGAAGCATAAGCTTTGAAGAATGTATGATATAAACTGGAAGTGAGCCCCAAGGCTGCTGAGCTCAGCCCCCCACCACCATAAGCAACCTTGTCATAGTCACACTTGTTAATTTGTCCAGCTCTTTCTTAAAACTACATGATCTTGGTAATACCCATTTAAAACAAACTGAGCTACTTTGCTCAATGTTTTAACTTATGTTGGGAATCGAAATTAATGTGAAGTCCCTTTGGCAATAGCTATAAATATAAGCTGCCATCTGTGAGTTTGCAGATTTGTGTTTTTAAAAAGCCTACACGGGAGCAGTGGTATTTACATGGAAGCATATTTTGCAGTCTTTTTTTTTTCAACAAGTAAAAGGAAAAGCTGCAGAGCAGTGCAAATTGAGAGTAGAGAACTGAGAATTGATAGGTGTGGGTTTACTTTTACTGACTCATATGACCTAATGACAAGCCATTTCATCTCTATTCCTCAATTTCCCCATTTAGGAAAAAGCTGTTTGACCTGTTTTCTCCTTGGAGAAAATGCTGTATAAATGTAAAGTATCATTAATACTCATTTTGTAAGTGATCAGTATTGTCTTCACATCCAATAGCCGAGTTTAATTTAAGAGCTTATATAGACTAAAATGACTTGTGTACTTGAAAGGTTTTATAATAAAAGAATATATGATGGACCAAACCACAGGCTAAAAATTGATCACTCCACAGTGAAAGAATAACCTACATTGATCTTGTATAAAAATGCTACTGTTTGTAAATAGAAGATACGAATTTCAAATAAACTTTCCTTTTTGCACCTGCCATTCATTCAGCTCTTTCTTGACCAGTTATTGTGCATAGAAAACAATTGAACAAACTGAAATCCATACTTGTGATGGAACAAGAACAGTAGAATTTAGGGCACCTCAAATCAGAGTAGAGTAGATTGACCTCTCTCCATTAAAGGTGTGGTACGTGTCATTTTCAAATTATTAATTATATTAGTAAACAAATTCTCCCATACAGCTAATAAGTCCTAAAGTGCCTCTTTAAATAAATGGACTAACACGTACATCTAAATACAAATTAACTTTAACATTGTTATGGTGGGTGACTTAAATTGAGCATAGGTTAAAGGGTTTTAACATGAGTCAGAATAAGCCATAATTGTTAATATACTTACTACTAGAGTGTTATGCAGCTTTGGGAAACAGTCACTTTGTCGCTCTGGTGCTAGAATTGGAGGTGTCCGAGGACCCTGAATGAAGCTCAGGCTGATTGGGAAGAGATTCCTGTTAAGAACTGAACTTTACAAAAATGAAGAATAGCAGATTGTGAAGACAGAAAGTAAAGATGGCTATAAGAAGGCAGAAAAAGTCTCTCTGAGCACTTCTTGAGGACACCTTCCTAGGACATATTTGCTCTCCCATACCCCTGGGAGCTTGTGTGTAGCCTTACTACCCTCTAATGTATGAAATATCAGCTCTCAAGCATTTTTGCTTTGGTGGGTAGAGAAGTGAAGACAATATACTACTCACCAACAATGCAGTAGAACGATTTGACTTACCTGTGAAACATGCATCTATTCACCTATTCTGTAGCATTAGTGGATCACTCATTTGTATGTCAGCAGCCAAGGATTTTTGCATTTTCTAGTTCAGGATTTGTTTTTCAACCCTGGTGTGCTGTTTAGCTCCCACCTGGACCTCCGTTTTCTATCAGTACTTCAGTTAATGCCAGTATGCTCTTTCTCGCTGTTATTGCAAATGATGGGTGATTTCTACTGTTCCATTTCCTCAGCTGAATGGAGTCTGTATCTTCTCAGTGCACCTGACTGAGTTCTTCATTGTCCAGTGCAAAATGTTACTTAGAAGTCAAAGAAGCCATTTTCAAAAGAAAGCACTTGGCCATTTCTTCATAACGAAACGGATGTAAACCTCAGCTTGTAAGTACTAACATGGCAGGAATGTGTCACTTAGGCCCATTTATGGTAAAGCTTCTCCATTTTCAGAATAAAGATACTAGGGTTTTCTTACAAAAGAGTCCTTAACTAAAGAAGCTTTGGAATAAAGGTTGACCCACAACTGTTTCCCCTCCTCCTCAGACACTTGTGGACTTTGTTGGGGGGGTTTTTATATGCAGGGAAGTAGTGTGAAGCTCCTTTATCTCTGCACACAGCATGGGTGAGACTGATAATGGACTTCTGCATCCAGTTCTAGCGTTAACATTTTAAAAAATATGTTGAAAAATTGAGCTTGCCAGACATAGCCCCACAAATTATTTGAGGGCTAGAGAAAATGCCTTACAGCGAGTGACTTAAAGAGCTCAATCAGTTTAGTTTATCAAAAACACTGATCAAATCACCTCTCAATCTTCAAATACCTTTACATGGGGAGAGAATACCAGGTACTAAAGGGCTCTTTAGCAGAGAGAGTCAGAACCAGTGGCTGGAAGCTGATGACAGATACTCAAATTAGGCACAATTGTTCAGTTTGTTTGTTTGTTTTTTTAACAGGGTGAGTAGCCATTGGAACAAACTACCATTGGGAAGTGGTGGAGTCTCAATCTCTTGGTGTCTTCAAATCATTCCATACTGGATGTTATGCTTTAAGCAAACCAAGTTATTTGGCTCAATACAGGGGTAACTGAGTGCAGTTTAATGACCTGTGAGATATAAGAGGTAAGACTAGATGATCTTAAACAGGATGAATAGGAACTGTGGGTTCTCTGCACTTCTGGAAAATGGGTCAAATGTTTCCAGCTGGACAAACACAACCCACTTTTGAACATTTGGCTATGAACATTCTGGGCTTGGTACTACTTCCTATTCTCTGCCAGAGGAGCAGGAGGAAAGGCCCTCTCTTTTGGGGGAGTGGAAAGGCTGTATTGTGTGTGTCACATTCTAATGTGGCTCAAGAGATGGATAATCTACCATGGTTTTCCACATACAAAATGTAAGTGTGCTGAAAATGGAATAGACAGGCTAAACATTAGATGTGATTAAAAGGATTTAAGTATATACTTACTGTTGATAAGGACAGTGGCCTGGACTCCTTACATTTGCCATATCTAGTTACCCAAATGACTTTCATTTGCTATGAGATCACTAGTATCAATTTACTGTTATGCTGTAAATTCACTCACACCAGAAGAAAGTCCCAACTAAAACAAGTTAAATAGTTTTATTGCATTTAGCAAATGAAAAGGGTTTTTCCCTGTAACTTTTCTAAAGCCCAATGCAACTTCACTGGACAGAAACCCAATTCCCACTCAGAGCTACTTCACAGCAGTGTTGCCATTTTCAGTCCCCATTTTGCGCTTGTAATTCAGCCACAGACATTCCTAAGAGCCTGACTTTATTCCCAGGTGGATGCTTTAAATCTAAAGTTTTTGCATACATACATTTGTGTGTGTGAGGGGGGAGAGGGGATAAGAAAAAGTCTTTTCACGTGTTTTTTCCAAATTAATTCAAATCTTAATTTTTAAAAATGGACTTCAACTTAGTCTGTAAAAGTCATACAATGCATTTAATAGGGTGGGTGGTGTCAAAACAAAATCAAGTAATCTTAAGGATGTAATCTAATTATGGAACTAGAATCAACTCAACATTCAAGACAGAGGTAGCTCTATCAATGTTAATAAGATGTGTGCCTGCAGGGAGGGGAGTAAAGACTTCCAGATCAGTTTTAAGTGGGGATAGCCTGGCTTGTTTTGCTTCCTAACTTTAAGTATTTGTATCAATTCACTGTACAGAAATTTCTTTTCTTTTAATGGAAAACCTAGTTCTTGATCCTGTAGCCCAAAGGTTCCAAACAAATGTGTTGGCAGTTTTTATTTTAAAACAATATCATTTAGGTAAAATGGCTGCCCTTAGTAGACTCAACTGCCAATGATAGCTTTCCAAATACTTTCCTTAAAATGAATAAACTCCTTGCTTATCTTTTGAACTGCCACATTAAACAAAGTTAGTATTTTTATTTGTATAGACTTGTATAGATTAATTGTACAACTTAAGAAAACCACTCTTCACTTAGATTCAGCTACATGTTCAGAACAGTTAAGCCTTTTAAAAGGAGTGTATTCAAAGTATAGTTAAATTGTAACAGCTGTTCTTACGCCCCACTGCCTTACATGGATATTTTGGACATGGATGAATTACCATATGAACAAGCATTAGTTACCAATAGATACTTAAGGCTCTTTTAGAACTTTAATCATTAATTAAGTATATTTGTATTTTGACATAACTCAAAGTGGAGTTGACATAACTGTAGGAAGCATTCACATTTAATATCATTACACTCACAAGGGATCTGAAAACACTGTCAGAATAATCTAAAACTACATCTTATTAATGGTGTTATTTCTTTATTAATGGTCTTACTTTTTAATAAGTATTTCTAGGACCTTCAAGCAGTAAGTGACACAGCATCTGACAGAAGATAGGATGCACTTGTGAATTATATTAAACTGGTTATTTTAAAATTGAGCAACACCGTGTCTATTTTCACATGAGTAGCACAGGGTGAAGGGCCAGTGGAGGGAGTAAGTAGACTCCTAGTGCTTACTGTACCCAAACATATATGCTTAAAGATATATTTTTCAGTGTTTGAGCCCATGCATCTGAGGCACTTCAGACAGTGGTAGTTCAGGTGCTAGAAGACCACATTTTGCAGAATATACTTCAGATTTAAAATGAAAATTTCACTGCCTCTGCCTGCCTCTATGTGGGGGGTTAGCTACATCCCTGGGCGACATAGTCAAACAAACCAAACCCCAGCTACAGACAGTGCTCAGTTGATGGAAGAATTCTTCCATTGACCTAGCTAACACCTCCCAGGGAGGTGGATTACCTACACTAATGGGAGAATCCTTGTGGTCAACATAGATGGTGTCTATACTGAAGCCGATAGTGGTCCAGCTGTGCTCCTGTAGCATTTCAAGTGTAGACAAGCCCTAAAACTACAGTAAAGCTCTTCGGAGCAGTAATGTAGCTAAGCTAGGTCTGGGGACTCTGAGCTCAGATGACCTGGTACTGGTACCAGCACCAGCAACCCAGGACCACTCTGGGCCAGAGGCAGCTAGAGAATGAAGTCTAATTCCAGATTGTACTATAAATGCAATTGCTGCTGTTCCTGCCTTGGAAAGGAGGATGGTGGCAAAAGGCTCAGTTCTTAATGGAAGTTCCAAACCTTTTTGTATATCAATGTCATGGAGACCTATAGATCAACACAATTTAGTCATCCAAGGCATGAGACTCAAACGAACAATGGCAGGACCCATCATGCTTCTCATCCACTGGTACACAAACTCCTAAGAGGCAGTGGTGGAGTGGAAGAAGCCAAGAGACAGGCCCTTCTCAGACCTGCTAGAAAATCCCTCCAAAGGCAGCCTTCTTCTATCAAATTACTAGATAAGGGAGTTGTTACAGGACTGCATGTAGTAAGGATTCATTATACCACTTGTTCCTCCAACCTCACTTTAAACTTGCTTCTCTTTGACCTTTACCTCAACCTTCTTTCTATTTTTAGGTGCCACCTTCCAACTTCCCAAACAAGATTTCTCCCCAGTTGGTCAGAAAGGCAGTGTGATAGCAGACCAGGATATGTTGATGAAGTGCTAATATACCAGAGTTGTTCTCCCCTCAGTTTGAATACTCCTCTACTGAAGTTCTAAATTATTCTCAAAATTCTGCTCAACCTCATCTAATCTCTTTATACTGTTTTATAGTATTCCCATATGTAGTGTAAAATGGACATTGCAACTGAACTGCGATTACTGAAGTATACCGCAGTATATCTTGCATGGGTGCTACAGTGGTAGTTATAAATTCAGATTTTTTTTTTTAAAGTCAGAGTGCAGTACACTGCTTTACAGTTTTCATTAAAAATCACAAGCTTCAGGTGTGAAAGGCACAGAGATTTCCCCCACTATGAAGGCCTCTCTGCTGCTTTATAGAAGCAGCTGCCCACTGCCTCCTCAACCCTCTAGCAGGCTGATACTCATCACTAGCAGCAGCTGGAGGATTTTGTTTCCCATGAGCACATCTCTCCCCAGCAATGTTTTTATTCTGTGCGGTGTCTAAACATATGTTGACAATTATGTACTTATACATGATGGCTTTATAATGTGAGTTCTTGCTGAAAGATCTTACAGAAAACCCCAGATAACACTGAACCAAAACTTCAGTTTTTATTGATATATTGAAATGACAAAATAGACAGTAAGGAGAGGTTTATTTAACTGAAACATTTGAAGGTGTTTTACATTCAATAGGTATGTACTGGGGGAAGTTTTCATAATCAGTATTTTAATCACTTTTAGATTTATCTAGTGCCTACATAGAGCAAATGATATTAACAGCTTGATTTGTTATACAAACCTCTAACACAAGTTAACTTAATTTAAAAATCTCATTTTCCCCATATTAGCCTTTTGCTGTATGAGTGTTTCAAAAGTAGTTTATCACTTGCTCATCATCTATATTTTTTCTGTTAACAAATCTATTAAATAAACTAGGGGGTTTGAGTTGTTATTCATCACATTCCTAACATTCATTTGTTCAAGCAGCTACATCTTTCCCCATGTGCTTTATGAAGGCAAACAACATTTTAGAAAGGAGTCATACAACCATCAAATGGCCAGTAATATTTCAAGGAACAGTAGTTCAGGGTTTTATTAATGCCCTTATTGTGTGCTGCTTCTGAGTGTTCACTGACAAAGTATTAACCAGATACTACTAGTGCTTTTGTCCAGTGAACATATATGACAGAATAGATAATGTAGTAGGGGTGAATACTCAGACTCATAGATATTAAGGTCAGAAGGGACCATTATGATCATCTAGTCTGACCTCCTGCACAATGCAGGCCACAGAATCTCACCCACCCATTCCTGCAATAAACTTCTCACCTATGTCTGAGCTATTGAAGTCCTCAAATCATGGTTTAAAGACTTCAAGGTGCAGAGAATCCTCCAGCAAGTGACCCATGCCCCATGCTACAGAGGAAGGCAAAAAACCCCCAGGGCCTCTGCCAATCTGCCCTGGAGGAAAATTCCTTCCCGACCCCAAATATGGTGATCAGCTGAACCCTAAGCATGTGGGCAAGATTCACTAGCCAGATACCCAGGAAAGAATTCTCTGTAGTAACTCAGATTCCATCCCATCTAACATCTCATCACAGGCCATTGGGCCTATTTACCATGAATAGTTAAAGATCAGTTAATTGCCAAAATCATGTTATCTCATCATACCGTTTCCTCAATAAACTTATCGAGTTTAATCTTGAAGCCAGATAGGTCTTTTGCTCCCACTGCTTCCCTTGGAAGGCTATTTCAGAACTTCACTCCTCTGATGGTTAGAAACCTTCATCTAATTTCAAGTCTAAACTTCCCGATGGCCAGTTTATGAACAGTTCATGTAGCGTTCATGCACCTGGAAACAGTCAGGGCACACCCTGACTGTTGTGTAGGAGCGATGCACACATTGCTCTGCTCTGTCCAAGGACATGGACCATTTGGGAAGTCAAAATAAGGACATCAACCGTGGGAAGCTTCCTGGGCCTACGCTCAAGGCCTGAGAACAAAGATTGTAGTAGATAGAGGCTGGTAAATAAGAATATTAATCAAAGTCATATTATTTCCTTTGTTGATGCCTTTTGCGGGCGGAGTATGTAATGCGCAGGGGGGAAGGAAATAAAAGAGAGGTGGAAAAGCTGACAGGAAAGATCCCGTCAGCAGACCAGCCTGCTTGCTTGCCTAAAGCCGTGTCCTGTCTTGTATTGAACCGCCATAAGTTTATATCCATTTGTTCTTGTGTCCACACTCGTACTGAACTGAAATAATTCCTCTCCCTCTTCGGTATTTATCCCTCTGATATATTTATAGAGAGCAATCTTATCTCCCCTCAGCCTTCTTTTAGTTAGGCTAAACAAGCCAAGCTCCTTGAGTCTCCTTTCATAAGACAGGTTTTCCATTCCTCGGATCATCCTAGTAGTCCTTCTCTGTACCTGTTCCAGTTTGAATTCATCCTTCTTAAACATGGGAGACCAGAACTGCACACAGTATTCCAGGTGAGGTCTCACCAGTGCCTTGTATCACGGTACTAACACCTCTTTATCTCTACTAGAAATACCTCGCCTGATGCATCCCAAGACCGCATTAGCTTTTTTCACGGCCATATCACATTGGCGGCTCATAGTCATCCTGTGGTCAACCAATACTCCAAGGTCCTTCTCCTCCTCCGTTACTTCTAATTGATGTGTCCCCAGCTTATAACTAAAATTCTTGTTATTAATCCCTAAATGCATGACCTTACACTTCTCACTATTAAATTTCATCCTATTACTATTACTCCAGTTTACAAGGTCATCCAGATCCTCCTGTATGATATCCCGGTCCTTCTCTAAATTGGCAATACCCCCCAGCTTTGTATCATCCGCAAACTTTATTAGCACACTCCCACTTTTTGTGCTCAGGTCAGTAATAAAAAGATTAAATAAGATTGGTCCCAAAACCGATCCCTGAAGAACTCCACTGGTAACCTCCCTCCAGTCTGACAGTTCACCTTTCAGTATAACCCGCTGTAGTCTCCCTTTTAACCAATTCCTTATCCACCTTTCAATTTTCATATTGATCCCCATCTTATCCAATTTAACTAATAATTCCCCATGTGGCACGGTATCAAATGCCTTACTAAAATCTAGGTAAATTAGATCCACTGCATTTCCTTTGTCTAAAAAATCTGTTACTTTCTCAAAGAAGGAGATCAGGTTGGTTTGGCACGATCTGCCTTTTGTTAAACCATTTGTATTTTGTCCCATTTACCATTGACTTCAATGTCCTTAACTACTTTCTCCTTCAGAAGTTTTTCCAAGACCTTGCATACTACAGATGTCAAACTAACAGGCCTGTAGTTACCCGGATCACGTTTTTTTCCTTTCTTAAAAATAGGAACTATGTTATCAATTCTCTAGTCATACGGTACAACCCCTGAATTTACAGATTCATTAAAAATTCTTGCTAATGGGCTTGCAATTTCATGTGCCAATTTCTTTAATATTCTTTAATTAGATTTAGTCCCATTAAACTGTTCAAGTTTTGCTTCTACCTCAGATATGGTAATATCTACCTCCATATCCTCATTCCCATTTGTCATGCTACCATTATCCCTAAAATCCTCTTTAGACTTATTAAAGACTGAGGCAAAGTATTTGTTTAGATATTGGGCCATGCCTAGATTATCTTTAACCTCTACTCCATCCTCAGTGTTTAGCGGTCCCACTTCTTCTTTCTTTGTTTTCTTCTTATTTATATGGCTATAGAACCTTTTACTATTGGTTTTAATTCTCTTTGCAAGGTCCAACTCTACTTGACTTTTAGCCTTTCTCACTTTATCCCTACATGTTCTGGCCTCAATAAGGTAGCTTTCCTTGCTGATCCCTCCCATCTTCCACTCCCTGTATGCTTTCTGCTTTTTCTTAATCACCTCTCTGAGATGCTTGCTTATCCAGCTTGGTCTACAACTCCTGCCTATGAATTTTTCCCCCTTTCTTGGGATGCAGGCTTCCAATAGCTTCTGCAGCTTTGACTTGAAGTAATCCCAGGCCTCCTCTGCCTTTAGATCCATAATACTTCAGCACGCAAACCATATGGCCCTATTCAACTCCGTTAGTGTCTGTGGCTGCTTCCTATTCCTGGGGCAAAGACTACACGGTGCACGCTGGCCATCAGTTGACATGAATTTTTTTTTTTTTAAAAGGCTGCAGTCTGACATGGTCTGGCTTTGGGTGAGCTCCAGAACAGTCCATTAAGTGATTGTGATCGGGAGCTCATAAGCCCCCACAACAGCAGTCTGATGATTAAGCAATGGGGACAACAGTCTCTCCTACCCACCTTGTAGGGTAAGTGGAGAAGCCAATTCTCCCCCACAGCCTGAGGCACCATTGAAGACTTACTCCTGACATAGGGCTGATAGTTTCATGGTAACCCGTATCTCCCCCTTCATGGTCCCTTGAGAGCACCCAACTTCTCTCCCTACTGACTGGGGGATTTAAGCCTGCACAGCTGCCTGCCTTACACTGTGATATCCCTAGCAAGCCAGTCTGCCTAAAGGCCCACGGCTCTGCTATACTTTCTCTCCAAAAGCTATGAACAGCATATTGCCAACTGTTACCAGTTATTGCACAGTCTAAGTAAGCACATTTATTCTTAAGGTAAAAGCATTACAGTAAAACGTGAAAACCCAAGTTCCTATACAGGTGCTAAAAGCTTAGCAGAGGTCACACATCAGTCTTATTAGGCCCTAGTAGGCCCAAGTCTTTCCAACCCTCCTGCAAAGGTTGGAGCTCTTGGACAGATGGTCCTGTCTAGTTGCTGAATCAGCAAGGCAGCCCCGAGTCAGTTTTAACTCTGGCTTTTTATTTCAAAAGCACTTTCTTTGGCTGTTGGTTTCTGGGAAGACCCAGTTTGAACCAAACCTCATGAGGGATGGTACCTCTCTGTAGGTGTTTACAACCTGAGTGATTCACCTTAATCACCCCCTCCTGTTTTTAATTCCTGGTGGAATTGTAACCCCCCTTGGAGTTGCATACAATTCCTGGCCCAGCGAGTGTTACATAGACCACTCCTACAATTCGGACAAAATTGTCCCCACAGATATTGCATGCAGTTGTAATATCTGTCACAAGGGGTATAAAAAGTTTCCTGCAGACCTACATCACAGGACCAGAGGGTACAGAAAGGGCCTATATAGGGTATTTTGTGGTACAAGAGAACATTCATTTTGCTAGTTCTCCTCCAGGTCTATAATTCCTGGACAAAACTGGAGAGGAGTTGGGTTTTTCTGCCCTTTTGTAGCAGCACCCCTGGATAGGCTACAGTAATGGTGCTACATCTCCAGACTTCAGAAAGTTGTATGGATCAGCAGATCACATATGTTCTATTTGATTGAGTCCCAAGATTACTACAGCTAGTCTTATTATTTTCCTTTTAAAATTACATTTAAAACAAAAACTTAAATTCCATCCCAGGTAAGATTTCTAACCCTCACCCAGTTAGTAGTGCAATGTAGTAATATTAGCCACATATATCCAACTAGACTTGACCATTTCATTACCAAAACCCATAAGACCTAAAATATGAAAGCCTTTAATATTCCCACTTCAGAGTAAAAGTTTACATACACAAGTCAACTGAGCCACAAGTAGAGCTGATAAAATTCCTGACAGAGAAACAGTGAGAAAAATGTTTTCACTGCTGAAATGTGTTTCTAAAGTTTCTTCTGTGGCAGTGCTTTTAAATCACGAGGTTCTAACTTCACATTTTTTAAAAATGGAGTTGGGAACACTAAGTAGCTCCTGATTCAGTTATTTTAAATAAACACTTAGCAATTTTATAGTGATTTGTTCAACGTACTACACAGACATTATGTTGTTAAGCAAAAACATGAGACATACCTGATAGGTGCAGGGAGAGAGGGGAAAAAAACCTATAGAAGAACACACCTCTTTGCCCTACAAGAGGGCAAAAGAGACAAAGGAGGAAGATCAGAGCACTGAGGGGATGGAAGGGGATTAACGGAGGATCAGAGAAATATATTAAACAGCACTGATACAAGATATGTAATTTTTTTAAAATAGCTGAAATGTAAAATTTTATTGCAATATAAAATAGACTTAAAAGTCTCTATTGGAAATAATAGGTGGAACTAAAGTAAATCACACCAGGAAGTATTACTGTTAATGCATTATCGCCCCAGAAAATGAGATTAAAATACATCCCCAACGAAATAAGCACAATTGTGATGTTGCCATCTGTTAACGTACATGCCCAACACCAGGATGTATTATGAAATGATCTAAGACTTGCAAACCCTTTATATTTATCTTTAAAAAAATTCAAGTCCAATTAGTACAGGGATCCTCAAACTGCGGGTTGTGACCCCTCAGGGGGTCGTAAGGTTATTACACGGGGGGGTCACCAGCTGTCAGCCTCCACCCCTAATACTGCTTCTCCTCAGAATTTATAATAGTGTTAAACATAAAAAATGTGTTTTTAATTTATAAGGAAGGTCACACTCAGGCATGCTGTGTGAAAGGGGTCAGCAATGCAAAAGTTTGAGAACCACTGCATTATTAGGAATGTACTTTGCCCACTGGACCATCGGTTGCATTTAAGCACATTTTAATTATTTAAGCTCATCCAGAACTTAACTCACATGTCTCATACTTGATTTTCTTACCTACTTATTACAAAATGTGTATTTTTGCTATTTCTATTGAACAGATTAGGTCTAGTTAAAGCAAATTTAGACTCTCCTTGGCTTATTTTAGTAACTAATTTAGAAAAACAATAAAAGGAGTAAAGTGAAAGCTATTAAGGCTCTGCCAGCAGTTTTTTTTTTAAAACAAGTTGGATTTGTAAATGTTCATGCTATTTAATTTCAAAACATTCAAGGAAAAAAGCTGCCTTCGTAATGTATTTATTATATTGCAGTAGAAATGGCAAATGCATTGGAAAACCATTTGTAATCAATTTGTTTTCTCTCAAGAACTGATTCAGTATCATGAAGCCTTTTTACTAAGCATAAACAATTTTGCATCAGAGTATACAGGTACTATAGTTTAACAGCATGATTTAGAAACATTTTAGTATAGTGATTTTAGAGCAGCTCCATAATTGATTGAATGCATTAACTTATGCAAATTTGTAGTGTTTTACTTGATCATACAGTACTTAACAGTTTAAGGATCGTATAAAAGTATGAATAATTCTAGTGCTTTCAATGTCAGATTTCTTTAAATGACAGTTCCACAAAACCAGAAGTTAATTTCAAGCAGCAACTCCTCTATGTGAAAAATAATCTAGCTATTCCTGAATATTTGCATCAGGTATACTAGTTTCATTCATCTTCTCTATTTAAAAAACCTTCAGAGACAGACATTACATACAATAAAATGTTTTCCTTCATGATGGCTGAAAGGAAAAAAAATAGGTCTTTATTTGGAATGCTGCTACAGAATCTACTCCTGCAAACCTTTACTCAGATGAGTACTCATTAGCTTCAGTGGGCTACTCGTGTGAGTAAATGTTTGCAAATCTAGCCCCACAGTGACAGTTAAGCCAATAGTAAGAACTGACTGAAGATTACATAGAATCAATATTCAATACAGAGATCAGGAGTTTATAATAAAGTGTGTAGCTATTAAATAATTAAAAATAAAGCAGTACTAGTTTTGTAATCCTTTTCTAGTTTTGAACTGATTAACAACTCTTCCACAATATATGGACAATATAAACTCTAAAATGGCAGAGCCAGATAAGTGCTATGGAAAAACAAGGCTTATTTCTAGCATATATCAGTGTGGAATGATTTCAGTTCATTACTAAAAATTGGAATTTTTCATCTCTATTGTAATGTATTACCACGAGTGCAAGTAATAGATTTTAATCAGTAGGTGTTTCAGAGTCTGCAGGACCCCTAATTAGTCTTCGGATTCCCCTTTTTCCTGCAGGACCTTTTGGCTTAGCAAAATTTTGTTTGTGTGCATGATGTTTTGGATGAACCTCTTCATAAAGGAAGTCAGGAGTTAACTCATCACCATTATCTATTTCAATCTGCCAAGGGAGGATAAGAGACAGTTAAACGTATTTCATGATTTTGATTAACAACCTGTGAAAGAGTTTATATTTACTGAAGCACTAAAACTATATTCAAACAAACATAAGCAAGAAAGTTCAGAGTTCAAGGTGAAACGTTGACCCTTAATTCATTTGTGTCCAGTGCCCTCTACAAAACTGAACAAATCCTCATTTGTTTTTGAGTTTGTCAGACCCTTACTGGTATGCAGTTTTTGTGATTTAGCTTTCCAGTTCATTTTTCAGGAGTATAACAGAAATGTGCAATGTATATCTCAAGTTGGAAGAAACTCCTTCAAACCTCATGTTCTATCACAACCTTTCAACTTTTAGTAGAAAAACAATCAATCATTTTACTTATTAAAAGTGTTTTAAAAATAATATTTGTAAAGGCAACCAATATACATGTTGCTTTCCCTGCAGAGAGAGTAAAATGGACCTGAATGATCTGCAACCTAATGAGCAGCCTAATGCAGCCCAGCCCAGTGTAACTATTCAGACAAGGAAGAAACTATAACAAATTAAAACCTTTATCTATAAAAGTATCAAAACACAACCCTGCCTAGAAGAAAACTATTGTTCTCAAGCCAAAATCCACTGGTTTTATTGTATGAACTTAGATCTCTGAAAATGCTTTGACCCTGTACCACTGAGCATTTAGAATTTCCTGGCACCCCAGTTACGGCCAGTAATAGATCCATCAGCAACTACTTTGCAGCAAGAGGTCAAACAAATCCTCAGGAATACTCTTCCTAGTGATTTCAAAGGTCATGTCAGGCCATTATTTAATTTTAAAGAAAGGAAAAGCATATTGACCTCCATCTAAGAAATATGTATATATAAAGTTATTTTTGACATAGCTTCAATAGATGAACATTAGACAATGAAAGAGAATCTCTGGTTGATATTAATCCTGCCATGTGTTTAATACTGAAATGTTATCCACAGAAACAAAATTAAAAAGCTCTTCCTCATTTGTAGTATCTGTAGTTTAAGAACGTGGTCTGATGTACTGCAGTCCTTGAAGAGCCCCACCAAATATTATCAGTTCTTGAGTACAGAAGCAATTTTTTCTTTATGGTAATATAGGACTGGAATTCTTTATAAGAAAAGGCATGCACTTAATTAGTGCAAACTAGGATTTGTAAATAAGGTGCTTAAAGATAGCAATTAAAGTTACAGGGTCACTGCCTAAAATTAATTGTTTTTGAAAGTGTAATCTTTTTATCATGAAAGTGCAACTTACAAATGTAGAATTTTTTTTTTTTAAAACATAACTGCACTCAAAAACAAAACAATTTAAATCTTTAGAGCCTACAAATCGAAGCATGAAGGAGCATATGAATGTTTACCATATCTGGCACATAAATATCTTGCAACACCAGCTATAACAGTGCCATGCAAACACCTATTTCACTTTCAGGTGACATTGTAAATAAGAAGTGGGCAGCATTATCTGCTATAAAAGTAAACAAACTTGTTTGTCTTAGTGACTGGCAGAACTGAGTGGACTTTTTGAGGTGAATTGAAAAATACATTTTCTTATGTTTATTTTTTACAGTGCAAATAGTTGTAATAAAATAAAGTGAGCACTGTACACTTTGTATTCTGTGTTGTAATTGAAATCAATATATTTGAAAATTTAGAAAAACATCGGAAAATATTTATAATAAATTTAAATTGGTATTTTATTATGGTTTAACAGGGCAATTGAAATGATGATTAATCGCAACTATTTTTTTAAATCTAGTTAATTTGTTTTGCGTTAGTCATATGTATTAACTGCAATTGACAGCCCTAAAAAATTTGCTTGACCTCATAAACCATTGTTATCCAATGCATACAGGCTACACTCACATATTAATAGAATCATAGACTATCAGGATTGGAAGGGACCTCAGGAGGTCATCTAGTTCAACCCCCTGCTCAAAGCAGGACCAATCCCCAATTTTTGCCCCAGATCCCTAAAGGGCCCCCTCAAGGATTGAGCTCACAACCCTGGGTTTAGCAGGCCAATGCTCAAACCACTGAGCTATCCCTCCAGGTATTATGCACATGGTATATTATATTAATATTAAGTGTGTGGTAATCATAAATTGTATTATGCCTTCTCTTGCTCACTTAAGTATCCCACAATACCTTGTAAAAGTACAAGTCAACATTTTGCATAAGCAAATGGGAAAACTGTCAAAGGTAAGATATGTAAATATTCTACCCTGGTAGAGGTAGGGGAATGCCTTCATGACCCAACTAGTTTGGAATTCGGTGTTCGAAAACAAGAGACAAGAGGGGTATACCATGGTACCAGTAAAATAAAGTACCATAAAATAAAGTAATTGGGGAAATTTTAGTCCGAGGGGTGATGTATACAGTGCTTCTTACTTGTAAACAGGTCTAATTTAAACAGAGGTAGTTTTGGGGGCGTATTCTGGGATCACACATTCTGCGTAATGTTAACTGGACACACAGCGAGAAGGACTGGTGATGTATTAAACTCTTTCTTTCTTGTACCATACTGTTTTCTCTATAGACAATAAATTGGCTCAGCTTGGTTATTTGGTCTCAAATGTTTTTAATATTGACAAGCAAGTGTAGTCAAAATTAATTGGCTATACATTAACCAACACAATTCAGCTATACAGAAGGTAAAACTCAAGATAAAGGAAATTAATGTTCTTCCCGCACTGCACAGATATGGGACCTCTAATATGCTTACCTTTCTCATTATCTGCATCCACAGTTGTCTTTCTACAATTTCTAACAGAGGGCTCTTGCAACTAGAGTATAGCATCCGTTCTCGAATACTGCACGTATACCCAGGCATAGAGTAGATAAATACTGCAGAATGAAAACGGTGTAAGAACTATTACCTTAAAATCATGACTTGTGACAGACATTTAAACAAAATATTCTACAAAGTCTGAAGGGGAAGAAACAACACCACTATACATCTTTAGTTACAATGTAAACTTATAAGTGACCAATGAATGGAAAGATATTGGCCAATATTTTCAAGTGAACAATGGTTTTGGGTGCCCAACTGGAGACACTCTAAAAAGTGCTTGATTTTCAGAGTGCGTGCAGCACTTTTGAAAAATCAGGGCTTTTTAAAGCAGTTTCAAAGTCTGACACTCAAAGGACATTGAAAATCAGTGGCCACTTTTGAAAGCCTTGACCACTGAAACTATGCACCAAATTTTATCATTTATATACCATCTTCCCCATCTCAAGATTACTTCTAAGTTATATGAAATGAACAAATGAAATTTCACATATAGTAATTCTCATACCTATGGATTCCAAGTAATCTCCTTCATGGGAATGCTTATAAAGGAAAAAATGATAGCGTGCAGAATCCTTTGGAATCCTGTTTGGCAAATCCTTAAGTTCAGTATGGAGTGTGCTGGCCAAAACAATAGTTTCATTTTTTATATCAATTTGCTGTTAAACAAACAAAAGTTAGAGCAGATACAGAGAGCAGCATAATCAGAGAAGCTGATATGAGAAAACAGATAATTTAGAATCCTATTCTGAATTAAACATTGCAGTACATGTTCATACATGTACAATTTAAACAACTACTGCATAATTGTATTCTGTAAAATAATTAAATGCAATATTTTGTACTTGCCAGTTGCACATAGTTGAGCTGTTTATTTTTCAGTTTTTCCAAAGCCTGAATAGCTTCCTTAGCCAAAGGAAATGCTACTCCTTGCAGTGTCTGATGCTTGGTATCTACACCGACTTCCACTTGGACCTGGAATTAATATAAATCAGTTTAATTATAATCTAAAATCTTCAAAGTATTCATACAGATTTTAGTCTCAGAGTAAGTAGTATTTCATTCTGCATTCAGTAAGTGACAGAGATTTTTAAAAATGACTAAAATGGCATCGCCTTACTCAACAGTTCTGTTCCTTTTTATGTTTATAGAATCACATCTACTTACTTTTCTAAAAAAACAATTTTGTTTTTTTATATCAGTCTCCCATAACTCTAAAAACCTCTCTGCAGTGCTGAAGTATCAACAGAATAATTAGTTAAGTTGCAATTTCAGAATCTTTAATTCTGATGATTATGTATAAACCAGAAAGAAGAAAGCTTTCATATTCCAGTGGAATCCTAGTGCTGGCTGGCAGTTAGAAAAAACATCTCTTTTCTTGTAAACTTAGCAGATTTGATATGGAACTCATCAAAAGCCTACAAATATGGAAACCAATTATGTCACTTCGAGTCACTTTTCAGAGAACTATTGTCCACATATGCAATGTTCCAGAAATGAACTCTGTGCTCTGTATTTTATTTTCCAAATCGAACTGATCAGAATTTACCTTGGCAGCCTATTTATATATAGGCTATATCTTCCAAAGCCACACAAGCATTTTCCTGTGGCTGATTTATGTTCATCATCATCACTGAAGTACAACATTAAAAAGGCTAGACTTGGATCTAAATGAACGCAATATGTTAATATTAAAATCAAAAACTGAAGTTAATGCAACATTGAAGTTTAAAAATCTAAAATCATACAAAACAGGAAATGAAAAGATAAGGTATTTGGAGCAATGCTAAATCACACTGCACATATTTGTGTTACAGTATACATTTTAATCCCAGTTAGTAACTGAAAATATGACATTCTTTGTGCTTCGGCTTGGCAAGCCAGTCAATTGACCAGTCAAGTAATGTCAGTTGACTGCAGCCAAACTGTCAAATATTCCAGCAAGAATGTTCTGATGTAGGCAGCAGCCTCTTGTTAGAGCAAGCCTACTTAGAAGTCTTGACCACTCACATGATTACTCACTACCTGCTAATTTCACCTATTGGGGGAAAAAGGAGAACTAACTGAAAGCAGAGCATCATGATTGGTAGGAATCTTCTAGAACAGGGGTAGGCAACCTATGGCACGCATGCCGAAGGTGGCATGCAAGCTGATTTTCAGTGGCACTCACACTGCCCGGGTTCCGGCTGCCGGCCCGGGGTTCTGGCCGCAGCCGGGACCTGGGTCCTGGCCACTGGTCTGGGGGCCTTTGCTGCTGGCCTGGGGTCCTGGCCCTCAGCCTGGGGCTCTGCAGCTACCCCCACCTGTGGCCCACTGGCCCCCGTCCTGGGGCAGTGAGGGGTGCAGACGGGGCAAGGGGGGCACAGCTCAGCACCCCCACCTTAAAAATTGTTCCAGTGCCACTGTACTGGGATATTTTTAAGTCCTGATTTTCTGCTTACATCACTATCATGTCACGTGGAACAGCGCACTGCATTTGATATTTGGATTAGAATGTACATGCAAGAACTGGAATCAGAATTTTCTGACAGATTTCAAGATTTCCAGCGATTTGGCCCATTCTTTCTTTTCTAATTAAACCTGGAAAGTTCAACGAAAGCGAATTGGATTTGTCTGTATTTCAGTGGATGGACGTTGAAGATTTCGAAATGCAGCTCATTCAGTTAAAAAACTCAGAATTGTGGGTATCAAAGTTTGGAGATCTGCGGAGTGCCGTTGAAGCTACCGAGTGAGATCATAGGGCTTTTATTCTGACCTGCTGGACGTCCCTGCCAGTGAAATTTAACTGTTTGAAGAAAATTGCGTTTGCAATGCTTTTAGCATTTAGATCCACATACCTGTGTGAACAGGTATTCACACATGAAATCTGTCCTTTGTCCCTCTCGGAGCCGGTTAACAACTGATCACTCAGAAGCCTGTGTGCAGCTTAAAGAATCCAAATACATTCTAGACATTGGAAAACTCAGTAAGGGCAAGGATCAGACTAAACTGATAAGATCTTCATTTTAATTTAATTTTAAATGAAGCTTCTTAAACATTTTAAAAACCTTATTTACTTTACATACAACAATAGTTTAGTTATATATTATAGACTTATAGAAAGATACCTTCTAAAAACATTAAAATGTATTACTGGCAAGCGAAACCTTAAATTAGACTGAATAAATGAAGACTCGGCACACCACTTCTGAAAGGTTGCCGATGCCTGTTCTAGAACAAGTACGTATGTATAGCTTTATTTGTCAGGCCATCATTGTACACATTGGTTTACAAACCACATTAAACAAGTTAAAAGACACAGTTCCCTGCCTTGAAGAGCTTACAATCTAAACTGACTAGACAAACACACAGAAATCAACGCAGAAGGGAGCGGGAAAGGGAATGGAGGCTTACCTGTCATTAAACCTCCTCCCCCAACACAAAAAGAAAAAAGATGGACAACCACTAAACTGCTTAAAGAGTTGGACTGCTGCCTACTTAGCAAATATAAAAGGAAAAAAGTCATTTTAAATGCACTTATGCTATGTGTTTTATTTATTTATTCTTTTGTTTTGTAATTCAGTCTTGTGTTATTCAGTCTTGAATCATGTTCACATTTAAACGCTAACCTAACATTACTAAAAAAGGTGATATGATTATACTTTCATTTATCATTTCTTTTCATTGGGTTTCATGTTTTTCTGAGCTAACATAACTCAATTAGGTCTTTTTTTTTGTAATTAGGCACAAGTATCTACCTAAGGCTAGGCCTACTGGAGATCACCAAGTTTTATTCTTTTTTGTTACTCTGCTAATAAGTTAGTAGTTGAAAATATTGGGTCATTTGAGACATTATTTAACCAGTCAATTGGCCAATTATTTTTTGGACTGGTCAAATGCCCAACCTGAGTTTGTGTGCCCCTGTCCCACCCTGCAGACTTTCTGAAAACTTTCGACTGGTTTGCTTCTCTCCTCCTGCAAGCTTCCTCCTACAACACTTCAGAAATTTCTACTCATCCCCCTGCCTGTCTTCCCAGACAATGTTGTACCTCATTAATCTTAATTTGCCGAAGTTCCTCTTCTGCTGCAGTCAGAGGGGCAGGGGAGGACTGTGATATCAAGTATTTTCTGTATCCATTCAATGAAACATCATCCTGAAAACACAGAATCAGTATTTGGCATCAATGATTCTTCAGTTAAAGTTTTCTTTGAAGATTCTTCCTTCTGAGTATTAAGTAAGGGAAAGAACAGTTAATTTACTTTACAGTATCTGTGGTTCTTTAATATGTTTAGTATGCGTGCATTCACCTCATGAGCGTGAGATCAAAATCTTTGAGTCTTTTTGGGCCCTGCATATCCTCATGACCTCCCCACACAAGGGCATAAAGGGCAGAGTGGCCAGAGCCATCCCTCAGTTCCTCACTAATCCAGAGAAGACTGAAGAAGCAGATATGGAGTGAGTTGTGGGATCCACATGGACAGAACATCTTGAAGAACCACAGCTATTGCTGGGAAGTAACAAATCTTTCTTCAAGTATTTGTCCACTTGGATCCCTCTCTAGGTGAACAGCTAACAGTACCCCATGTGGAAAATGGAATCAAGAGGTCCTAGCTGTCACTAACTATGATTGTAACACTGCCGTCTCACATTTGGCATCTGATCTCAAGTCCAGGTCAAAGGCATAGTCACAGAGTCAGAATTTAAGGCCAGAAGGGACTACTAGATCATGCAGTCCAGTGGTTCTCAACCTGCAGCCCAATGAGCACACAGCTGAGGCCCATGTGACATTCTCAGGGCCATACAGACAGTATTGGATGTGGCCCACGATGGTAAATAGGTTGAGAACCACTGGGGTCTGACTTCCCATACATCATATGCCACCATCACCACACAGCACCCACATACTAAATCCAACAACTGAAATTAGACCAAAGCAATACAGCCCAGAGGAGACTAGACTTTTATGTGCCACAGGAAGAGAATAAGAGGGACTCAGATGCATCAGTGCTCGAGGCCCTTGTAATGGCAAGGAAATGATTATGTGAGATATACACAGATAATCCTGACAAGTGACCTGCTCCCACATGGTGCAGGGAAATGCAAAAAAACCCTCCAAGGTCACTCTCAATCTGACCTGGGTGAAAATTCCTTCCTCACTCCACGTATGGTTATCAGCTAGACCCTGGATATGTGAGGAAGAATGCGCCAGCAAGCCACCTGAGAGAGAGACTGCTCAGTGCCACCCAAGAGCCTTGGCTCATCCCGCCCAGTGTCCCATCTCCAGTTGTGGCCATCCCTGATGCTTCAGAGAAAGGAGATTTTAAAAAACAAACAAAAAACCCTTCAAGAATACACATTAGGGGAAAAATCCATCCCTGACCTTGCTGGTGGCCGGCAGAAACCATAAAGCATGAGATTTAGGAACAAAGCCTCAGGGCTGTTGAGTCATGCCCCCACTATCACAACCAATCCCATCATACAAACTGCACTCATAAATTTGTCCAACTCGCTCTTAAAACTAATTAAGTTGTTTGCCCCACAACTCCTATTTGGAGGCTGTTCCAGAACCTCACTCCTCTGATAGTTAGAAACCTTCTTTTAATTTCCAGCCTGATTTTGTTTATGGCCAGTTTATATCCCTTTTTTCTTGTACCAAGATTATCCTTTAACTTAAATGGCTTTTCACCCTCCCTGGTATTTACCCCCCTAATGTGTTTATACAAGGCAATCATATCCTCTCTCAGCCTTCTTTCTGCAAAACTACACAAGCAAACTCTTCCAGTTTTCTCTCATAAAATAGGCCCTACAGCCCCCGATCATCCTTATAGCTCTTCTCTGCAACTGTTGCAGTTTAAATGCATCTTTCTTGAACATGGATGATCAGAACCGTACATAGTATTCCAAATGAGGTCTTACCAATGCCTTGTACTTCTCTATCTTGCCCCAAGCAGCATCTTGAGGAAGAGCTCTATGTGGCTTGAAAGTTTGGCTCTCTCACCAACAGAAGTTAGTCCAATAAAAGATATTACCTCACCCACCTTGTCTCTCTAATATCCTGCAACCTACATGGCTACAACTACACTACCTTGCAGATGTCAGATATGGGAATATTCCCATAAATGTGCAAAGGAGGCAGCCTGAGCTCTGGTTGTCTGAGTTTTGATATTTGGGGGATGAGGTACGCCTGCCATGAGGGAACAGATTTTAATACAGTGCACAATAGGGATGTAACCTTAAAATTATATTGTTTAACTGATTAAAGGGAGAGGGGCCGGGGCTGCTCCAGCTGGCCGGGGGCTGCTCCTGCCAGCACACAGAGGGTTAAGGTCGGTTAACGGTAAGCCTAATACATCCCTCCTGCATAATCCATTTAAATAATCTCTGAGAAGATAAGGATTGCCCCATACCTATATTATTTAGTGCAATAAAAAGATAGGGAGCTTATTTAAAGGGCTTTCTTTGTACTATTTAGGTAACATAGCAGGGCCCTAGAAATATCTATGGTGGGGAGTTTCTTCTCCCCTGGAGCTGAATGGGGTTTAAAAAAAGAAAACGGGGCGGAATCAACTGGGTTCAGTGGAAATCTGAAACTACTTTGGGAATACATTTAGGATGAAGTCTCAACACCAGCCTTATCTTGATTGATTATGCTATGACGAGGGTTGGCCATGAGGACTTGGAGTTCACTAATTAACTGGCTCTTTCAGATGATATAAAAGGCCATCTTGAGAGGAAAGTGGTGAAGAGAGCATTCACCAAGAGATCCAAATGGGTTGGGGGGCTCCACGAGACTCACAAGGACAATGCGAGATCTCAAGAACAAGGGCACTCCCTGAGTGGAGAGAAAGTTAATTTTACACTATTTATTTCTCTCCTCGGTGAAAAAGTGTAAAGTTAACCCTTTAAAAAAAAACTAGAAATAGCAGCGTGGAAAAATACAGAGCATGACTGAACCAGAGGCTCAAGGTGGGTGAGGTGTTATCTTTTATTGGACCAGTTTGTGTTGGTCCAGTAAACTTTTGAACCAGAGGCTGTCATGCTGAATTTGCTGCAAGGTGGCTCCTGATGAAAGTGATGGAGAGTCCAGAGAGTTTCAGGTACAGAATATAGTCAAAATCTTGGGGATACGGCTCTCCAAAGGGTCGCAGTTCTGCAAAGATTGAGAATCATTTCCATTCTGAGGATTGGATTCCCCTTATGGAGGGCTTCCTGCTTTGTATACCCCCATATCTCAATGTCTGTACTTTGACTGGTTAAACTTTTACCCCCAATTGGGGAGATTGCAGATTATGTATTCCTTATGCCACCAACTCCTAAACCGACTTTCGCATCCCTTGATGATCTGTACCTTATTCCCTGATAACCAGAAACTTCTATGCTTGAACTCTGTACCATTTTCTTTTTATTTCAACATTATCTTAATAAATTTTATTAAGATTTCTTGTACCTGCAACAAATAGTCTCTCAGTAACACTTAGCCAGCCAACTTCCAGGCTGTTAGCTGTAATGATTTCAGGTCTGAATGTAGAATTTGGCTATGATTTCTGTGATATGTCAAGTCTGCAAATGTATTTTAGGCTGAGTTGCTGAATTGGATCAGTCAGCCAGAATTGTCTGGATGTCTAAAAAGCTATTAGACTTGTCTGATTTGTCTTATCACTCTGGGTATGAGAGGAATTGGAGGAAATGCAATAAAGGAGACCCTGATTCCTGCTGGTGTGCTGAGACTACTGCCTAACATATATGTGTAGTCTCACCTTCCGTGTATCTGAAGTTGATCCAGGTAGGCATCCAAATCTGTTCCAGAAGCATCAGTATCTTTGTGGCTGGAAGGGTGGAGAAGGGTACAACTTTGCAGATATTCTGAGAATGTGTCCACCAATTTGATAGGATGTTAGCTGGAACAACAATATGCATGTCCATCTAATGTCTCATGGGGTGATAAACCAACCTTAGTCAGCCCTGTAACAGTCATAGGTGAAGTCTGGATAGCGGCATCATGTAAGTGCAAGTTGACATGATCTAAGAGTTTGAGACTGATCCTTACTGTGGTTGATGGACCTGATGCTGGGGATTATTGTTTTGACAGACTGAAATCTTTCATTTGGGAATGTACACCCTTGATGATCTGAAGTCTACGAGAGCTCCTATAAACTCTGTATAACTGCAATGGGCTGAGAAATTATTTGTTGCAATTTATCATTTGGCCTAATACTTTAATTATGTCAAGGACACAATATAGGGCTATGGGAGACTTCCTAATGGGATCTGCCTTTGACCAGCTAATCATCTAGATATGGGTAGATGTGAACACTCTGTCTCCTCAGATGTGCCACTACCAAGGCAAGACACTTTGTGAATTCTCTCAATGTTGTGAAGAGACAGGACCTTGCATCGATAGCACCTAGACTCTAATGTCAATCACAGATACTTCCTGTGGGTCAGATGGATCTCAATATCGAAGCGTGCGTCTTGGAGTTCAGAAGCCAAACTGGTCTTGAGTTTGTAAAGAGAGATGATGAAGGCAAATGTTACCATTCTGAATCTGAAACTATGTAGATATTTGTTGAGTCTTCTCAAGTCACAGACAGTATGAAGAACCCCCTACCCACCAAATAAAGAAATACTCTTCCCTGAATTCTAGAGGTACCTCTCCTAGACAATGAAGGGAAGCCACTTCTTTCAGTTGTTTTTTGTGAGAAGAGTCCCTGAAAAGGGAAGGAGAAGGGGGATTGAGGCAGAGACTAGAACTGAATGGAGAACCTGCAGAAGATGATTTCTTGTACCCATTTGTAGGTAGTTAAGGATAAGGAAAAACAGCATCCCACGGCAGGGTTTGGGGAGGCAGGCTCTGTCCTGGCTGGATTGTGACTCTTGACCTTGCACCTCAAACCTACTACCTAGATGACTATGCACGAGGCTGGTGGTTACATATGACCAAGGTCTCAGTCATGAAAACCCAGGATTCTTTCTAGTGGCATAATCATAGAATATCAGTGTTGGAAGGGACCTCAGGAGGTCATCTAGTCCAACCCCCTGCTCAAAGCAGGGCCAATCCCCAATTAAATCATCCCAGCCAGGGCTTTGTCAAGCCTGACCTTAAAAACCTCTAAGGAAGGAGATTCCACCACCTCTCTAGGTAACCCATTCCAGTGCTTCACCACCCTGCTAGTGAAAAAGTTTTTCCTAATACCCAACCTAAACCCCACCCCACCCCTGCAACTTGAGACCATTACTCCTTGTTCTGTCAGCTGGTACCACTGAAAACAGTCTAGATCCATCTCTTTGGAACCCCCTTTTAGGTAGTTGAAAGCAGCTATCAAATCTCCCCTTGTTCTTCTCTTCTGCAGATTAAACAATCCCAGTTCCCTCAGCCTCTCCTCATAAGTCATGTGCTCCAGCCTCAAACAGCAGGCTGTTGTCAAGAATAACTGGGTGTTCTCTACCTGGTCTGGCTATAGTATCTGAAGGGCTTCGGCAATGAGGCAGGGGTATAATTAGTAATCATAAAGTGACTATTGAATCCTTTAGCAAATAAAAATCATCATCTGTATGGGTGATGAATATGTGTATGCTCTCAAAGGGCATGTCCTCAATGGTATTCTGCACCTCCTTTAGGATGGTGCTGGAGAACTAGTGACTTCTGACAACAAGTCTGCTGGAACTATTAGGGCTTTGATTGTCATCGCTGGTACTGAGGGATTTGGTTCAGACACATTGGTAGCAGATGTAAGTACAGGGGTTGTTTTGGTGTTACTAGGTACAAAGTAGGAAGTTGATCCTGTATCACTTGCCCCTGTATTACAAGAGGGCTCTGCACTCAATTTCTGTGGATAGATCAAAGGCAAATAGTTCTTCTTATGCTCTCAGCCAGGGGAGGTAGACTGGTGACGGGAACCATGTTTGATCCAGTATCCTGCTCTACCTTTCCTTGGAATCTAAACAGGAAAAGGGGGAGAATATACTAAGGAGCAGCACGTGGATGGACACAGCCTGGTTTTGTCTTTCCGCCACTGACAGTAAGAGATAATTACAACTGATATGCCCTTTATGTCCTTATGTTGGGGAGGGCAGCAAGACATGCACAGTTTAGGTGAAACCCAACACACACTGCTGTTCAAAGATTCCTATGTCATGCATATGAGGTGTATGCACAGTGAGAGTGGAATCCACACCAGCAAATACTCGAAGAAACTGGGATTTTTCCACAAATGTAAATCAGACATGAAATACAACTCAGAACTTTATACACACATTAGAACCTTACTGAATAAACATGTTTAGGAATAAAAAGCTAGGGAAGTGAGGATGAGATTGTAAGGGATGGAAATGAAAGAGGGAAGGATAAATGGATGGTAAAAAATGAAAAACATGGGGAAGAAAAATCAATGGGGATGATGGGAAAGGGTGTGATAAAGACCACAATAGGTTAAAAAAAATAGATACATCTAGCGAGAAGAGAATGAAAGGAAGAGATTGCAGAACATAGTAAGCTATAAAAGCATGTGCAAATAGAGAAGGAAATGTAATGCTAATATATAACAATAAAATAAATATGATCATCTCTCTCGCTCTTCTACCCCCTCCCAACCCCATTCTACCTGAAAGAGAGCAGAGAGATTTCTGTGCCACCAATGAATTCATTCGCTCCTGGATTCTGCTCTAAATTCCTTCCAGGGATCACATTTTTGCCTGGGTTCAAAGAAACCCTTTTGAAAATGAGCCAAATTCCCCCAAACAAGAAGGTATAAAAAAAGGTTTCTGTTGGAACATCTGCCAAACCTTCTACAAAGGAAAGTTATCTACTTTGTAACGTTTCTTCTCTGAAGATATCTTGCGGGATTCTTAGTCCTAGACGTAGCTCAGTAGAGAGCCCAGCAGAACTCTCCTAGCTCTCAAAGTTTTGGTTTTTTACCCTTAAAGGCAAGGGATAACAAGGTAGGGTGTAAGTGAGGGCCCCCTCAACTGGCTGTCATGCACCATCTCCTATGGAGTATTAAGTATGCTTACACCCCAGTCAGTTCCATTTACTGCATGGGAGGTGAAGCACCCAGAAAGAAAAAGCCAATTCAAGAGGATCAACAGGGGAAAAATAATAAAAGATGTCTCAGAAAAATTAAAAGTGCGCAAAGGGAGACACCTCTAAATAGTAATCTCCAAACTTTCAGGGGTAAGTGGATTTGTGAGTGAGAATCTTGCAAGATGATCTCTTCAGAGAAGTAGAATTACAAGGCAGAATGATCTTCCTTTCTCTAAAGATATCATCTGTGCAGGAAGAGCACTCCAACTGCAAGACAAGCTCCTACATCTGCCGACACAGGGCAAAAGGAAAGCCTGGAAAGGCTTAGGGCTTTATGGCAGCCTGACAGATGAACAGAATTCACTGGGCCCAATTGTAGAAGATTTACTGATACTTGAACACTGCTCTCCACTCTAGCACATAAATGCAGGAGCGGAAAATCTGGAGACCTTGATATGGAGAGGCCTGGAATCGAGAGCTTTCACAAAGACATACCAGGGAGCTCCTACTTATATATCCAGGTATATGATTCTCATCACTGTTGTATCAGAGTGCTTCATGTGAATTCAAAAAAACCAAAACAACTCTCTCTTTTCCTTTCTTGCTCCCAAAATGAAAGCTGGGACTCTGGGGCACAATCCTTGGGCAAGTAAGAATTTAAAATGGGAAGATCCTCCAACTGTTCCTAGAGGTGACTGTTTACCCTTTACAGTAATTAAGCACAAGAACTATACAGCCTCAAAATAAACTGATCGAAAAAGGAATTTAAAATAAAGTGACACTTAAAACAGAAATGCTGTTCTGTGCACATTTTATACGGCCGTTCTCTTTCTAAATAACAGGAAAAAAGATTTATATTTAAATTATTGTACTAAGAAGAGGGTCTGAAACATAAGGCCTTGTATCAGAGGCCTGGTATAAGGCCTAGGTTAAAGCAGTGGTCAAAACTTTGCTGATATAAAGCAAAGTCAGGTTGTGAGCACGAGGCAGGCCCTGCTCACAGAATTTGGCAAGCATAGGGCTGATATTGCAAAACACATATTCCTAAGAGATGCGAGGCACAAAACACTCACACAAGCACATTCCAGAAGGTTGGTACCAGAGCACCTCGATACCATTACATTCCCCAAAGGTAACAGGAACACGCTGACTCATCTTAAGGATAAGGTCAAGATGACAGCATGATGAATAGAGATGTTTTGATTGAACCTATAGGTGCAAGGCAATGGGTGGCGCCCAGAGTTGGCCAACCTGCGGCTCTGGAGCCACATGCAGCTCCTTGGATAGGCACCGACTCCGGGGCTGGAGCTACAGGCGCCAACTTTCCAGTGTGCCGGGTGGTGCTCGGTGCTCACTGCTCAACCCCTGGCTCTGCCACAGGCCCTGCCCCCACTCCACCCCTTCCCTCCCCATCCCCTGCCATGCTCTCGCTCCTCCCCGCTCCCCCCACCCCAAAGCCTCCTGCATGCCACGAAACAGCTGATCAGGAGGCGTGGGAAGGGAGGGGAAGGTGCTGATCGGTGGGGCTGCCAGTGGGTGGGAGGCACTGGGAGCGGGGTGGGGGAGCTGATGGGGGGCTGCTGATGTATTACTGTGGCTCTTTGGCAATGTACATTGGTAAATTCTGGCTCCTCCTCAGGCTCAGGTTGGCCACGCCTGCGTCAGAGGGTGGCACCCTGATACATCAGAGGGTGATACATAACTTGTTTGTATCTGTGTATAAAGATGTATCTCAGAGGGACTGTCTTTGTCCAGCCGAGGGGGCAGTGGAAAGTCCCGTCACTGACTGAGCTGCGTCCGTTGTCACAAGCATACATGCCTTAGTATCCTCGTAGAGTCTGCCAGGTGCTATTACCGTGCTTCGTCAACAATAAACCTGCCCAGGCGTGTTTGCTACTAAACGAAGTCTTGTGGTTTTATTGGGCAGTTCATTTGAGATCTGCTGTGGCAGCTAACAACACATGCATGCAGACGAACATCTGACCACAATTATTATTTAAAACGTTTTACTATGCAACTTAACCCATAGAAGAATTATTCCTAAAAAACAGCATATATGCTGACATTAAAAATATACCTTTGTTGTTCCAAATACTTCGTCTTTAATGTGACCACCTCCAAATTCTTTTTTCAGAGTTGCCCGTGTTGCTGCATACAACATTTTTTGACGTACCTGGTATGTTGCAAAAGAGTTGCTTTTAATTTTTTTATGTACGTGGAAGCAAGTGCATTTGCATGCTAAAATTATTATTGGACTTCTGAAATACTTCGTTAAGCAAAATAAAAGTTACAAGAAGAAGTAGTTACAATTTAAAGCTATAATTAATAATAGGAAAACAGTACAATGAGCTTTGGAGTGTGATAATTTGACATGATATTAACCATTTCAAGGGTACAATAATGAGAGAAGTTTTACAACAATCCAATCAAAGTGTTCTATATTGCAACTGTTAAGGTAATTTTCAGAGTATGGGGGATGTTTTCAAAAGTTACAAACACAGTAACATCTTTAAAAAACAAACAAACAAACAACACAACAAAAAAACACCTGTTCTAGATTCTGTTGCTGCTGGTCTGAATATTGACGGAAGCAACTGGCTTAAAAAAAAAGAAAAAGAGAGAGACAGACACACACAATAGCCTACAAACCCCTGTTTGGTTCAGTAATGGATCTGAATAACTATCGCAGCCACACAAGGAATAAAAAATAACTTGGATATCCACTTCAGTATTTAAGATGTACTTAAGAAAAACTTAATTAAAAAAATTTATTGGAGCCTATTAAGCATAGTCACCTGCCTCACAAACAGAAATAACTCTATATATCAGCCCTGTCAATCCAATTTTTCTTCTTGATTAGGGTGGAGTTTAAAGGATAAAGGAGATTTTTGAGGAAGACATCTGTATCACAGAAAATATTCAAGTTCTTGTTTATTTTATGGCTGAATGCTACTAAAAAGATGGTGTTTCCTTTCATGAATTTAATTAATGAAATCAAAAACTTACACTCTTCAACTAAAAAGAAAAGGAGTACTTGTGGCACCTTAGAGACTAACCAATTTATTTGAGCATGAGCTTTCGTGAGCTACAGCTCACTTCATCAATCTAATATTTGATAAAACCTTTTATTTCAATACATAATTAGCATTAAGTAGACTGTAATCTTTACCGTTCAGGAGTTCCTCAGTTACCCAATTTTCTCTTGTCCTTTTCTCTTCTGCAACCCAATCCTGAGACAGTACGAAGACATTAATATTACAATACAAAGACATTAATATTACTTACATGAGAGTGATCTGGTGACCATGCAATGAAGATCCATTCATATCCTTGAGCATTCTGAGAATCTAATCTGTATAATACATAACATGGTTGCTTGTCTTCAAGAAGGGGAAGAACAAAGGAATCATAATCCTTTTCCCATGATTCAGCAGGCTGCCTAGAGGATCCCACTACAAGCTGCTCTATAAACAAAAACAAAAACTGCAGGTCAGTACAATGGTCTGAAACATTAAGCTTTTGCAATTAAAGATACTTATGGCTTAATCCTGCAAAGTTCTGCCCCAAGAAAATGGAAAACAATGGCACTTCATGCAGCAACAGGTACACACATGTATAATTGTTTGCAGGATCAAGCCCTAAATTATTTCATCTCAAATACTAGAACATAAGAAAATATCCACGGGTTGGTCTCATTTCATTGTTGGCCTGCAAGGTCTTCAGAGCAAGGACTTGCAAGTAGATGTGGAAGGGATTTTCACTTAAAATAAATCCGGTTTGGAGAGAGAGTAATGTATGTATGTAACACTATGTAAGTAATAGCAGATAGCGCTCTTCTTCTATAAGACTCAAGTTCATGGGAAGCCAGGACAATATTCATTATTATTGATTGTACCTAGAGGCCCCATCTGAAATCAGAGCTGCAACAGACCTGTACATACATGCACAGGTGTCAGGGTTCCTTCCCCACTCTGAACTCTAGGGTACAGATGTGGGGACCTGCATAAAAAACCCCTAAGCTTATTTTTACCAGCTTAGGTTAAAACTTCCCCAAGGTACAAACTATTTTACCTTTTGCTCTTGGACTTTATTGCTGCCACCACCAAGCATCTAACAAATATATAACCAGGAAAGAGCCCGCTTGGAAACGTCTTTTCCCCCAAAGTCCTCCCAAACCCTACACCCCCTTTCCTGGGGAAGGCTTGATAAAAATCCTCACCAATTTGCATAGATGAACACAGACCCAAACCCTTGGATCTTAAGAACAATGAAAAAGCAATCAGGTTCTTAAAAGAAGAATTTTAATTAAAAAAAAAAAAAAGTAAAAGAATCACCTTTGTAAAATCAGGATGGTAAATACCTTACAGGGTAATCAGATTCAAAACATAGAGAATCCCCCTAGGCAAAACCTTAAGTTACAAAAAGACACAAAAACAGCAATATCCCTTCCATTCAGCACAGCTTATTTTATCAGCCATTTAAACAAAACAGAATCTAATGCATATCTAGCTAGATTACTTACTAAGTTCTCAGACTCCATTCCTTTTCTGTTCCCAGCAAAAGCATCACACAGACAGAGAGAACCTTTGTTTCTCCCCCCACTCCCCGCCAGCTTTGAAAGTATCTTGTCTCCTCATTGGTCATTTTGGTCAGGTGCCAGCGAGGTTATCCTAGCTTCTTAACCCTTTACATGTGAAAGGGTTTTTCCTCTGGCCAGGAGGGATTTTAAAGGGGGTTACCCTTCCCTTTATATTTATGACAACAGGGTAAGCCTACACAAGAATAAAAGACCCAGCGCATAGTTGGGCTGGCCTGGGTCAGCTGACTTGGCTCACAGGGCACAGACTGCAGGGCTAAAAATTAAAGTGTAGACATTCGGGCTTGGGCTGGAGTCTGGGCTCCTCCCCCCTCATGGAGTCCCAGAGCTTGGGCTCCAGCCCAAGCCTCCACATTGCAATTTTTAGCCCCATAGCCTGAACCCCACGAGCCCAAATCACCTGACCCAGGCAAGCCATGGGTGTTTAATTGCTGTAAGAGACAGTCGCTGCCCTTCAAATACTTATAATCTAAATAGATAAGATAGGTGAAGGATGAGAGAGGAAACAAGCACAGAAGTGACTTGTCCAAAGCAGGTTATCCCAGTTCTGCTACTGACAACCTATGTCTCCTGACTCCCAAGTCCAGCACCATAACCACTAGACTACCTTGCAAAGATTGGAACTTTCACTCCCCCGTCCCTTCTCTACAAACCTAATTGCACTACATGCAGAATTGTGTTTTAACCAGATCCGTAATTATGGAGAATGTATAGAAAAAAATGTGTTTTCATTATTTGTATAGAATTTATGTAGTAACCTAAACGGAATGAAATTTTGCATATATATAGACTTTGGCATGAATTAAGCAACAGCCCTTGAGATAGATTATTAATTTTTCCATATTATTCTGTTTCTTTTCCACTGACAGAACAAGAGCAGCTCTTCTGAAGGGAATTGTAGTCCCAGTTCAAACAAACTATAGTCAATTAAAATCTTTCCATTGACTTCACTGGGAATTGGACTGAATCCTTAAATAGTAACTTTCAGGTGTGTTGCTAAAAAGTTGAACATTTGTTAATAAAATTCCAGAGCTGGAAGAACATGTACATGGCTGAATAGTATATATGTAATGCTATTGTTTAAAAAACTACCCAAGATACTGCAGATAGTCTGGAGCAGACAGCTCCGCTCTCCAAGAGTATATAGCATCATGTATCAGCTACTGTAAGCAAAAAGAATTAAAACAAACATTTTGAATGGAATATGTGACATGTCATTCCATTTTCTTTATGAAAATATGCTTATGATATGAATATGACATAATTGAGACATACTTTATGCAAGATGGCTCATGTAAGGTATCATTGGAAAGGTTATGATTTACTGAATGCAATTATCCAATTTGTATGCATATATCATTTCTGTATCTCAAGTTATACAGATATAGTCAATATTCCTTTCAACTATGCTACTTTGGGTGATGCCCACTGCTAACATTTCAGGTACAACAACGGAAAAGCCAGACAGGGAGGATGGTCCATCAGCGAGGACATTAGATTTGTGAAAAGCTTGGCCTTCCTGTGCCCACTCCATGCTGCCACTGACTCATGGACGCTGTGATCTACAGAGTCAGGTGGTCTTGTTACCTGATACTAAAACATTACCTGGGACTTCTTGTAACTTTCCACTGTAAGGGAAGGAGGGTCAAGTTTGGGAAACAAAGGATTCCCGCCTTATGTCAATCCTATTTAAGGGTGGGGAGAAAGGCAAACAAGGCTCCTCCTCTCCATGGCCTGTCTGCCCAAGAAGAAAGACTGCAAAAGGGAAGGCAAGGTAGGGAGGGGGGGAACTCAGACTAAGACAGGGGTCCAATCTGAAAACTGGAACTCTAAACCACAGAAACTTTGCAAACTGCCTGCAACAATATCTAGGGTGAGAAATACTATTTGTAACCAATTTCTTTAGTGAAACTAGCTTAGTTTGCGTGTTTGATTTCCTTTGCTTCGTAATCTGCTTTGTTCTGTTTGTTACCCCTTTTACCACTTAAAATCTGCCTTTTATGGTTAATAAAATTTGCTTTGTTTATTATTAAACCCAGTTTCTGTAATTTCTAACTGGGGGAACAAGAAGTGGGAGGGGGCGAATTTCATAATATATCTTTGGGTCTGCACTTTAAGGGAGGTGGACATTTGAGTGCTGGAGCAAGTCCCTTAAGCTGAGTATTCTCAGAGCTGATCTGCAGCTGGGTGTGGCCCTGCCTTTTTGTGTATGTTAGAGAAGGTTTCAAGAGCCTGGCTCAGCAAGACAGGTTAAAGGGGGCCCATGCTGGTAGAACAGATAGACCCAGTGGTATCTCAGCACATCAGGTGGCTTCCCAAGGGTCCAACCCGTCACAGAATGGTTCTTTGAAACCTTTGTTTATGGTAACTATAAGGTCACTCTCACTAGTATGGAGGCCAAGAAGTCCCCAGTTTAAATTTCTCAGGATTCTAAGGCAACAGTGTCTTTCCGGACAAATAGTGATGTATTTTACTAGAATTTGAGACATTGTACACAATGGCTATATACCTTTGTCGTAGTTTGGAATCTTGAAGAGCTATAGATTTTTTACACTTATAAGTCCCCGTTACAACATTTAACTAAAAACTTAAACATTAAAACCTCTCTGTAAACCTAGATTAAACAGGTAGTGTTCAAATTAAAAGTCCAACATGGAATGCCTCAGCACCTCACAAGATCAGGCCTTTAATTTGAACTTCCTTGACTTCAATTGGAGGTTGAATCAGACCCAAACTTAGCACCAGATCTCCCTTGTTATCGTTGAGCAACAGAAACAAAGAATCATAAGGAAAAAGAATAAAAAACTAATGTCAGAAATTTGATGCTTAATTCATCCCAAGAACAGTATACATGCAAAACGTCCTTCCTCATCAACTGAATGCATTGCGTTTTGCAGCTTCCATACAAAAGTGAACATTTTTTTAAAATGTAAATGGGATTGAGGGTGCTCAGCACCTTGCAGAATCCAGTTAAAAGGCTTACATTTTATTAAAATTTCTCTTATTTCCATCAGTGCACAGACAGTTCATCCTAGTTTGCTGCAGTTTAAGAGTTACCAGCTAGAAAGCATCTCACATAAAATAAACTGTATTAGGGAAAAAACCTATTAAACTCTCAGTCATACATGAAGAGTAGTCACATCAAAAATCCACTAGGATTAAACCTCAATCCTGCAAACACACATCAATTGGACTATTAAGGTATGTAGTTAAGCATATGCCTAAAGTGTTTGCAGCTCAGGCCTGGTCTACACTACAGCATTAGGTCAACATAAGGCATCTTACGTTGACCTAATTATGTTAGTATATGCACTACAATCTTTGCTCCCACCCATATAAGTGCCGAACTACACGCACATAACTCAACAACAGGCGCAGGGCTTATATTGGTGTCCCTGCAGACACTGCATTACTTACATCTATTAGCTGTCATTCTTATGCATTTCAAAGAAAGCTGGCTTCCAGCTCCTGAGCTGGGCTGCTGCCCAGTCTTCACTCTAAGCCAGACTGCCACACAGGCTCCCGGCTCAAGGTGCTGCCTGGGCTCTCTGCTCAAAGCCCCGCTGCCCCCCAGGGTCCCAGCTCCCCACTTCAAGCAAGGCTGCTGCCTGGGTTCTCAGCTCCCCACTGGGAGCACGGCAGCTGACCAGACTCTGCTCACAGATGTCCCCGCTGGGAACTGGGCAGCCGCACCGGGTTTCTTGGCTCCCTGCCGGGAATGGAATAGCTGAGCAGGCATGGATCTCCTGCCAGGAGCCTGGCTGCTCCCCCAGGCTCTCAGCTACCTGGCATCTCCCCCAGAGTCTGGTCGGCTGGCCTGTTCCCGGCAGGGAGCCTACAAGCCTAGTGTGGCTTGCCCCGTTGCCAGTGAGCAGCCAAGGAGCTGGGGGCGGGGGGCAGGCAGCCCAGCTCCCAGTGTGGATCTGTGCATGGAGCTGAAAGCCCTGGCTCTCCACCCTTCACCTCTTAAGTTAGTGGAAGCGCTCCTGGTGAGGATGCGCATCACTGACAAAAGAAGGGTAGCGTGGACATGAATTACTGTGGTGGTTGTTAGTCAACCTAACATAGGTTAACCTACGTTTATAGCGTAGACATGCCCTCAGTGTCTTGTTTCTATGTCAGAGGATTCAGAAACCCAGTTATAAACTGCAAATAGGTTGGGAAGACTATGTTTGCATTAAATGTGTCTTGCTTAATTTGACCATTTAGTTGATAAACTTTTTTCAAATATGATTTTATAAGTATCACAGTTTTATCCAACTGACTGAATATTTTTTATTATCATCTTTAAATAGGCTTAATTTTCATATGAAATGTTTTGGAAGACTTAGTTACTGAAACAGATGTGACAATAGGATTCCTCCCCGCCCCCGGTTATGAAGTATATCTCAATTTCAAACAAAGTATGTCAGTAATATCTCTCAAAATATTTACCTGCCTTATAAAAAATACTAAATAAAAATAAATATTTAAAATACATAGTTTGATATGTATGAAAATACACAGCTTGATAAAATACATAGATATGGTGCTCGTTTGAGAGTCTTATTGTAGTGTTGTATCCTGCCACGCAGAATGTGTTGTTAGAATCCTAGACCTGGCCTCTAGTACTCCAGCCCACTGCAGACTAAGTGTGCTGCACAGTGGTGGAATTTCTGCCAACTCTCAGAAGTGGCCACTAACACTATTTTTCAGAGGTGCTGAGCAATCATAGCTTACACTGACTTCACTGGGAATTGAGGGTGCTCAACACTTTTGAGAATCAGGCTCAAAGTGTCACACATGGGACACCTAAAATATCAGAGAACTCAAAATCAGTGGCTACTTTTGAAAGCTACAGAACAGGGGATTGGAAGGCGGAGAATGAAATTACGTTGCTCAACAGCAATCCTACTAGCTGATTAAGGAGGGATATCAACATGCTCCAGAATGAGCCCTGTCTAGTCATGGTGACTAAGAGGTGCAGAGAGTTCCACCAGAGATATGGGACAAGCCCTTCCATCTAGCTCAGAGTGTTAAGAGTTTCTTTTCAAGACAAGAAAAGAGGTGTCTGTGACCCTAAGGGCATCTCAGTGCCAGAAGACAAGGGGCTCCCTGGACTCCAGCAGTGGCCTGACCAGCTCAGTGTACACCAACTCGCTACTGTTATAAGGGCGGTCAGGTGATTAAAAAATTAGATTACAATTAATCACACTGGTAAACAATATTAGAATACCATTTATTTAAATATTTTTTGATATTTTCTACATTTTCAAATATATTGATTTCAATCACAACACAGAATTCAAAGTGTACAGTGCTCACTTTATATTATTTTTGATTAAAAATATTTGCACTGTAAAAAACAAAAATTGTATTTTTCAATTCACCTAATACAAAATACTGTAGTGCAATATCGTTATCATGAAAGTTGAATTTACAAATGTAGAATTATGTACAAAAAATAACTGCACTCAAAAATAAAACAATGTAAAACTTTAGAGCCTGCAAGTCCACTCAGTCCTACTTCTTGTCCAGCCAATCACTAAAACAAGTTTGTTTACATTTGCAGGAGATAATGCTGCCCACTTCTTGTTGACATCACCCAAAAGTAAGAACAGGCATTCGCATGGCACTGTTGGTAGCCGGCTTCACAAGATATTTACGGGCCAGACGCACTAAAGATTCATATTTCCCTTCATGCTTCAACCACCATTCCAGAGTACATGCATTCATGCCGATGACTGGTTCTGGTCGACAATGATCCAAAGCGGTGCAGACCAACGCACACTCATTTTCATTATCGGAGTCAGATGCCATCAGCAGAAGATTGATTTTCTCTTTTGGTGATTTGGGTTGTGTAGTTTCTGCATCGGAGTGTTGCTCTTTTAACTCTTCTGAAAGCGTGTTCCACATGTTCTCCCTCTCACATTTTGGAAGGCACTTCAGATTCTTAAACCTTGGGTCGAGTGCTGTAGCTATCTTTACAAATTTCACATCAGTACCTTCTTTGTGTTTTGTCAAATCTGCAGTGAAAGTGTTCTTAAAATGAACAACATGTGCTGGGTCATCATTCGAGGCTGCTATAACATGAAATATATGACGAAATGCGGGTAAAACAGAGCAGGAAACATGCAATTCTCCCCCAAGGAGTTCAGTCACAAGTTTAATTCATGCTTTTTTTTTTTTTTTTTTTTCCAACAAGCATTACCAGCATGGAAGCATGTCCTCTGGAATGGTGGCCAAAGTATGAAAAGGCATACGAACGTTTAGCATATCTGACATGTAAATACTTTGCAATGCAGGCTACAAAAGTGCCATGCAAACGCCTGTTGTCACTTTCAGGTGACATTGTAAATAAGAAATGTCGGTATTATCTCCCATAAATGTAAGCAAACTTGTTTGTCTTAGCAATTGGCTGAACAAGAAGTAGGACTGAGTGGACTTGTAGGCTCTAAAGTTTTACATTGTTTTGTTTTTGAGTGCAGTTATGTAACAAAAAAAATCTACATTTGTAAGTTGCACTTACATGATAAAGAGATTGCACTACAATACTTCTATGAGGTGAATTGAAAAATACTATTTTTGTTTATAATTTTTACAGTGCAAATATTTATAATGAAAAATAGTATAAAGTGAGTACTGTACACTTTATATTCTGTGTTGTAATTGAAATCAATATATTTGAAATATAGAAAATATCCACAAATATTTAATAAAGTTCAATTGGTATTCTATTGTTTAACAGTGCGATTAATCACGATTAATTTTTTTGAGTTAATTGCGTGAGTTAACTGCAATTAATTGACAGCCCTAGTTATACTCTGTATCTAAAAGGTGTAATGTAATAAGCCATTGGAAAGCTAATAGTTCACTGATCATTAACATTCTTGCGTGATATATGTACCATCAAACCACAAAAGATTATACAGATGTGCTGGAATTATGATGAAAATGTGTTTAAACCAGGCATGTTGGGGGAATTAATAAACAGGTTTTCTTCAGATAAAGGAATGTGGTTCTGTCTGACTGAATATGTCTCCCATATAAATTGAGCAAGGTGTGACCAAAGAAAGACAAGCACACAAACCATTTGGAAAGCAAGTAGAGAAAAAGCGATCACTTACTCTCTATGGAGGATAGAGACTGCACCAGCAGGAAGCCTTCTACCTCTTGAAACAGGGTCAATGAACTTTCAGAAATATACTTTTCAAAGGTTTACTGGACTATAAAGACAGGGGCAGAGAACCCCTAAGTTATCCTTCACTTGAAGAAACAGAGAAAACGAGCACCTTGGACTAGCTGTTAGTCAGGATCCCCATATCCATTGCTGGAAAAGGAAGACTGGTAAAGAAACTACCTATAACTACTACAGTGGCTCTCAGTTCTGGGTATCCTGAACAGCATGTTACAGTATCATATTGGTTTTTGTTTCCATTTTCTGTGTCTACACATAGAACTCACAATGGAAGACACTCCCCTCTTATTGCCTCCATGCTTTATTTAAAAGTGAGATGAGATGGAACATAAAATTTACACACACAACCTTGCTGATGTCAATGAAATTCAACAGGCATACAGTGTGTCAATATTTGCTAACCTAATCTGGAAAAACCTTATCACATTGTCCTGCCTACACTAGAATATCTATTGTTGATTATTCCAGTGCTGTGGTGCTGGAGCAGGGGTATTGCAATGGCGGGAGATTTCCCAAAAAAGACAAAGGCAGGGAAGGTCAAAGTGGACTCATTTACATTGTAATACCAAAAATGCTTCTCCAGCTTACAGCTGTTTCAGAGCAGTGCTGATGCCTGAGCTCCAGGAACAAACCAAAAGGTCTGTTTGTGCTTAGCCAGACACTAAATTATGCAATGTTTCAAAGAGATTGATTCAACTGTAGATTTAAACACAACAAGCTTTGTTTAAAAAGCTAATGGCTATAAGTTAATTTAAAAAAAAAATAAAAAGCTGGTGAATGCCATATTTTGACCATATGTTTTCAGCTTTGAACATTTGCCTTAAAACTTTCAAAGATAAATTTCATGTATTGCACCAAATTATTTTCAATAAAAAATAATCTGGTTATTTGTGCATGAGAACTAAGGAATAGTTATACTTCTTGCAAGACTGGGGATGCAGACTACATTACTGTAGTTGTAGGAACATTTAAAAGTCATCCAAAGGGGTTTGCTGTAGTGTTAAAATCTTGAGTAGAAAGCAACCAAAAGAATCTACACAAGGGTTCATACCACTCTCTACCCACCTCTCCTTTTTAACTGTTTTAATAAGTTGTTTCAATCCTTTGAGATTTTTGACGAGCCACACAACACTACTTACTCTGACATGAAATGACAATTTTTTTTCCAATATAAAGCAAAAGATGAAAATACTGGAAAGCACTGAAGCATCACTGAAATTCAATCACATCTTCATATGTGGAAGACACTAGCACTGATTAGGTGTGTGTGTTCTTTACTTGCACATGCAAGTCACTAAAACATAACTAGTAAAATACTAAAATAGAACGAGACCTAACAGAAATAAAATATATATTAAAATAAAACTAACCATTTTCAATAACTATTTTTAAAATCCTGTATTGTCCATATCTTGCTCTGGCAAAGGTATCTTTAACATCTTCACTAGCTGGAAAAGAAAAAAAGATATTAGTAATTGAATTAATGCATTTCACCTATTTACAATTAGTATGTTTAAAGTACACTTGTTCATGTGATTGTAAAAAGAGGCTAGTACTAAACCATTCAGCTGCACCTTTACCAGAAGTCAGACTGAAAACAAATAATCAGTTATTTTTCCCCAATTTCCACCCACAACTCCTGCTCCATTCACATTATCTTATGAAGGTCTGAACATAAGGTTGCCAGTTTTGGTTGGATGTATTCCTGTAGGTTTCATCACAGGACAATCTTTAATTAAAGATTAATTTTTAATTCTTGAATCTTTAATCCAATCCTGGAGGTTTGGCAACCCTATCTGAACAATTAGCTCTCTTTCCTGTATTCCTTACTCAGCAATAAAACACTTAACAATGCTGACATTTACGTCATCATTCTTAGGTTTCAGTTAATACTCCATGGAGATGGATTATGTTACATCTCTTAAAGCAATAGCTTCAGGATTCCTGCAGGCTCAGGTATATACTTTTCAAATTTATAAACTGCCTACTAGCTAGATACAATGCAAGAGTGATGTGTAAATAGGGTGACCAGACGTCCCGATAAAATCGGGACTGTCCCGATTTTTAGGTCTTTGTCCTGCGTCCCAACCGATGAACAGTCGAGACGCCATTTCTCCCGATATTGCGACTTTGGCCGCTCCGGCGTTTTTTATTGTTTTTGCTTTGGCAACTCCAGCAGCTTTTCTTTCTTTCTGTCTGTCTTTCTTTTTTTTTGCTTCTCCCATGTGTCCCAATATTTTCTCCGCTTCATCTGGTCACCGTATGCGTAAAAGAGAACCCCAAGAAGCATACAGGTGGATATTTTTAGCATCTGGTTGTTGGTCTTTTCTCGGGGCTCTGAGTACCACTGATGAAGCTTCCCTTTCATCTTTCATATCTACCTCACACTAGTATATGTCTGATAACAATTTTCAGTCCCTCACTTTTCATAATAGGACAAGTTTAGAATGAAGCATCTGTCTTAACCTCTAAATTTCCTTTGTAGCGCTTGTTGGCTGCATCTTTTTACACACTCAAATATACTTTGCAAAGTCACATTTTAATTATTTTTGTAAATGAATTCATTTATAGATGATTGATTAGATCATCCAGAATGTTTGGTATATCTTTGTGTATTATAAGGATCTGAGGTTGAACTGGGGCAGCTTCATTCCCCTGGAGGGTTTTTCCCTTGTGCTCTACCATCTACGTCTGCATTTTAAAAAAATATTAGGGGGAGATTTTTTGAGGCACTAACTGCAGTTAGACTTTCAACTCACTTTGAAAGTCACTGTAAATTAGATTAAAATCTCTCTCAAAGTCTCTAGCCCTAATGGTTGTGAAAATAACTTTCAAAATGCAAATTGAAAGCATTGCCCCCGCCTAACTGCTGAAAGTGAGAAGCAGCATTTTGGTTTCTTTCATTCTTCCTTGCCAAGCACAGCCTGCTGGCCACTGGGAAGGAAATAGGAGAAGGTCTGTTACTCCACTTTCCCACAGAAAAATTCAAATTATCTTTGTTTTTATCTGTAGTATCAAAAAACTACTTAAATGAGGTCTGCAACAGTAGAAGGCGCACTAACTGGATGCTTGTGGTTTCATTTTCAGAACTGAAGTGATTAATATGCAGGTGTTAAGTAGTCATAATTAGGTTTCAAATCTACCCCACCAAGATAAACAGTGGGATTTCACCACTTCCAGTGCTATTATTTTTCTATAGCCCTATCCACACTACTAAACTATACTATGAAAGTAGTTAAACATGTTTTAAAATCATTAACATCTATATGAAGGAAAGATGGCAAATTCATTTATACAAGCATGTTGAAGATTGTGTTTGAACCCTGGGAGGATTATTCTAGTAGTAGGTAGAGAGACTGAGACATAAGTCCTTGTATCAGAGGCCTGTTATGAGGCAGGACCTGCTCACAGAATCTGGCAAGAATAGGGCTGATATTGCAGAAATACACATTCCTAAGAAGTGCTAGTCACAGAGTACTCATGCAAACACATCCCGATATCAAGGATGGTACAAAATAATTCCCCAGGGATAACAGGAACACACTGACTCCTCATAAAAGATACGGTCAGGATGACAGTACGTAATAGAGATGTTTTGATCGAACCAATACGTACAAGCTGATGGGTGATAACTAGCCACGTCAGGGGGCAGTAACTAACTATGTTAGAGGGACAGTACTAACTTGTTTGTATCGGGGTATAAAGATGTATCTCAGAGGGAGTATCTTTGTCTGGCCTAAGGAGAAACAGAAAGTCCCGCCGTTCACTGAGCTGGTCCATTGTTATGGGCATACATGTATTAGTGGTCCAGTAGAGTCTGTGGGATACCAGTACCGTGTTTTGTTGACTATAAACCTGGCTGGGTGCCTTCGTTCCTTAACAGATCTTGTGGTCATTGGGCAGTTCTCTCAAGGTCTGCTGTGCCAGCTGTCTGTACAGGGCTGGGGCAGCACACAAAGGGAACTCACACACACACAGCCAAATGTCTATCACCACAATTCTAGTCTTAACAACTCCGTTGAATATAACTGAATTTAAATTAATTTATTTATAGGATTTACTGCAGAACTGTGCATATTGCCCTTCCCAAGTAATCACACAATATAACCATAGTTACAGCAAGATGAAAGTCTACTACCAAACCAGGAAACAAACAGTCTTGATTTAGTCACATGTCCAGATCAAAGAGACAGGTGCATATGTGGTGCTTAACTATGCTATCATCCATGCTCACATATAAATGCTTCAGTTTATTTTCATCAATGGTTGAGGAGACTTCCTACCTCTCTTCAAATTTTTTGAACAGGGAGGTTTTATTTCTTCCAGTTACCAATCCAATACACAACTAACTAGACTAATTTTTTTTCCCCCAGGGACACTTCTGGTCTTGGTCATCCAAAGGTTGAGAAGTATGGTTAGCAATATAAAAAGTAAGATTTTGTATTGGCCAGATAAAGCTGTGATGCAACAACCTCAAAAGTTATGATGTCATAATGCCATGAGACTTTGTCCCATGCAGACCAAAATCTAAAAGATGGCAGCCAGGTTAAAATTGATGCCTGAATTGAAGATGTGAATTTTATCTTATTAAACTTCCCTGTCCCATGTTCCAACAAGACAAAGGAACTAAATAAAAGCAATATCAAATATAAATTGGATTTTTTAAATAGAAAATGAATTCCTCAAAAGCAGAGACATTGAAATACATAGAACATCTCATTAACTCCCCTATGGATACAGTAAGTGTCTGCAAAAGAGGTTTTAACATAAAGCATCCAATTAACACAATATCAGCCACAAGCCAAGTACTCAGATTTACTCCAACAGGGAGCAAATAATCAATTTATACTGGGGCACAAGGAAGGAATAGAGAAGCCATAACTCCCCAGCTATTCTAAATCATCAGATTACATCTAAAACATTTGATCACTTCCCAGCCATCTCAAACACCTGTCAGGGATAGTCTAGGTTTATTTGGTCCTACTCAGCGCCAGGGGCTAGACTTGATGACTTCTCCGGATGCTTCCAGCCCTGCATTTCTATGCTCCTCCTTCCAGCTATATGGTTTGTACAATTATTCACAAAACATATTGTGCCCTTCTGTGCTTCACCTTGCCCCAGAGTTTTGGGGCCACTGGGTGCCCCACAGACTGCTAATCAATCATAGATGCGTGCTCTAGGCAAAGGATAACAGAGGACCCAAGCATCACAGTCAGGGCCCAGGTGGCTTGTTACGAACAAAGACCTTGTTCTGCCTGGTCTCTAACCCAGAAGGATAAGGGCAGAAGAAGGGACAATTTCAAGGTTTCGGGGAGGGAGGGAAAACCAGGCAGTTCAGCCCTCAAGAGAGCAGGGGCAGTTTAAAAGCCCTAGAGTGGGATGAGGGAGAAGGCAGCTTGGAGGAAAAGAGGGGAGGAAAAGGGAAGAGGCAGTGCAGACGCTGGGGGAAGCAACAAGGGGGCGGTGGAGAAGCTGGGGGAAAGGGCACTGGGGAGCCCCGGGGGGGGGTGCAGAGGCTGGGGGGGAGGGGCACTGGGGAGCCCGGGGGGGTGCACAGGTTGGGGGGAGGAAAGAGGCACTGGGGAGCCCCCGGGGGGGGGCTGTAGAAGCTGGAAGGAGAGGAAGGGGCACTGGAGATCCCCGGCGGGGTGCAGAGGCGGGGGGGGGGGGGAAGGGGCACTGGGGAGCCCCAGGGCCGGTGCAGAAGCGAGAGGCTGGGGGGAGAGGGACACTGGGGAGCCCCAGGCCGGTACCTTGGATGCCGGTTTGGTGGGACATGTTGCGATGGAGCCGGGACGCGACGCTGGGGCTCTGTCTGCACCTCGGTCAGGAACCGGCGGGCTTGGGGGGCGGGGGGTCAGGCTGGCCCGGGACACGCACGTGACGCGCCCCCGCCACTCAGCGGCCGGGAGCCCGGCTCCTTCCGGGCGGGCCCTGGGACGGGAGCCGGCTCCAGGCGTGAGCGAGCGGGCGGGCCAGCCGGTAGCTGGGGGATCCCGATTCCCGCCCAGGGCGTGTCGCGGGCCGGGGCCGCCCCTGGGACACCCGCGCCGCGCCGCGCCGCGCCGAGGCGGGTTTGTCTCTTTCCAGCCGCTTCCCCCCCGTCTGCCCCACGCGGCCAGGCAGCTCCCGAATATCCCCGGCCGGCTTCTCCGCCCGCCCTGGGCTGCAAGGGGCCCGTTCGCAGCCCCGGCGGGGGAGAGGCCCGAGAGGGCGGGTGCTGCAGGCGGAAAGCGCGTCCGCCCGCTAGGGAGCGGGGCCGGAGCGGCGGGGCGGGCAGCCGCGGGAGCGTTTCTAGAGTGGGGGATTATTCGGGGCTGGCGGGGGGAGCAGGGGCTTGCCCGGGGTTGGGAGCGCGGGGCCGGGCGGGGCTAAGCGATCCGTGCACAGGCAGGAGTCTTTGGGATATACGGCACCGGGGCCAGAGGTGCAACTGTGAAGCGTCCATCAGACCGTTGGGAGGTTTGCTGGAGGCTGCTATGGTGATTTCAGTGCATCTGAAGCGAACAATTCCCTAGTGAAGTACTTCAGCCTCTGAACGAAAACCCTGTCAAGGGCACTTAACTGGAATACATTTGGCTGCCAACCTATTTGTAAGAGGATATCACGCGCACACACAAAACAGCTGGAGGACTTGCCATTAAATAAGCCACAATTATTTGTTAAAAACTTCATCTCCGAAATAGCTTCTCTGATGAACTTTACATTTTGTCCGATGTTCTCCATTGGCAGCAGAGCACAGATGACGTTTAAGGTGCTGTGTAGACCTTTAATTACAGGTTTCAGAGTAGCAGCCGTGTTAGTCTGTATTTGCAAAAAGAAAAGGAGGACTTGTGGCACTTAGAGACTAACCAATTTATGTGAGCATAAGCTTTCGTGAGCTACAGCTCTCTTCATCGGATGCATTCAGTGGAAAATACAGTGAGGAGATTTATATACACACAGAACATGAAAAAATGGGTGTTTATCATACACACTATAAGTATGCATCCGATGAAGTGAGCTGTAGCTCACAAAAGCTTATGCTCAAATAAATTGGTTAGTCTCTAGGGTGCCACAAGTCCTCCTTTTCTTTTTGCGAATACAGACTAACACGGCTGCTACTCTGAAACTATAAGGAGAGTGATCACTTAAGATGAGCTGGAGGAGGGAATCAAGTCTCAGTCTTAAAATGGAAAACACTTCACAACTTTCTAATAAGGAGAGGACTTAATACTCTGTAATGCTTACTAACTGGAGTAATAGGTCTGTAGACTATGCTTGGGTAGAGTGGTCTCAGATACGCTACAAAGTTAATCAGTTGCCAAAGTACTTGATGAAAACATTAGATAATCTCATGTTTGTGCTGTTTTTAGCAGCAATATCAGTTACAGGGCAAAGGTTTTTCTAGCCCAGTGGTTTTCAAACTTTTTTCTGGGGACCCAGTTGAAGAAAATTGTTGATGCCCATCGAGGCAATGGAGCTGGGGATGAGGGGAGTGGGAGGGGCATGGGGTTGGGGTGTGGAAGGGGGGTCAGGGCTCTGGGCTGGGTGTACAGGCTCGGGTAGGGATCAGGGGTGCAGGAGGGGCTCCATGGTTGGGGGGCTCAGGGATGAGTCAGGGCTCTGGGCTGGGGGTGCAGGCTCTGGGGATAAAGGGTTTGGGGTGCAGGAGGGGGTTCCAGGTTTTGGGGGCTCAGGGCTGGGGCAGGGGATTGGGGCATGGGGTTACCTCCAGTTGCTTCCCGCCTGTCCTGGCACTGCGGACCACATGGTGTCCTGGAAGCAGCCAGCAACAGGTCTGGCTCCTAGGCGGAGGTGTGTGACTCTCATCTGCACGCACCGCCCCCACCCCCTCCTGCCATGGGCGCGCGGAACCAGTGCTTGGGGCAGCGCGCAGAGCCCTGTGCCCCCCCCCCCTGCCTAGAATCCGGACCTGCTGCTGGCCACTTCCAGGGTGCAACGCGGTGTTAAAACAGGTAGGAACTAGCCCACCTTAGCTGGGAAGCACCGCCAATGGGACTTCTAATGTCCCGGTCAGCAACTCTGACCAGAGCAAGGCAACCCAGTGCCTTACGTGCTGCGACCCAGTACTGGATCGCAACCCATGGTTTGAAAAACACTGCTCTAGCCCATTCTTTCTGTTGTGGCATTACTTTCTATCCTGCTGACAGATGCACATGCCTATGTATGGAAAAACTGTTGTAGTTCATCATTGCAATTTAGATGTTAATTTAAACATGTATCTCTTGTTCCTATTTGAATGTTTTATGCCAAGTATTAGTTTCATCAATTTACATTCAATAGTTTCTGTAAGGATACTGCCACATATGGAGGGCAGAAAACTGCCAGCTGACTGATTTAACTCACATAAAACTACATTAAAATCTCAAATTTTAATCTGAACTGCATTGTACTCCAAAGGAGAAGGTTGGGTATGATCCCTGGACATACACAAATCTGTAGCTGTCCCGGGACCTCTCCTCCTTTTGAGACCTTCCATTCCCCCATCCCCCTCCCTGCTGATGAATTTTTTCGTTTTGACTCTCTCCTCTGGTTGTTGTCTTTCAATAAAAGGATTGTGTTTGTTTGAAAGCAATCTTTATTCTATTAAGTGAAAGCAAAAAGAGCACTACAAAGCAACATACAATTGTTAAGGTCCCTTCTTGCATCATGTGCACCAATGCAACCAATGTGCATTACAAGCACTGCAATCCCGAGCATAGCAACAAATATTACTGGCTTTCAGCTTCAAATTGCTGCCTCAAAGCATCCCTGATCCTTATGGCTCCGTGCTGTGCCCCTCTAAGGGTATGTCTACACTACGAAATTAGGTCGAATTTATAGAAGTCGGTTTTTTAGAAATCGGTTTTATATATTCGAGTGTGTGTGTCCCCACAGAAAATGCTCTAAGTGCATTAAGTGCATTAACTCGGCGGAGCGCTTCCACAGTACCGAGGCAAGCGTCGACTTCCGGAGCGTTGCACTGTGGGTAGCTATCCCACAGTTCCCGCAGTCTCCGCTGCCCATTGGAATTCTGGGTTGAGATCCCAATGCCTGATGGGGCTAAAACATTGTCGCGGGTGGTTCTGGGTACATATCGTCAGCCCCCCGTTCCCTCCCTCCCCCCGTGAAAGCAAGGGCAGACAATCATTTCGCGCCTTTTTTCCTGAGTTACCTGTGCAGACACCATACCACGGCAAGCATGGAGCCCGCTCAGGTAACGGTCACCCTATGTCTCCTGGGTGCTGGCAGACGCGGTACGGCATTGCTACACAGTAGCAGCAACCCCTTGCCTTCTGGCAGCAGACGGTGCAATACGACTGGTAGTCGTCCTCGTCATGTCCGAGGTGCTCCTGGCCACGTCGGCTGGGAGCGCCTGGGCAGACATGGGCGCAGGGACTAAATTTGGAGTGACTTGACCAGGTCATTCTCTTTAGTCCTGCAGTCAGTCCTATTGAACCGTCTTATGGTGAGCGGGCAGGCGATACGGACTGCTAGCAGTCGTACTGTACCATCTTCTGCCAGGCAGGCAAGAGATGAGGATTGCTAGCAGTCGTATTGTACCATCTTATGCCAGGCAGGCAAGAGATGAAGATGGCTAGCAGTCGTACTGTACCATCTTCTGCCGAGCAGCCATGAGATGTGGATGGCATGCAGTCCTTCTGCACCGTCTGCTGCCAGCCAAAGATGTAAAAGATAGATGGAGTGGGTCAGAACAAGAAATAGACCAGATTTGTTTTGTACTCATTTGCCTCCTCCCCTGTCTAGATCACACTGCAGTCACTCACAGAGAAGGTGCAGCGAGGTAAATCTAGCCATGTATCAATCAGAGGCCAGGCTAACCTCCTTGTTCCAATAACAACGATAACTTAGGTGCACCATTTCTTATTGGAACCCTCCGTGCAGTCCTGCCTGAAATACTCCTTGATGTACAGGCACACCCTTTGTTGATCTTAGCTCCCTGAAGCCAACCCTGTAAGCCGTGTCGTCAGTCGCCCCTCCCTCCGTCAGAGCAACGGCAGACAATCGTTCCGCGCCTTTTTTCTGTGCGGACGCCATACCAAGGCAAGCATGGAGGCCGCTCAGCTCACTTTGGCAATTAGGAGCACATTAACCACCACACGCATTATCCAGCAGTATATGCAGCACCAGAACATGGCAACGCGATACCGGGCGAGGAGGCGACGTCAGCGCGGTCCCGTGAGTGATCAGGACATGGACACAGATTTCTCTGAAAGCATGGGCCCTGACAATGCATGCATCATGGTGCTAATGGGGCAGGTTCATGCTGTGGAACGCTGATTCTGGGCTCGGGAAACAAGCACAGACTGGTGGGACCGCATAGTGTTGCAGGTCTGGGACGATTCCCAGTGGCTGCGAAACTTTCGCATGCGTAGGGGCACTTTCATGGAACTTTGTGACTTGCTTTCCCCTGCCCTGAAGCGCATGAATACCAAGATGAGAGCAGCCCTCACAGTTGAGAAGCGAGTGGCGATAGCCCTGTGGAAGCTTGCAACGCCAGACAGCTACCGGTCAGTTGGGAATCAATTTGGAGTGGGCAAATCTACTGTGGGGGCTGCTGTGATGCAAGTAGCCCACGCAATCAAAGATCTGCTGATATCAAGGGTAGTGACCCTGGGAAATGTGCAGGTCATAGTGGATGGCTTTGCTGCAATGGGATTCCCTAACTGTGGTGGGGCTATAGACGGAACCCATATCCCTATCTTGGCACCGGAGCACCAAGCCGCCGAGTACATAAACCGCAAGGGGTACTTTTCGATAGTGCTGCAAGCTCTGGTGGATCACAAGGGACGTTTCACCAACATCAACGTGGGATGGCCGGGAAAGGTGCATGATGCTCGCATCTTCAGGAACTCTGGTCTGTTTCAAAAGCTGCAGGAAGGGACTTTATTCCCAGACCAGAAAATAACTGTTGGGGATGTTGAAATGCCTATATGTATCCTTGGGGACCCAGCCTACCCCTTAATGCCATGGCTCATGAAGCCGTACACAGGCAGCCTGGACAGTAGTCAGGAGCTGTTCAACTACAGGCTGAGCAAGTGCAGAATGGTGGTAGAATGTGCATTTGGACGTTTAAAGGCGCGCTGGCGCAGTTTACTGACTCGCTTAGACCTCAGCGAAACCAATATTCCCACTGTTATTACTGCTTGCTGTGTACTCCACAATATCTGTGAGAGTAAGGGGGAGACGTTTATGGCGGTGGGAGGTTGAGGCAAATCGCCTAGCTGC